GTTGGACCCCGCAAGCCATCAACAGCCTGGCGGATGTGCTGTGTGACTTTTCGGATGTGTTTTCGCGGTCACCGTCCGATTTCGGTTGCTGTTGCGTGAAACCGTTTCGTTTGGAAGTGCCCCCGGGCACGAAACCGTTGGACTCGGTCCCTATAGGCTCAACCCTCTGGTGGAGAAAAAGATCGATGCAATTCTCGATGAATACCTTGCTGCCGGTCTTCTTCAGCACTCGCAATCGCCGTGGGCGAGCCCACTGGTTGTCATGCCTAAAAAGGACGGCAGTCTGCGTTTGACCGTGAACTACAAAAAGCTTAACAAATTGTGCAGCCTTGGTCAACAACCGCAGCCGCGAGGTGACCACATCATCGATTCCCTGCACAAGGGCAAGGTGTTTTCCATTTTCGATCTCAACTCCGCTTTCCACCAAATCAGCGTCGAAGGGGACACGGTTCAGCTTATGGCGTTTTCTACGCCCACGCAACTTTTCGAGTGGCTCCGCATGCCTCAAGGAAGCTCCGTGGCACCGTCGTGGTTCACCATGGTCATCAACGAAGTGGTTAAAGGTCTGGACCATGTGCTTGCATACCTGGACGATGTGATTGTGTTTGACGCCGACCCCATCCAACATGTCGCCAACATGCGGTTATTTTTGGAGCGTTTGCGCAAGTACAACCTCAAGCTTTCTCCTTTCAAGAGTCGCGTCGGCGCTAAGGAGTCCGTTAGGTCACACCATCTCCCCTGCGGGTGTTAGTCCTCGTGCCGATAAGGTCGAAGCCCTCACAAAAATGCCGCTGCCTAATAACAGCTGCCTTCCTTGCTGGGTGGGCTTTCGTATTACCGCAAATTCATCAAGGGTCTGGCCATGCGCGTGAAACCACTCACAGACCTTTTGCGTAAGGACGCGAAGTTTTGTTTTACGCCGGCTATGGCGGATACTGTCAAAGAACTCTTGGCGAAACTGTCCGAACCTCCGGTTCTGGCTTTCCCGGATTGGGACGCTGTCGCGGATGGCAGCCGCCCTCTCCGGCTTTGCTGTGACGCCTGTGTGGATGGTTTTGGTGCGGCCCTTGAACAGGAACAGGCCGATGGTTCCATCCGCCCCATTATGTTCGTTGGCCGCGCTACGCTCGAATCCGAGCGCAATTGGACAGTGCTCGACTTGGAGGCTGGAAGTATCGTGTGGGCAATCGAACGCCTACGCGGTTAGTTTTGGTCTACGCACTTTCTGATTTATTCGGATCACAAGGCTTTGGAGAGCATCGTCAAGGTGGGTGAATACAACGCCCGCGTCTAACGTTGGCTCGAGTTCCTTTCCTCGTTCAATTACACCCTTGTCTAACCCTAACCCTAACCGCAAAGGCACTGCCAAAGCCAATGCGGATTTTCTTTCGCGGTTGCCCTTGCCGGCAACCGACGCGGATAGACACGGTGACACCAGTATCGCAGTCGATGACGCCGCGGGCGTTTATCTCATTCGTGCGTGCGGACGGAGTTATCACTCTAGTTCGACGCCGAACATCGGCTTGGGTGGGCTTGACATTGACGATCAACGAGCCGCGTTGGCACACGCGCCTTTGACGGAGGATGACTTTGGGGACTTCCGCCGTTTTGGGCCACAAATGGTCCTGCCGGTTCCGTCGCCCTCCTCCGTAGTTGACTCGTCGAAATTTTCGCCGCCTGGTGTTTTCGCTGTCGTTTGCGATGCAGCCCCCGAGAGTTCTGTGCCCGATGGACCTCCTCCGGCTTCTGTTTCTGCGGAGCCAGACGTCCCTCCCTCGTCCACCGTCGGAACCTCCTCAGCTGCCCTGTCGCTTTCGCGTGGCCCTCTGATTTTTTCTCGTACTCGGGCGAGAACGAATTCGGCCTCGGGCATGGCTCACAGCCGTCCCAATTATTTTCCGAAACAACCACGGGCCGTTGTGGTGCCCAGAACGCCGCGGCCTCCTCGAACGCCGGCCCGGTCGAGCGGTGCCGCGCGGTCTACGAGAACCGTGGGTAGCCCTACTTCTGGCCCGCTGCCTTCTTCGGCGCCGGCTGAATTGCCGTCGCCACCGCCGCCCGCGGCGCCCATGCCGCCAGTGTTGTCGCCCGCGGGTACTAGCCCTGCGGCTCCCGTGGTGCCGCCCACGGCCGCTGAGGAAGCTCACCTCCGCGACTGTGTGCATACATTCTCGCATGCCGATTGGGCCCGAGAACGAATGTCAGAAAACGATGGTACGCGATTGTTGGTGCGAAAGTCTGCCCCACTGCCTCCCTGTAGTTCGGGCGGGCGTAGCACTCGCCTCCCGCCTTCGAAGACTCCGCGCATATACGTGCCTATGCTATTGCGACCTTGGGTCCTACAAGCATGTCACGCCACCGCGTCTTTTCACCTGGGCACCGCTCGGACTTTACGTATGTTGGAGCGATTTTTCTGGTGGATTGGGATGGATTTGTCCGTTCGTTGGTGGCTTCGGCATTGTTTAATTTGCCAAGCGCGCAAGACTTCCCGGCAAACGTGTCGCTGGCTTACGCTCACTCTGTCCCTCCCGAATGGGCCGGGTATGGTAGTGAGCGTCGATTGTTTTGGGCCATTGCCGGTGACGTTCCGTGGGAATGCATATATACTTTTGTTTACGGATCGTTTCAGTCGACGGGCAGATATGTATGCCACTACCAAGGCGGAATTTACCGCTAAGGGAACGGCTAACATTTTCGTCAACCGCTACATGGCGTTGTGGGGTTGTCCGGTGACTCTTCTTTCGGATAACGGTATGCAATCTTGTTCCAAGTTGTCCATGGCTATTTACGAGGTGATGAAGACCAAGAAAGTCACCACCAGTTCCTACCACCCCCAAACTAACGGTGGGGCCGAGCGTGTTAACCACATCATGGCTCAAATGCTTGCTGTTGTGGTCAATGAGCGTCAAGACGATTGGGACGTCCATCTTCCCCATGTCGAGTTTGCATACAACAACTCGGTAAACACCGCCACAGGTTTGGCGCCAAATGAAGTGCATATTGGACGGTTGCCCCGTCTCCCGCTTTCTGTTTTGGACCACCCTAGAGTGGGTGGCCATCAAAGTTTGGATCGAGACCAGCTCGCTTTCTGCAATCTTGCGGTGGAATGCCAGAGACGAGCTTATGCGTTGGTGCGGGAACAACATGCGATTGCGGTGTCGCGTGTCGAACGTCGGAACTCTGCACTGTTGGACGGTCTGCGTCAGATCCCGAAGTACGAAGTTGGTCGTTGGGCTTGGGTCTACAACTCCGCCGCTACTATTCGGCAGGGTGTGCGGAAACACACCGATGATTTGGTGCTCAAAGCGAAGCTTTCGCTCAACTACACCGGACCGTATAAAATCCTTGCTGTTGGCCCGGCCAAAGCGGAGGATTCACCGGATGGAAAACCTGTGGAGCGCAAACTTCTCTACCTGGACCTGCCGTCAGGCATGCTGGGACCAGAATCCCGCAAACGTGTCTCAGTCTTGCGGTGCAAACCGTGTACCAACCCATACGACACGGATGACCTGCATAAGTATATGCCGGCCAATCTGTCGAAATATGTTTTGCACTCGTGTAGTAACAAGTCTCCCCCGTATAATTTGACTGCTGACGATATTTTAGCGGAGTCTAGTCGTCTGTCTGTTGAGAATATTTCAGGACACCAAATTGTACATGGACGCGGTGGTGTGGTAGCCGTCTTGTACCTGACTCATTGGATTGGTTTGTTGACACACCGTCGTGGGAAAGGGAGCCTGATTTGGAGGAATACAGAAAACACATTCTGCTTTACTGGTCTGGTATCGCTAGTCAGTGCGTACAAGGAAACCGAGCTTATCGTAATACTCGGATACCTTCGGCCGACCGAGAACTTGCTCGGAATCAGGCCGAACGTTTCTTTGCTCCTGGGTAAGAGTTGGTTTCGCGTGACACTTGGTTGGCTCGCTTCTCTGTTTCTGTTTTGCCTGTCGGAGCCCACATTTGGTACAAAGCTTTGGATGGACTTTGGTGGCTTGGGCAGATTAGTAGTTTCGTAACAGGCCAGTACGTTGTTCGATTTTTGGACACTCCCGGCCCTCGAAAGCTTTCTCTCCCGGAGTATAGTTACCCCACGGTTTTGGATGCTCCTTGTGGTTCTTGGTGCTTGCAAAAACACCGTACTCGTGGTTTGACCAACCCTTCCACGGATGATGGCGTTATGTCGCGAACACCAGGCGTTGTGGCACAGCTGGCTGTTGCCCCATCTGGATCTGTGCTTTGATATCATGCCTACGGGCCGCTACATGTTTTTTATGTTTTGTTCTGTACATCGTACGCAGTGGTACGCTAGCGCATGTATGGGTGGTGTGAGCTTCTTCTATCGTTGCAATAGTCACCCCGGCCTTTGCGTGCCCAACGCGACCGAACCCCGTTTTGATTCAGACTGGTTCCGTCGTTGGCGATGTGATTCTCAGTAATCACTGTGTGGTGTGGGGATGGTTTGGAGTATTCGTCGGGGATGAACTATTTTCTCCGACCCTAGTTGCTTTCATTTTATCTTACTTTTTGTCTGATTTGGAAAGTCGCATCTTCGATCTTTATTTGAGGTTGAGTATTGGATTGAAGATAAAGTATCTGCATCTACGACTTCCCAGGGTGGGCTAATGTAATGGAGCAACTAGTGTATTTGCATCGTACGAGCGTTTCATGAACGTTGTATGAGCGCTTATTGGATATTTTGAATTTCTTTGGATATGGATACTTGGCGACGTTGAGGGGTATTGAAGTAGCTTGAAGGAAGATCAAAATCCCAGCACCGCTCCCTCACTCTCCGAGTGGGCGCTGAGCGGACCTGGTCTAAGAAGGCTAAAACAAGAGATCAAACAACAACTGTGAGTACCCGAAGCCAGGAGCAACGAACTTGCTCTTTTCCCTCTTTTATTTCTCTGTTCCTCCATAACACCGCCCTGTGCGAGAATCAACGATTGCTGTTTTTCGCGATGCCTCCCGACTGGTCTTGTATGTCTGTTGTAAAATTTCTGGACCTCTTGCGTTTGTTTTCAAAATTCGTCAACAACAAAATTGGTCTTCTTCCCCCCCTTAAGGACCCGGTCATGATCACACAAACAGGGTTCGTACTGCCAAAGTTGTTCTTCATCCCATTTCAAAATATGCTCTGCACGAAACACAAAGTCCGATCTCACTATGGAAACAGTGAAATACTGTAGTGGGATAAGACAAACGGTTAGACTGTGAAACACATACCATCGGTCCATGCGGTTTCAATCCGTCTGCTACACGACAAAGCTACAAATAGAATGCGATCAACCAAAAAGAACCAGGCACCATTCTCCCGCACTGCAACACAAACGAGAACCACCCCACTCCCCCAAGGTTGCCCAAACTATTTCTACGTTCTCATGCTGGGCTAGTTGGTGACATGGTTGCTGCTATAGGAATGGGGCAACGTGGTTACGTGGAAGTCCGCACCAAAACGAACACGGAAAAGAACACGAAAAAAATAACTTCCCGTTCTTAACTATTCAAACACGGCCTCCACATCTATCTCGAGGTCGCCTTGGCCGGCCCTGACCCTCTCGTTCGGCATCTTCCCCTTAGCAAGATCGTTGGCCGATGCGAGGAGTGATAATGTAGAAAATAACGCTTCCATTGCGTCCACGCCGACGATTGCATACGCCAGAGCGAAGATCGCGCTGCGCACGCCACCGGTCGACTCGGTCACGGAGTCTCCTCCCCCCGAAATAAATACTGTGGCGGCCTAACATTGCAGTCGAGACAGAAAACAACGGAAGAGAGGATGGCTGTCACACTAAAATAACCCCGTGAATGCTCCCAGAAAAATTTCGGGCAACCAATAGTGCTAAGGATATACACATGTCTTTGTAACGTATTGGACGGTATTTTAGGCGTCGAAAGATAGACACTACCGCAGTATTAGAAAAAGGGACTCCACGAACAAGTCAATGAAGCTTGAACCAACCACCGACCATTGTTCAGTGCTGAAGGTGTGCGACAGACCAGGGCGTCTGAGGGCGCATGAACGTCAAGTGTGGTGGTACTAGCGCGAGCTTTCCGAAACAAAAAATAAACCCCAGCTCCTAATCGGCTCGGAAACGAAACAACCTACTGTATGAGGGTTCAGGTTCAAAGCGGGTGATATTCGGCGAAAGTCGCTGGTCACCGTACTCACGCGCCACGAGCGAAAACATTCCATTTTCGAAGAAACATACTCCGGCTGTAAAGAAGGTTTTGTCTAACCTGGACAAGCGACCTCCGCTCCGCCTCGACTACGCGCGCATCCTCCGGGAGACCCCCTGCTTTCCTGCGCAAGGGCCGGATTCAAAGCGGTGGACAGACAATAAGATTTCGGCGCACCCTCCACACAAATTTTGTACCAGGCGAGAGGCACAACACAGACGTGAGTTTAGAGGTCGTGGTCTCCAGAAACCGGTCACCCCGGTGGTCTCGTGGTTGACACCTCGCAAGCCTGAGAAATAGCAGAGCAGGTTGCGAGTCATGGTTCTTTCTCTGCAGCGAAAAACAATTTGTGATTGCCGTGGACAACGACGAAACCGTGGGTATACACACTCCAATTTAACGGGCCGGAAGGAGGGGCGGCTGAAACTTGTTGCATGAAAATAATATAATAATCAAGTCAGAATCGCAGGAGGGATACGTAGGCAAAATATACACCCATATAGAAAAAAACAAAGGCACTTGTACTACAACTCCCTCCTGTGAGACCCTAAGCTGACAATCAAACAATACATTGGGCTAGGGTCAGGCCATAGTCGCGACCGTTTCCTCCTTTGTCAAGGGAAGGGGAAAAAATGCTCAATATATCGGCGTCGTCCAACCCGATGCAGGTTACCCTCGCTTGATTTCTGCCTGGATTCGGTGAATCCAAAATGACGATGACCCTTGTATGCGTATAGAGCATCGATTGGTGATATGTTGGCTTCTGAGGGTACTTGGGTACGAGGTCCGATCTGGGAAAGATTTGCGTTTGGGGTATGCTGTGGGGGGTCCACGTCCGGGGGAATGGCCAGAGACAGCACGCCCATGTGTTCAGGTAGCTTGTATATGTACTGAAAGTAGTACGTTGTGTGTTCTGTCATCATCGTTCAGTCCTGGGACAACAGAGTTCCCGTGCTTGACCTCTAACCTCTGCGCGAAGGCGCCGAGGAGCGCTAGCAAGGAGGAAGATAGATTGGACCCTCTTCGGCACAATAGTTTGGTGGTGCTCCGAAACGAGGTAGCTATGCTACACAGGCCATTGTCCGGAAAATAGTTAGGGACACCTCAGCGTTACCCCGGTAGTTGTCGAGTCAACCGGGAACAAAATGCGAGATCCCATCCCACACACAAAAAGAAGCCAGGAGAAACAGATGTAACGCTCAATGAATTCTCGTACATGCACCGAAACACGCCCGCTGTGCCCCAAACCCTTTCGAAGGTGAAGCACAGCAGCAACATTCAACCTGGCGCCCGCTCTGGCTGCAACAAAGATTAGTCTTGACGATGCGCTCTTCACGCCATTGGAAAACCTCACCACTCCGGGTGCAAATAGGATAGGTGGGAGTCTTTGCTGCAGCCGTCACAGCAGACAGCGACGTCGAGGCGTTGGTGCTGTTGACGCAGTCGCCACATGAAACTCGGGAAGATAGGTGTGATGTATTTCGCCGGACAAAAATAAGGTGGTGGACGAGGGAAGAAAACAAACGACGACGCCTCCAGCACGCGAAACGAAAGAAGGCAAGAGACTGAGATGATGAGAAATGGTCCATCCACGCAAGACAGCTGTGCCTCTGCCACTTTCCACAACGCGCTATGGCTTCCATCTAGTGCATATTCGTGTCTGCAACCGTCCGTTTATGCCGCCGGCAGTCCTGGTAGTGCGATCATTAGGCGGTACTGCTATAGCAGGGCGAGTGTATCACGGCGAGTGTGTGTTTCTCCGCCGTTGGTGTGCATGTATTTGACAATCCATCGGGAAGCGGATTCACCAATCTTGAAGATCTGCGCTGTGATATTCCAGATACGTGAATGAATTGCGGAATCCTCCATCGTCGCTACCTTGAAGCAGGGTGTCTCGCGACAGGATGGCGTTTGATTGAAACGGTATCCATGGGTGGTGTAGAAAGAGTTGTGTGCAGTAGGTGGCCCGGTATAGTGGCATGTAGGGCCAAGAGGAGAACATGCCACTATTCAGGGCAGTGCCACTATTCGATATATCGGGTTCATGTACATGTTGAGATTGTGACAAGATATTTTGTTGACACTATATCGGCAGTTCAACTATTCAAGCTGTATTGCGTTCCGCAGGGTGGAGGCGTATTCAATACAAAACTGGTCCATATTTCGTGCATTTTCTTGCTCGCGATGACAGCGCAACTCGACGTCTGACAAGCCACAACTAAATCTCTTCGCCAGTGCTTAGCATCAACGGAACAGACCACCGAACGTGCTGGTGCATGTGCCTGCGAAAATACCCAACACCATATTATTTTGATCAATTGCCAGATTTGAGAACCCATGTACACTGCCAGATATGAGCCGTACCCGGCGGTTCACTACCCCGCCCTACTAGTACACTGGTGTGTAGCCTTGGTGCGAAACATGCAACGAAAAAAAAACGTTGTCGAAGTGAGTTTAGGCCGCGGTTAACGCCGGGGAGTTGTGCACATATCCACTCCAGCGACCCAGGAAACGCTCGCCATATTTGGTTTTCCGCAGTCAAACTTAGCTTCAACCTGTCGCCCTTGCTGTGAAAGACAGACGTATTTCATCGCTTTCCGAAACAGTCATCTTTGCACTGAATCGGGGAGCTACAAGTTGAGGCTTTTGGGTGCAACTGCGGCACTCCGATTTTCGAATCCTTCCAAGCACCTATGCTAACGGACCACAGGCCTCCAAATGGACTACAGTGACGAGTACAATGTATGAGGGACGAGCGGTTCTGAAGCTGGGGGTCGGACACACTCACATTGGCCCTGCTTCGCGGCCACGGTGTTTGAAGCCTTCGAAAACTGAACCGCAACATAGCATTCAAATTCTTGCATTTGTTGCACTGCTGTACCTCAGCGACCTCAGCGACAAGAAGCCTTGTAGCTACTAATTTCCCTCGCGTTGTGCGCTGATCCTTTGGCGGGATGGTAGTTTGGTACTGAAGTTAGACTGTGCAAAACCAACCTTGGCAAGTGTTCCTGGGTCGAGGAAGAGGATATCTACACAGCCCTCTCGCGCCCTTAACCCAGTCCCTCCGCGAAAAAAAAATGCCGAGAACATGTTTGTCAGCCGTTGGTCGAGGGGCTACAGCCCCACGAAAGAATCTGAGCTCCTTGCCAGACAAGGGGTGAGTTGACTTCACTAAGTGTCCCCAAAACACGTGGGGACACTTTTCATACTGAAGCCAAGTCAGCACAAAATGTCAGTACCAAGCGATGTACAGTTTTTACGACCTTGGAGGCACGCGGGTTGGGAGATGTGTACAGTGCAAGTCAGAGGCCCATGAGAGGCAACACACAGCATATCACACCGCGTGCCACCTCAGCCAGGCATGATACACCAAGGGTTCTCACGTGCGTTGCACACAGCGGAGCCTAGGGCGACTACAGTGCGGAAAATAGGCTGTTGAGTGCTGTGTGTCCAAAGTGTCCCCATTTGGGCTTCCAGTACTAGGAGGATTAAAGCGCGTACGTTATTTGCGCAACTCAAGGTGGAAACGGAGTACGGTCCAGCTGAACGACGGTGGGGCTTTCAAGGGGGCGCAACGCTGCACGCAAACACGTCGCTAGAGTTTGGCGGTGAAAAAGAAGTACACGAGCGAATGGATAGTTGTTGCTCCCTCCTTGGAGTGCTGATGGATAGCCAATGGATCAATTGCCAGAAAAAACTCACACCGCTCGAAAAAAATGTACAATAATACAGTACAGGCTGTGACGTACTTGGCGATGGCAATGGCAATGTTGAGGCCTCCAAGCTCGTCGACCAGGCCTCTGTCAAGCGCTTGTCGCCCCGTCCACACCCTCCCTTTCGCCACCTTAAGAACCTGTCCGGGGCAGACAAAAAATAACCTCATTAATTGTAAATTATTGCGTTCCTGTGTATCACTACTACGACCCATGAGGTTTGGAACAGCTACGATCGCCGCAGCGGCCGCTATCATGGGTGGCAACCATTACGCACTGGGTCACGTCACGAAGAGGGCAAGGTGCGGAATGGTACCAATGCAGTTTCGAAGGCAAAACAAGGGACCAGCAGGAAACTACGGGCACCCTCATTGGTTGGTTTTATCCGGTAGCTCTGACGTGACCATGAAACGCTGTTGTCCGAGGTATCTCTTGAGAGACCAGATATTCAGGCGAAACAAGTGGCCCCCAACGCTTGACCCAGTGCGGAAGGGGATAGGGGGGGGAGACGCGAAGCCAGCGATTCGAGATCCGCCAGAGGATGGCGAGGAAAGCGGCCGCTAACGTGGAAGGGTTTGGGGACTTTGGCTTGACAGTGTCTGGAGAAGGAGACACAGACTCTCCGGACGCAGGTACACCGGCGAATCAGCCGATAAAGGCAACGGATTGTGAGGCAAGGCCACTACCATCACCAACTCCGCCACCATTGGCCCTCGAAGCAGCCGGGCCGAGGTACGCCCAGACCGTACAGAGGTTTCAAGCTGGATATCTCGATCGCAGGAAGGAGGGTTAGGGTTATGATGACTTCAGAAAAGGTCGCGCTGCTTCGATTTAGTGGGCTGTTCAGATTGGCTCCTCGAACGTGGCTAATCATTAGCCCGGGAGGGGGAGTCCCAAGCTCGTATCCTATGGTGGACTGCTCGAGATGAAATATTGTGTTGTTTGGTATCGGTTGTTTTGCGCAGATGTAATCTCTGAATATCAAACACCAGATACGATTCGAGCGGAACAGCGGCATCGAAGGGCTTGCCAGTGGGTGCTCTCGTATTCGAGTAGTTGGTATAGGGGCAACACGTGCCCACCAACACAACAGTGCAACAGACGGTCTTTCCACCAGCCGCCTCGCTCACCCAAAGAGGCATCACGGACGTGAGAGCGACCTCTACAAATTTGCAAGGCCCGACACACTTGGAATAAGTGGGAGCCCACCTCGTCGACGGACATGTTTCGGCCAGCCGCGACGCCACCCACGAAATCTTCGTAGATCTCCCCCACCCGCTTCTCCATCAAGCTTCGCTGTTGAGGGCTGAACTCCTGCAAAAACAACAACGTCGTACAGTGAAGTATCGAAGCCAACCGTGTGGCCGGCAGCAGTACGATGACCAAACTGTAGTCCGAACAACAGAAGCATCGACATCCTCTTGAACTTAAACAGATTGAACGCGAGGTATCACGGCGAAAGGTACGCAAAATTGCTTCCATTTCGGACGCGTACGACCCTTTCCTAAACGTTTGCACAGGGGCTCAGTTCCCATCCGAACCTCTTAAAACGCAAGCAGTGCACCACTTACGACCGAGCCTGTCAATACCACGGGGTTTCGTGTCCGTGTCCCGGAGCTTTTCTTGTAGTTGTTGGGGCACCAGGAGACCGGTAACGGTGTGTGCGTTACACCTATGAAGCATCCCGTACACGTGAATAACACCGCTGAACGCGACATCGACGACGACGCAAGAAAATTGCAGTATGTGCACGCCTTGCTGCCCCATCACGGAAAAAGGAGCGGTGAAGAGAATAGCATCACACTCAACTTCGATACATGGTAAGAAAGAAGCGAGGAACTGGAACAAGATCAGGCGGTCATACTGCCAGCACACACACCGCGATATCCTCGCTACGGTTCGCTACGGTTCGCTACGGTTGGCATGACGGCTAGTTCGGTGTTCACGACATGATTCACCTTTCCTCCCGAAAAAACTCTTCAAAGTCGAGATACATTCAAAAAATGGTATGGACACGTTCGGTCCAGAATCCAAGCTCAGTTGTGCGCGTATTCGGAAACGGAGGACTCAACTTGACCACGGCGTGTGTTTGTGGGAACCAAGACGGGAGGATACAACGCTACGTATTGTACCCGCGTGTTTCGTCGTCTCACAGCAGTCCCAGATGTCCGCCCACACGCACCTGGAGAGGAGAAAATGCGAGGTGATTCTCCGATAGCTCGATGCTGTCGACTTGGATGCCCCAGGCTTTCAGCAACCTAAGAACAAGACGGGATCATGCCACGCACGACGCAATCTGGAATCATGAACCATGCACCATCATGGCCGGTAAAACATTCCGACATTCCCAAGCGTGTGTTCGTGGGGGAGGGGGGGGGGTGCAACGACATCAGCAACCACAACCACTTGTCCAACCAACACATCCAGTCTCACCTCTGGACGGACAATTTAGCCGCGATGACACCGATTGACCCCGTGATCGTGGTCGGCTGTGCCACAATCGTGTCGCATGCAGCTGCTATCATGTAACCTCCGCTAGCAGCGAGATCTCCCATAGAACAAACCACCGGCTTTCCTGCCAGCGCGCACGTGACAACGACAATGAAGGGCTGACAAAGATTATTTACGGAAGAAGATGCAGCAATACAAACCTGAACGCGTTGGGCAAACCTCCGAGACAAAAATGGCATGAGTGTCCCACACTCCGAGTCACTTTCACACAATTCCTGACCTGCCAGTCTGACGCGACGAACTGCAGCGGCGATTGAGTCGCTCGCAACTGCAGAGCCACCTGGCGAATCCACCCTCAGCACAACGGCGCCAATGGAAGGGTCATCGATGACTTCTTGGAGGCGCTGGATTTCAACGTAGGGGAAGATGGTATGAGCTGCTAGAATTAGATGGGAGCGAGTTGACGGCTTGTAGAAATGTGCAGATGACCCGGGTGTCGGGTCACTACTGCCTCCGTTTGCCTACTGTTGCTACGGCTGACCTCTCGGAATCACTGGCTTAACAGATAGAACATGCACTTCTCGGCGGGGCGTGCCGGCACCATTCCTCCAAACCCAGGACGGAAAAGAGAGCAAGAAGTCGTGCATTGGACTCTGTCAGTAGTGAAGAAAATAGGACTCAGATAGCCAGACAAGTGTGTTTTCTACCGCATGGTTCGGTGCCGTACTTCTTCAAACCATATGCCAGGGGCACCATTCGTGCAAACAAATGCGGCTCGCCGTCAGTCAAACGACCATTTACTATTCCTTGGGGCCGAATTTGCCGTACGGTACAGTACAATCGGTAATCCGCATGTGTGAAAAAGGGCGGAGCAAACTACGAAATGCTCCCACATTCAATCAACGCACATGCGGTGGTACCCACGGTCTGCGAGAAGGAAACGATGCGTCAACGTGCTCATGGTAAAATGGTTTGGCCTTGCAGCATCTCTCACCCAAAAGCAGTTCATCCTGTGCCACTTGATAGCATCATTTCACCCCTAAGGTGGCAGGACGGAGACGTACTAAAAATATTCCGCCTTTCTTTGCCTCGTGCTTCTTCACACCCTACCCCCCCGGCAGCACTCGTACGAATGAGAAGTATTGTGCGGTTGCAACACTGACATTCATATGAATTCTTGGTATGCAGTTACGTATGTACCTTGCAAAGTGCGCTGCTGGTGGCTTGTTCAGTCGAGCCCGGGCCTACACCAGGGTCTGCGAACCTCGTGATCGCCCCGTTTGCGTTGACAAGAGCCACATTCTGCCAAGAAAAAACAAAAAAACACCGAGAAGCCAATAGAACAATAGGTTTGAAGAAACGAAACGTGTATTCGCCCACAGCGATGGTCTAAGAACGTTGGTCTCTTGCGAGTGGCGGGGCCTCCTCAGGGTCATACAGGATAGAAAAGCTTGTGCCACACTCGGGCTATCTTGTCGCCACGGACAACGTTTCGTAGCCTCGAACTGTTCGGAAGAGCTATAGACCAAGGGTGGAGGAGACAGCGAAATACGGCAGCACCGACAAGACCAACCGCTCCAAAGAGAAGCCTCTGATTGTCTCTCGAGACACCTAAAGCTGGTACGGCAGGATCTTGCGGTGGTTGTGCAGAGGTGCGTACATCACAGGCATGGCATTTCGCGAGGATGGGCTTACCTTGGGAGCAGGATTCTTGGCACCCTTCGCAGAATCGGGGAGCATGTTGGTATCGAGCACGCCCTCGGATGCCCTGTCTTTCCTGCGCAGACATCCGGAGGGTTCTTGGTGATCAGAGATACATGCGTGGCCGATCTCCAGAGACATAAGCCTAGCGGGAGGTGTGCTGATTGTAGGTATTGGATAGGTCGTCATACTGTAGGGGTGGAAATTCATGCAAAAACCGGAACTCACATCACGTGGCTCACGATAATACGCCGAAGCTCACAGCACGTACCTCTCGATGATGTTTCGCGGGTATTTCAGAAGAATGGCAACCGCCAGAAAACCGGTTTTTGTGCCCAAAATCAAGTAGCAACCTGCGAAGGTGCGAGGAACCACCAACGAGAAATCTGGCACCCCAACCATTGAGCCGAAACGAGGTTGCCCGATTGAACTGGTGTTCATGGCAATCCACGGCTGTTCGCCTATGCCTTGAGCCTGCATGTTGAAATTTTCAACCGCCCTGCGAAATCGAGGTCGTGAATAGTGCCGACACGCTCTATGCTGAGGCGCTTCTCAGCGGAACCCGAACCTGACAAGAAAAAAATGCACATGCACACTCCACAAGGAGCAAACCTCCTCTAAAATTTGACAAACCGCCTGTGTATTTTAGGTTTCCTTCATTCAACATGTAACAAAATCACACCAAGGCGACTTCGGCGTCGACCGAACACTCGATCGTACCATGTCAGAATCGGGACTCCACGATCACTAGACCAGAGGCACTTTTGCTGCCCACCATCTTGGAAAAGAGTCGTTCGCTGCCCAAGCAGGGTGTGTGACAAGCATAGACCGTGCGTTCCTCTGCGTAATGACTTGCCGATAGCTTCACTCCCAAAGCAAACGCGGTAGGTGTCCTTCTGTCAAACGACAACATGCGATTTTAGCGAAACTCTCACCCCACAAGCCTCTTTCGCGAGGGTAATCAACGACTGTTTATACGTAATCGGGTCTAGACACTTCGCAAGTGAGCGAACGCAGATTTGAAAGGGGGCACAGTTTCAGCTGCGGTAAACGAACGTGCTTGGGATACAAACACTCGTTTCGATAGAGCCCACATAAAACTATCTCGGGATTCTGGTTCCCATGGAAGCATGGGCGGGCCCCGAATTCACCGTGGCATTTTCACGCTATAGCTAGAACCGGAAATAAACTCGGGAGATTCTTCGACTCCTGCGAAGAGGTCTGCACCTTGTGGGGCGCGCCCGATGAAGCATAGCTGGTTGATAGCTCAATCTTTGGACGAAACCAGCAGATGACACAACCAATTGGCAAACGATTGGGCATCCTGCTTACGTGTTGTCACTCATCTTGACTACATGGTTCGACGTGTGAGTGGGAGCATGTTCGGCTCTCAATAATCGTAGAAGGAAATAATCAAACGAAACCGTGCGCTGGCTCGGGGTCTGTGTCACCGGGTTATCCGTGGAATTTCGGAATATTGTTCCATGGCAAACTGTTACCCTTCGCTACAGTACCCCTCAGGCCCGACAGCGGCAGTGTCGCATTCTTCGTCTGTTCAACACCAACCATTTCACGGGAATCAGTGTGCAAAACTATCATTCACAGGCTCACCGCATCTTTTCGATGTAGTCGCGCATGGAGACCCGCGTGTACTTGCTTTCCTCTGAATCGGCGAAGGTGGACAGGACGTTGTCCTCAGATTCATCGACCGAAGTCTTGAGCAACTTCCACACAAAACGCGCCAAGAAGAGCCGGAGGAGCAAGACCAGTAATTGGTTCAAATCACCCCCCTTCATCGGTTGGATTGCCGGAGTCTCCCGAAGGGGAGTGCTAAGCAAAGGTTGGGCATCACCCATTGTCTGAAGACGCAACAAGCACAACATTTTCATCACAGCTACAAGATTCACACCTCGATTTTCTCTCCAGCGGTGGCATCGTTCTCCGCGTCTGCCGTCTGCTTCTTGAACCCCGCCTTCACCATGCTCTCCACATCATCTTCATACATGATTCCTGTCGACAATGATGACGTCCCACACCACGCCACGGCGGCCATTGTTGAGATGCTACACCCGGCACGCTGTAGGTGGGGGAACTCCGCGCTCGAAGCAAACTTGACGAAACGAATTGAGGTTGACACGGCTGTACCCTCCCCGCATCGAGCAATGATGAATAAAATCAGAACCCGTATCGATCAAAATCACAGTCCATTCCCATAGCCACCAAAGCACTAATCGTGCATTCATCATGAACAAACAACAGAACACATAGGGAAATTAGCTACCAAGTGACCGCTTTGTAGCAAACATCGGTCAAGATGGTGAGTTCATGCTGATGTACCTCACACGAAACACGCAAGCATGGTGGGTGGAAATCGTGTGAAGAAGGAGGCTCGGGCTCAATAGGAGTATATCCTCGTCGATTTACGCTATCTGGCGTTTAGCGTGCAACTGTAGAATCGCAACAGATCAAGCAATATTCGTGTATTGGTGCTGGGATCGAGGAGTGTTGGTTTGCAAACCTCCGTTCGATTGTCTAGGGTTCTTCAGAGAGAGAGGGAGGGAGAGAGAAATGAACGTGAAAGGTTTGCTTCCTCGTAAAGAAAGAGCCCGTGAACGTGTGCCGCCGGGGTCAAGGGTTGAGAATACGTTGACAATGTAATGCAGGCGAATCTTTGTCTCGGGGCATCACCTAGGCATGCATAGCTCCAGATCCACTCTTACCCACCCAGTAGTTAGGATCTTTCGTTTGAACGTTCGGAGACCAAGGTAGTTCGGAAGTGGGGAGTTCTTATACGTGCAGTATAATAGAACTTGGAAGAGCTCTGATATTATTGCGGAGTCATTCTCCATTTTCTGCAATGTTCGCTCAAGGGTAGGTTATACCAAGGGGAGGTTCGGTCAGCCGCATCTGATTCAATAGCTATAGCTTGACTGGTGCTTTGAAGGAGGGTTTCGCCTTGATTAGGCAGCAACGACAGGTGTGGTATTGCGGAGATCGGTGCCGCGCGATTCGAGTACATAGTACGCATGGATTCTCCCTCATCAGGCCACAGAACTGTGTAATCGAGCAATGGGAACGAGACAAAAATGAAACGCTTGCGGCACGATCCATAAAAACAGTACTTCTGACTTTCCGAAAGAGAGTACTGAAAGAGAGTACTGGCGTTCCATTAGAAGCGCGGACACTTACCCATTTTGTTACATTGTCACAACAACCCGCAAAAAATTGCATCATGTGTACTATTTCAACATGATGACCATATGCGAATGCAGCAGTCGTGGCGGTTTCCCTCACCCCCGAATAAAAACACGTGGGCAATGAACTTACCGTCGATGAGGTTAGCCGACAGGGCAAGCGTCGCCGGGAGGGGACAGTCGTGCATGATGGCGTACACATCCTTCCGGTCCTTGAAACCCCTGGTTCAGGATGGTGATATGCATACAGCAGGGAAAAAAACTGAACGAAACGCAAACCTTGCACTTCGAGAACAATTCACGTGCTGTGCAGAGCACTAGTATCGTTAACAATATCATGCAACCCCATCTGTCCACCTCGGCGACCTCGACCAAGTCATACAGTGCCATGCCATGATCCAGAGGTACAACGTCAGACGTCAGCATCTGCCCTGAATCTTCTACTGCTGCTGCTGAGAACTCGTCACCGCCATGTTGATATCGACATCCACAGGTGGCTGGTAGCACTCAGAAGCAAACGGAGGTGGTCATCACCATTATTCTACTTCCTTCAGAATGAAATGGACTATGAACCTAGATCAGAGGTGCAATATTATCGTCAAGAAAAACAAATTGCACGTTTTGTGGCCACCGGTTACGCCTCACGTATGTACACCCAGGCATAACGTACCGCTCGTCAGAGGAGCAGCGTCCAACAGTAAAGGTGCAGCAGCAGCTGCTGCAGCAGTCTAACCCCAGGCCTCACCGGGACGCCGCGACGCCGTCCGCAACGTCGTCGAGCATGGACGTGAGAAGGGACGTCATCGCTTCTCGCTCGTGCGGGCTATACGCCTTCCTGACCAGACTCTCCGCGGCGCTCTTGTACTCCTGTGCGGAATGTGCATGAACGCTTCAAGAGTTGGTCGAGCGTCAACCATCGAATGTCCCTTCAAAACCGACACAATTTCCCTTCTGAATTCAGCGCGAATTGAGTTAGATGTGAGTAAACACCCACCCACGATAGTTTCATGCCGCATATCCACCTCTTGAAAAACTGATCCGAAATCGACTTCAAAGTCAACCTTCTCCCTATCTAGTGGCCATTGTACAACGATACAATCTTGGACACCTTTCGCTATCTTGGGGCGGTCGAAGAAGAAACAAATCTAATCTATGGGTTTAATATGTATTAAACAAATATTTATTGGGTTTTAGGGGACAAGTCGCATCGCAAGCCGACATATGCCACACGTGCAATGTAAACTTTTCGTACCCACCTCGCGAGCGAAGACCTCGGGCTTAATGCCGTACTTGTCCAAGAATCCCCTGAAAAACAGCTTTTGGCCACCGCTCCCGGTAAGACCCACGTAGCCAGTCTTTTGCACCAGAACCTTCTCGAATGCGGAGGCCAAGAAGTACTCGCCAACGGCCTGTTTGGGAAAGGAAACCCCGAACATGATAGTTCCGGTCGAGTCAGAACCTGGGCGGCCATAGTAAAGCAGGAGTCCCCGCCTCGATTCAACTGAATCCGACCTAGGAATGTAGAATTGTTTCGCCCAGGGGCAATACAGTAGCCCTTGTTTCCACCCGACAACTCAAACACTCCACTAACAACCCGACGAACGAAGGAGCTATAAATAGATGCATGGCAATCGAGCAAATTGTGTCTCGAGCTCGTGATCACAGCATCATCCTCATGACAACTGCGAAACTCACACAACGCGGCGAACCGACAAACCAACTCTACCCAGCCATCTCACCGGACCGCCTTCCCCGAAGGTATCTGCTACCGCGATAGTAAACCTCTTCCGCTGCCGCCCGTCCGCCTCTGCTCCTTCACCAGCGGTAGCAGAAGCATCACTGCCGGCCTCGCGAAAGCGAGTGACGGCATCGCGGACCTCTTGAACGCAAGCCAAGTATCCTCCTCCCCAGCTGCGGTAGCTGAACCTGTTTGTTGCAAGTGCAAAGCAGCATCGCGGGAAAACGATATGGTTTTCAAGAAAGAGAGAGAGAGAGAGAGAGAGAGAGAGAGAGAGAGAGAGAGAGAGAGGTGAAAAAGAACAGGCCGCAGTGTGGTCATACAAGAAGAGCCAGTGAAATCCTACTGCACATCCCAAAGGTAGTCATCGCACAGACCTTGAATAAAGAAACACTGTCCACGAGGTCGGGACCACCCTTTCATCCAACACGTCTACATTCGTCTCCATGCTGCGGTGGATTTACTTGAACCAGAAAGATGGCTGTGATGACAGAGAGAAAAATCGTTCGGGGGTGTAAATTTGTACTAAGCCGACAAGTGCATAAGTGTATGCCAACAGGAACAGAGCCCTCCCTGTTACGGCAAACATTGCACCGCTCCCCTCTCAGACGTGGATAGCTTCTGCCGCCGCAAGATTCCATCAACCACAAATAAAACAAGACACTTGTCCTGTAACTTGTACACACCTGCCCAAGACGCCCCTGACCTTGTTGTCCTTGGCCGCCATCTCAAGAGCATCCACCACATCCCTGCACGTTGAAAAAAGCAGAGAGGGGCATTCTTGGGTAAAGAGATATGACAAACAGACGGATGAACATCATCACCTAGACGTCCCCCAACCCGCCGTTACCACCATGCGCGAAAAACACAAACACCGGGAGACCATCGACACATGGTATCGTATTGATTGCCGCACTTACACGCGTGTCTGCAATTGCCGGCAAACGTCCACCCAGCATAATCTCCACTTGCACGAAGCAGAACAGATCAATACGGCACAGATCACGAATGACTAGCCCATCAACCACACAATGCATCACGAAGATCGCTTACCTCGTCTCCATACCCTGAACATACCAGAACAAACGAAGTACATCGCGTGATGGCCAACGGTTGCCGCTTACAGATATCCCACCTCGCACAACACAACAGTAAACCCCAAGTGCACTAAGAAACGAATGGGATGAAACCGCACAGAATGATGAACCAAACGTCCCTTCGGACGCAAGCAAGAGGCTTTGGTCGACACGCGAACAATATTGATGGGCTCGCGGCGACAGAAATTACGTTTTGACGTTACTGGATGTGATTCAAGCCCCGCCGCTCCGCTAGCAAGCACAAGTTTCCGACGCCCCAAACGCCTGAAACATTGCACTTATCGCCGCGTGACGCCAAGGCCGTCCACAGCGGGGGAAGAATACTTGTCACCGCAATCACTGAAACAAACACATGCACGCTACTGCTGTTCAAAGAGAAGTATTGTCGCGGACCGTGTTCACTCACACCCCTGAGAAACGCGGCATACTTGCCTGAAATACAGCGGCTGCGGCTCGCCAGACACGAAGGACAAATCCACGCCCGGCGGTGTCTTTGACAAGGGTCGGGAGAGGTCCATGTCGAGCCAGATTTCGCCTTCGGGCAAGCGATTGCGCCTCCGCCGGTTCTACTCGAAATAGGAAACGCAGGTACATCAAGAAAACGGCACGTTAAGCAACACGTGTTGATTGAATTGACTTCGAGGAAATGGAAAATGCGGCAAAATTTGTTCACCATACAACATCTGCAGTACGAAGGCAGTCGTAGAAAACATTATTGCCTGAGGTGTCGACGGGTACTGCTGTAGAAGCAACAGTAGATTGCAAATCGAGTGGCTCATTTTCTACAACAGCACGAGAGACAGCAGTGTCAAGTAGAGCCTAAGTGACCACCGAAAGAGGCAGGGCCGAGACCAAACCGACCACTCTGAGTCCGCATCTTGTTTTGCCCACGGAGCGGTGAAGCCTCGACTTTTTTTCCCATCATCCAGGAGAAGCAAAGAACGACTCTGAGGTCATTTCTTAAGGTTCATTTTTGGAGCTGTCTTTTTCTTTTTTCCTTCTCAAAAAATGACAACTGGCCACAGAAACCCTTCTTACGGTCTTTTTCAGGGGGAAAAGGCCAACAAAAAGAGACAACCCGTTTTGGACAGCCCATCCTGTCTTTTTCTGGGGCAGTTTTGGTTAAGTCGGGGCTGTCTTTTTCTGTGGTATTTTTTTTGTCACAACCACATGACGCTACCTACAAACTTCATCTCTCAACGGTTGATCCCCGCAAACTCTAACGGTGTTCACACGAGCTGTGTCATGTGACTGGTACAGAGTCAGTAGCATCAGCGGTAGCGTTGTTTTTTCATTCGGCTGGACCAAGTGGACAACCCGATGTGTGCGGCGCAAACAAGCGGCAAACGAGCCGAGAGAGTCTGGACGAAGCAGCGGGGGGTCTTGGTTGGTGTGCTGTCAAATTTTGCGAACCCAACTTTTGGGCGCCCTATAGCCTCCTGATCTGTGTCAAACCACCACGCAAGACGGACCATACGCGCAGCTCATGGCGGATACCTTTGTCATCGCTGTTGCTGTAGTGGGCGGCGAGGGAGCATCGATAAACCAAAGTTGCGACACAGGCCAAAGATAAAAAAACAACTGGTTGCTGGCGCGGTGGGTATTTTTCCGGCGTGCTGTTGACCCTCGCCACTTTCCGCGCCTCCAATCGCCCTGTGGTCTCTGACAGCCACCACCCAAGACGGACCATACACACAGCTCATGGTGGATGCCTTTGTCATCGCTGTTGCTTCGCTGTATGCGGAGATATCACCGAAACACCATAGCGGTGGAAAGTGTATGTATGTGTGGCAAACGGCCGTTGCAGGGTCTCTTTTTTTCGGTCGATGGCCCCGAATAGAAAAAAGGATGGACCAGCACCGCCAGAAGGGGGTTATCTTTTTTGTAGATCATATTTTGGGTCGTCTCTTTTAGGGAAAAAAAGATTGAATAAAAAAGACACCGTAACAAATGGCCTTATCTATATATCGGCCTCTTGTAAAGCCATGCAGGGTACCCTCGTTTGAAGTACACCTAATTTACGGGCAACCGAAAAAAAAAAACTTTTCGCCCAGAACAAAGCAACAGTGCACCGATTGACGATCGGTTGGCTTCTGACAGGGAAAAAAATAGGGCACCTTTCGTCACACGGGTTAGGTGGTGCTCCGACAAGAGGTGGCTATGCCACACAGGCCTGTCCCGAAAATCGTTAGTAGGCACCTCGCCCAAACCCGGGAGTTGTCGATCAAAGGGGAAAGTGGAGATCCCACACACACGATTCAAACCAGGAGAAAAAAAGGCAACACTCCGCTAAATATGCCAAACCGGCGGGAGGAGAAATAAAGTATCACAGCAGCAACAAAGAACCGGGCGATCGCTTTCTGGCTACACAACAACGAGGCTCGACGATGTGCTTGTCGGTATTCCCGTTGGAAAAACTCACAGCAGCCCACACAAATTGGCCGGGCGGGGGGGGTTACTTCTTTTGTGGGTTGTGGGGGTCGGCTGCTTCTCGCGGGGCTGCCCGAAGCCGTCCTGCTGCAACTCATTCGACTCACAGCAGCAGCAGGAGAAGTATTTCATTTGACCGTTTGACCGACGCGGGTGCCAGGCCAGATTACTGACAGGAACACCAAGCTGCTGTCATACAAAAGAGTTTGGTGCGTGGGCAAAGTACACAGAAGGAGATGCGTCGAGGGAAACTTGAATATTCGCCAGTCAAAAAAACAGAGGGCGGAAGCACGCCTGAAGACGGCAGCCCCCGTATCCTGACATGGGCATGCGCCAAGTACGTTACGTGGTTGATGCAAGGGTAGAAGTGTCATACAACGTGGACCGCCTCCGCGCGAAATTAAGTTCATGAGGAAAAAGAACAGGGAGGAGAGAAACACCCTGCGAAGTCTACTGAGCGAAGTCTTTACTTCGCACAAGTACTTACTGCTGCACAATTGTAGAAGCCTTGACAGTAGCAACGACAGATAGCAGGCCCTGCCCTTACGACTTTACTTCGCACAAGTACTTACCGCTGTGGAAGCCTTTGCAGCAGCAATGACAGATAGACAGGCCCTGCCCTCACGCTTATACAAGCTGCGCCAGCCAAGAAGCTAACAAAATGGTTGAAAGCCAATTACACCACGATTTTTACGAGTTGGAACCTGAAATTTTGACATGTGGTTCGTAATAGTACAACAAATACAACTGCTAGCCGTGCTTGATATTTTTGGTGTTTTTTCATGAGGTAGCCCTATTAAAGGAAAAATGGGAATCCTTTAGTTGTGAATAGGAGGATGTTAAGGAGGACCCGATTCGCAGGGTATCCGTCGATTGACTTTTACCAGAATCGGTAAATTAAAAAAGTACGGCTAGCAGTTGTATTGGTTTTAACAATACCAACCACATGTCAAAATTTCAGATTCCAACTCGTAAAAATCGTGATGTATTTTGCGATAACCTCACATGTCCTTAACTATCTTGTGTTTTGTATCGGATTCTTGCGAGGCCGTAACTCTTGATGGAAGATGATGAGAGCCTTGCAAGTACTCTCGTTTTTCTCGCAATGCTCCCAGGTAACCGCACACCACATTTCAGCTTACTCACTTTTTTCATGCTGATTTCAGTACCGAAAGTATCCCCCACTACGCCGCCAAATGATCTTTTAATACCTAAATCAACTCGGATTCGAAAATTTCTGGCATCTTTGTTTTCCCTATTGTCTCATAGAGTAACCACCACATTTCAAGCCTAAGTTCGTGGAAACGACAGCATGAGACGTGAAACAACGAAAGTGAGCTTCTTGGCTGGCCCAGCTTGTATTTCGATTTGTCCGCAAGAGGGCTGGTGCGTTTACCGTATATGACACAAGATAACACACCCCCTGGACCGATTTTCAAAGCTCGATTACTCCACGACGAAGAGGATGCATAAATGAAACAATACGTTTTCGAACAGCTCTCGACGAGACGGTTCCAACGCCGCCGTTTTCGGTGCTGTGACTCTTCCTGCTATTGAGAAATCGAGCTTTGAAAATCGGCCAAGGGGGTGTGTTATCTTGTGTCATATACGGTAGGGCTGGCATATGGACGACGGGATTATTAACACATGGCATACCATCTCCCAAAGTCATTTTCTCAATGTGCGTGTTTAGAAGTACTGCACAGCAGCACTTTGGGAGATGGTACATACGGCCGGTGTCGTTGTTGCACTGCCCGGTTGTGCGCGTTAAAGTGCCCTTGTTGTCGCGGGTGAAAGTTGTCCTTTGGTGGTCTGTTACTCTCCGCACGGTACTGCTGTAGGCCAAGTTCCTCTAACGAGAGGAAAGATAAACTAGGACAGAGCGACTAACACCACAGATTTTAATTTGACGGCAAGAGAAGGAGAATATTATGTGTAAGGGTCACAGCGCGTTGGGTTTTGTCTTGATGACCTCGCGGTCGTATCGCTGACACAAAGTCTATCCCAACAGCCGCAGCGGGGTTTCCAAAGGAAGATTGCCTCACCATGTACAAAAGCGAAGCTGCTGCAACGCCACCCACAAGGAAGGGCCGCTGCTTCACCTTGCTCAATATCATGGATGATGTCATCCTTTCTCTTTACAACAGAGCAGCAGCAGCCTTCTTAGTGACTCTCTTGCTGTGTCTGGTAAAGGCCTGGTAAAGGAAAGGCAGTCGGCAGTCGGCGGCAGCAGGCGGATAATTGCGGCGGAATACGCGGGGGCGCGCAAAGAGTAAGACAGAGTGGTACAGGGGGCTCCGCGATACACACGCGGTGGCAGCGAATCTTGCCACAACATGCAGCAGCAACGCGCATACCTGTGCAGCCGTCAGGTGTCATTGACGTCTGCACCTCTTGTAAGCGGTTAATTAGGGTAGGCAACGCACCATTGGCACGCGGGTGGGGATACACTGAGTGTTGGTGTGCTACAATGGTGAATCGGGACTTGATATATATATATCTATTTGGCGGGAATACATTCAATTCTTCAATGAATGTATAGTCTACACATGTAGCTGTCTCCCTCCAGAGTATCACGCAGTGTGTTGTATATCTACAGACCACTGAAGTATGCAACACTACTCCGAAGTATTATTTAGTCGATGCAAGAAGACAGTAGGTGTCCGCAGCATAGACGACAGCAGCAGACTAATTTAGTGGGCAGTCATCTGATGGCTCGGGACGTAGCCGACGGGCGTGAATATGCGTGCGGGACGGTTGGCGAGGAAGGGGGGGGTGCGATACTACTACATCGTGACCGGAGAGGGCATTACATCCTCTCTAGACTTCTGGACATGTATGTACGTAGTCTTAGACTTCTGGACCTTGGACCCTCCAAGCAGACCCAGGTCAACATGCACAACATCCTCAACGAAGGCATGCGCCGTCGATGACCCCACATCACGTCCCCATTAGTCGCGATTCTCTCCGGCAGGTGGATGCGGAGGTCACCCGGAATGAACTATCCAAACGTCACGCCGACGAGCTCTTGCTAACAACAACATCACCCCCAAGTGAAACGATGATGAACTAATAACAACATGCGTGAGTCCTGCCTGGCTGACGGCACAGACTCTCGCTCTGTGAAACTTTACAGTAACGCGCGGCTGCCGTTGACCCAACCCAGGCCGTACCTGACAGAGAGATGTGTGTTATGATGGAGGACCCCTTCATACCGGGGTGCCCTACCGACCGACGACTGTTCCGTATGATGTGGTAAAGGGGTTCGCGACGTACTACCTTCTTCAGTCCTGGTGTGCCACCGGCGCCGAAGAGTTACACTGTAGTCTACATCAGTCAAGGGGCGTATGTCCTCTTGCTGATTCCACCGGTCGACAGAGCGACAGGGAATGTGGATGTGTGTGGTCGAACGCCCGCCGATCCGAGTCTCGGTGCCACCTTCATGAGCCAAACGCCAGCTCTCTCGTTTCGAAGGGGGTCTTTACGGAGACCGAGGAACACCACCACCGCCGTGTTGCCAATATTAGTTGAACGCACACAGACTATTTAGAAAATTCGAAAGGAACTCTGCCTCAGAGGAAGGTTGCGGCGGCACTATGTATCTCTGAAGTATCGTTCGTTGTATATGGGCATCCTGTTTTATTAGCTCGAAGCACATACTATGATATATGGAAGAAGGAGTGACTGACCTCATCTCGGCGAGGGTTGATCCGCACATTGTGAAAGTCGACACCATGATTTTGCCATGAAATCAATATCGACTATCGCTCACAAGTTTTGTCGACCTCGTCATCACATTCGCTTGCAGACGACCCTATACATAGTTCGTCGCTGAACTGGGCGCTCTGACTTCGCGTTCCCTCGCCATCAGGTTATCATGGCCTTGGTGATCCTGCTCGTTACTTTCTCCGTGGAGCGTAGACGGTAGCAGCGTTCCATGGGTCCAACGAGGGCCAGTTTCTACCGCTGTGTGCCGTTATGTATTGATCAGGGCCTCAATATCGCGCATCGACCTATGCCTGTTTCTGCGCAAGTCAGAGAGTTTGGTCTGAGTTTCACACGCCCAGCATTACTAGCTGTGCTGGATATTCCCAATGGCAACAATGGGATGCTGGGGAGCGACCAGATTCCCAGTTCCAAAATGCACTTTTGTGGTCGTCAAAAGACAGGCCCTCTGCAAGACATTGTTTTCGTTTTCTCGAGTCCGGGGGGACATCGGACCTCGCCTCGGTGTTTCCCAGCTTGGGCACACGTGTTGCTGTTACCACAGCTGACTCGCAACGCCAGTGGCAGGCTATTAGCGAGAGAGACTGGTTGGCATGTATGTAGTTCACGTCCATTCATCTCGTAAACGTCACGAATGCCCAAACAATTTTTTAAGGCGCTGTGGAGGGGGTGTTCGAAAGTGTCCTTCCAAAAGCGGTATACTGGCGCTCATTCTGGCGTTCTGTTAAATGTGTGGGGGGAGCATGATATGGTCCAACCGTTTTCCTAACAGGTACACTAACGGGTATTCCACCGACACGTCATTGCCGAGCAACGGTCCCACGCAAGCCGAGCTCCCGAGCTTGTGTCCGGTTTCAAACTCTCCGCCCGATGCGAGCATCACACACGTTCGCCAATATTCCGACTACTTCCCCCCCGGAGCTTGAATGGAAATTCAGGCGCCTCGCTATTTCGCAGGGCCCGTTCCATCGGGGTTGTACTTACGCCCTCATTTTTCGCCCTGAGGGAAAGGAAAGGGGTCAGCAGAAATTTGCTCTGGTTGAGAGGTCTGTTGGCGTGTTCTTCCTGATATCAAGGCATTTGTTGAAAGGGAGTTAGCTTTGGGCTGGACCTGTCTTTGCCGGGCCCAGGAAGACTGAGCTTGCTTGCGTGGATAATAGGGTCGAAATGGAACCAGTACAAAAAAGAAAATACAGCAATCAAGCCAGGCCCCTTTCTTCGCGAAGCACACAGGGCGCCACTGTTCAACTGTGAAGCACGAAGAGGTTGTTCTTTGGGGAACAAGTTTACTTCAGTATCAATACTGATTCAGTTCATGGCATGGTATGGGTTCGCCGCCACTTACGAAAACAGTAGAAGCCGCAGCACAGGCAGCAGTATCTGCGCTGGTTGGCGGCACCCGTTGAGCGAAAGCCCTCAACATATTGGACGAAAGGCTTGAAACTGCACAAACATTACCGTAGGCAACAAAACCTGCGGGAATAATATTGAGTGGATAACTTTCAAACACACTGGAATCAAGTTTCGAGTCACTTTCGCTTGGTTTCCCTTCGTACCTGTCTTCGCTAGCTGCGCGCGCCCAACGGAAGACTGTACGAAGGTATTGAGCTGCGTCCTCTCCACGGCTTCCAAGTACTCCAAGAAACCTATTTCACCGCCCTATATTGTCAACGCATTGGGATGAAAAATGTGTTAGTTTTCTACATGGCCGAACATCCTATCGCCCCGGATTTGCTTGGTGGATTTGCTATCGGGGTGCGCAAGCCAAAACGCTTCTGCCGCTGAGCTCGGGATCGATCGGGTGATATTCTCTATCTCGTGCCGGTGTCAGGTAACAGACCTTTTTTCCCCATGGGCACGAACCTTTATCTGAACGTCCAAATAACCGCTAAGGCAACGAGCTCTGGAAGAAAACTCTAGATCGGACAATTCTCCGAGGCGCCAAGCAATTCAAGCCGTAAATCCTTGTTGCGATACCGATTAATCTCGTGTCTTGAAAATTGTTTCCTTTGGGAAACTTTGAAGGAATATCTCGGGCAGGGCCGTATCTATTCGGTGGTACCAGTGTTAAAACGTTTGCCTAGGCTCCATGTTGTCTCTGGCATATCCTACATACCAAGAACGTACTGTAGTTGAAACAACCCCGAAACTGCACCCGGAACTCGTACAGAAAACGCAACAGTGTAGATCTGACGGTCAGGATGAATGGGACGCCTTACACAAGCATACACGGACCCCGGCTGAGCTGGATATGTGTGCGTTGGAATACATGCAGACGGCCCGTTATGCGTGTGACTTGCCGTGTAGTCTCCGACAGACTGCCGTCCCCATGTCTAGTTTAGCACCTGCTTCTACTCTGTTCTGAAGTATGTCCCTCCCTCCGTGCACCTACGCTTGTGCAACATTCTATCGTAAAACACGAACCTAAACCACGCCATTGCAAACTTCTACGTAGTTTCAGTCACGCTCGGACCTTCCCGCCTTCTCTGGAGCTCGCAATGAGTAGGGCGTGAGACCTCAATGAAACACGTAAGCGGAAACAAATGCATTCGAGCAGAGCTAAAACGCTTCTGGGCTAAAACTGCAGGACGTTGCTTCATCTGGTTGTGAGTTTCGGCATAATCACTTGAAACGTTCTAACTGCGTGAAGAAAAGAAAGAGGACCATGCACAGACCTCACCTGCGTCCCCGTCTCTCGCATACCTTCCCCGAATAGTTCCTTCAGCTTCGCTTCCATCTTGGTTCGCCCATACCTATCGGGTCGTCAGCGATAGTGACGACGTTGACGGAAAACGGCCGGCGGTCATAGCCCTATTCGTACGCCATGTAGAGGTAGGTCGCTATCCTAATGACATTATCCAGTTGCTTTCCATTCGCCAAACGCACAGTTTCACCCGTACGGACAAGCACGGTGTCAAGGGACCACCAGTGTGTGGGGCAAGAAACGTCTTGGTGAGAAACAAACGCAGAAACGCATGCACGAGCTATTGCAACTCGAACCGACGCGGCAGTCGGTCATTCAGAACATTATGTAGAGCGCATCACGCTTGCGGAGTTGTTCTGACCGAGTATGACTTTATTCGTGGTGTGCTGCGGGATGTGACAATGAGGGTACATGTTAAGCCGTGTGCTTCCATGCTTGAGAGCTCAAGGTGTGACCCAACCGCAAACGTGGTACAAGCCGGGGCTGATGTATGCAGCAACATGTAGGCGCATCTCACACCTCCCTCACTGCACACCCAGTTTCCCCAGCAACGGGTTCAAAATCCGTCTCATCGATCAACAATGCGTCGCTATGTAACCCCTTGCCTCATCAACGCGTATCAACCCCCCGCTGGACTGCCGTGGTGCGGAGAATCTCGTTCATCCTGCATTCCATAGCGGTATGTGGTCCAATACAGAAAGCCTCAGCTATTTCCTGCAGTTCCTATAGCCTGCGATTGTTCAGCATGCAGTCGGCGTGAAGATTTTCCCTGTATTTTGTGCTTGCCTGGCGTAGAGCATATTCATGGTCTCGTCCACGGACACATTGACGTTGTTGTCCACGTCGTACAGCATGAACTGCACCATGTTGTACAGCTTTGCCGGTTCAAGACCCGTGTGGTCGTTAATGTTTCGGAAGAACATGAGCTTAAACTCGTCCCTTTCACGCGTTGCAGCAAGAGACCGTGGGAAAGGGCGAACGTTTTTGTTTTTAGCGCGTGCAACCAAGTAAAACAATTCAAGCATGCATCGCTCTATTGTAGATTTAGAATGCAACACATACTGTGTACCGCATGGATGCACCATCTGAAAAAGAATTTTTTCCTCTTACGATTCTCCGCTTCCAGAAACATGTGACGTTGAAATTGAGGGCGGGCAGCGTCGTACAACGCACACCCTTCGCGAGGTATCAGACCGAAGTTGCCGACATAGCAAGGAAACTCTCGTGGCTGCTCTAGGGTGTGCGAGTGAACGCGGTGTCGTTAGAAACCATTGTGGAACGTTCACTGCACGCTCACCAGCCATTGAGTCATTCAAGCGTTCGCCAGCCCTGCATGGAAGTCCTGCCACATATTTCAGTCCTTAGTTTAAAAAAGTGCAGTCGGCTACATGAAATCGTGACTTGAGGCAGCATGCGTTGTCCTATTTAAATTTGAAGTGCCGTCCTGCGCCCCTCACCAGTCTACCAAGCCATCCAAGTTCTCGTCCACTTCCCAAACAATGTCCGTCACTTCCTTCCTAGTGCACTTCTTGCCCAAAAACTTCATGTGCTCCCAGATGTCCTGCCAATGCGATTTTCAATCGAAGAATGGCTATGGGGTGTGAAACACACCTGTTAGGAAACGACGATTTGCTGTTAGGAAACGACGACTAGCATTTACCTTGTTGTATGCTTCGGGTGAATTTGCAACTCCTTGCAGCATAATGGCAGGTGTTCCAAGCGTCTTTCAGGCATGCTGGCATGGCCGAAATAGGTAAAACGACTTCCATCACCATGATCGACCCTACCGCCCCAAGGTCGCTTACCACTGCGGCCCATAGAGGTCTACTGGTGGTGTTTGTCGTATGACCCAATGCTCACCACGGCTTTGATCTTTTTATCTGGATTGTTCTCTAGGCGGACAATTTCCTGCTCCAGTGCGCGAATTTCCTCGTTGAGCCTGTTTTCCTGTTGGAAACAGAAAGAAATAACGTCAAACGCGGCAACCCCACCGGTGGCACGACTGAAACACCACGCACCACAGTGGAGTTTTCAGTAGTCTACGCAGGTTTTCTAAGTCCAAACAAACATGCTGGATAGAGCATACAATCGGCTAAGTTAGGATTAGGGTCCGCGTGCCCCCTGTCTGGTCTTTTTTCGAAATGCACTTACTTTCTTTGCGTAGGCAGTCAGGAGGCATAAAACATTCTGACAGCTTGTGTTCAGGGAGCGTGTACGTATGCGTATTTTCTATTACGGATTTTCCCCGAACCAAACGTAACCAACGGTCATTGGAAATGATGCATCAACGAGACGCAGTCCGAAACATCGTTTCCTAATATAGGTTTCCTGAGCCTTTCGCCGTGCGAAACTCGTTCACTGGACTGTGTATTTCGCCCACGCTTCGCCGTAATCGGAAACTGCATAACCGCAATCGTGACCACGCTTGCGTCTTTGACTGGCCTAATTCGGCTGTGGAACCGTTGGTGAGCACCCTTACTAATACCATATAATATCCCCAAACATCCATTCATGTTTGCCTTGAGAGCGCAATCAAGTCCACTGTAGGTGATTTAATTGTCCAGTTCATTCAGGGCCGGTTCAATGTTTTCCACGTGAACGGGGGTAAGCCGGCCTTGCCTTAGAACGGTAGAGTATCGGATGTTACAGGTGCTGTGTGTAGCGCAATGTACATGAAGCGTGGGGATGGGTAAAGATACTGAAATGGCCGATAGCATAGGCAAGCTGGCATCATGCATCAATATCTGTGGCCCAGGGGTCGTCAACGGGGGGCAGTAGGTGTTCTGCGCGAACTCTTGAATTTGTCGAGCTCTATATCTGAGTCATTGTCGTTACGGAGGAGCATGTAGTTATGGATCGCTACTCGCCGACTTCCACCAGGCAAACACGAACATACAGGGTTGTCGCGTCATGTTGCCATGTCAGTTCTCGCGTACCTCTGCCTTTACGTTCGCATCGTTGGCTGCAAGTTTCGCCTGCTTCGACTGTGGTGCGGCCGAAAGCGCCTCCACCTTTGCCTGCAATGCGTGGATCTCCTTCCTAAGCCTGTGGGGACATGAGGAGAAATTGACGGCTAGCATAACGTGTATTGTAAGCGATCCACAGTTAACAGTTCCAGCTGAGACCTCTTGTCTTGTAGACCGAAACGGCAAACAGAGACACTAACAACCCTTTCCCACAGCGAACTTCGCTAAAAAAAATGAGGCCGACATGTTGAAAACTGAAACGGGGCCGAGGCTGGGCGTTGCCTAGAACTGAAGAAAGTCAGCGCCTCTCTTCTTTTCGTCCGAGCAAGAGGTACAACGAGTACTCTTCTCAAGATTTGATCTTCACACGTTCAGGTGATGCTGCAGGCGTGCGCCAGGTGCGCCAAGAATCGGGGCGATCATCCGCTAGACTACATGTCAAGTACGGTATGGCACCTACAAACTGAAAGGGGGATCGAGTTGCATTGTGCGGCGTGCTACATCGGGACGGGGCGTTGTTTCACACAACCGATACAGCTAGTGTTCGTATCCAACATACGGGACGGGAAATACCGCTACGTTGTACCAACAAGAGCAAGACACATGTGCTGCAGCAGATAATTCAACAATACAGTGATCAATTACAAAGCGCCGTGAGCGACATAAACGTGCAGCAATAGAACGCTCGTGTTGTTTCTCCGCCTGGAATACAAGAATCGGGCGGCCCCGGTTGCCCGAGAGGACTGATGCTTTGGAGCTTTACTACATACAGTTTTGAATGGTTTGCCACGGGCTTGGCGACACGAGGCTGCAGTCACTGCTGCGCCGAGTGGTTAGCATGGTCCAAGGCTACAACATTGTTGTTTTAGTACATTGTACGCTGGCGTGGGGGGTTCCGAAGGACAGGGCCGCGATCGAACTTCAGGTGCTGCTCGACTAAACACTACAACAGCAGTATATACAACACGTTCTGCTCGACTATCTATGTAGACTACAACAACAGGATACACAATATGCGTATGCATACAAGACAATGTGAACGCCAATAAAGCTTTCTCAGAAAAAAACAGGGTATACTGACCATATCGGCGATATTGTTGGTTCACACGCGCATCCAGTCAAGCTTCAGCAATGGGTTGTAGTTGGGTAGGAACGGCACTGTCCTGCATCCCCTTGCTTACTTTTCCTTTTGGCTGAAGTCGCACAGACGATGGTACACTCTTCTCAGACCCTTGTCCTCCTGTTGTGAGATATTGATCACTTCGTCTTCCTCGGCCATCGCCTCCCAGGATATCAGGTATGGCACAAGCTACTCCGTTCTTGTGGTGTAGGAGGAGAGGGGGCTGTCTCTCGGCGCTCGTCTGAATACTACTGTCCGTGGCAAGGTGGGTCATGAAACAGTTAAATTCTTGGTCGCGCCGCGTTTCGTTTCGGGCCTCGGACCTGCACGCTTGGTTGTCGTGATTGCTCCGCATTTCACGCAGCAGGGGCAGGGGGTAGGGCGCAGGGGCAGAGCAGCAAGGAAACAAGGAAGGGTGCGACGGGGGCAAAGAGAAATGGAAATTGAGTATGGGGACATCACGAGCGACGAGGCTGTTGGCTTTTGCCTGCCGGATCCTAGGAAGGCCAGGGAAGACACCCTGAGCTTGCTGCAGGTAAAACACAACAACTAACAGAGGCCTGCCAGCTGCAATCAACCATGGTGTATGCGTATGGTCGAACGTTGTCGGGACAAATATCCCCCGCGGATATGCAACTCTTCTACATGGGTGCCACCTGTTGGCATGGGCACGCGGAATCTCGTGGAAACTGCGCTCGGCCCACTCTCACCTTGGACCCTCCGCTGGCCTCGGTCGCGGGCTGATGTAGTACTGCTGTACCACGACCCACCCGTCAACAGCGTTGTTCATGCTCAACAAGCCTTGAGTCCTCACCACTGTTTTTCAGTCCAAGGTTCCCGGTGGGACTTCTAGTTAGTTGGCTAGCCAAGCTTACGTCCCGGGGGCGATGCAAGAGGACGCGCCCAATGCCATCACGGTTGCATCGTCGCATGTCAACGTTGGCCAGTACAGGTTTTCCGCACAACCTGCAGATTTGTTTTTCGCGTCATGTGCGGGGTATTTTTTTGTTCTCGCGGTGGCCTTTCCGCGTGTGCGTGATATGTATGTCTTCGCCGCAGATCTTACGGCTGTAACCGCCGCGTTATTGGATGACTCGCTCGTATGTATTGGTAACTCACGGTATACAGAACGCGCCACCACTTAAGAACTCAGGAGTTGGGAAAATTGAGCCAAAAACAAAGCAAAATTTAAGAACTTGAAAACCGTTTGAGCTCTGTTGACGCCCTGCACTACTTTTGTACGTAAAACCTATATCGCGACCATTCGTAGATTCGTAGCATGACCAGTAACAACCCCAGCCCCGGCCGAAACTATGAAGAACTTCTTAAGTGGTGCCGCGTTCTGTATGTGTATGCGTTGCGCAGGAATTAGAAGTCTTCCTGTTCATGAAAAGAATAGTGTTTCGTTTTCTCGTCAAGGCTTGTTTGGTCGAATGCCTCCCCGCGAAATAGAGCCAGTCGCGGCGACTTAAGCGTCGATTGCACGTGGCATGGATGTCTGGCGGTCCCCGGGCATGGGCAGTAGCGTGCCGACGGGCCTCGTGCGTGCCCCTGAGAAGGAACCATGAGAAAACATTGGCTGCCGCGAGAGAGAATCGTCCCGAACCTCGAAAAATATGGATATTGGTAGTTGATCATTACCGTAGGTTGCATCAGATATCACATCCCAGCACAACGCACACAAGTCCCACAGACCATGGGCAACACAACAGCGAGTGGTCAAACGCAGAGGATCACAGCAGTATGACCTGCAGCCACTAGCCTAAAAGCACACCCTCACACACATGCGAAAGGTCACGGCGAGAAAATAATACCCCGTACATGATTCAATTTCCAGGAAATTCTGCAGGTTGTTGTACGCATAACCGGCACAATGACGTTGAGATGCAAAGGCTACCCGCGCTGCATCACCCGGCATGGAGCGGGTCCATTTTGCGTAGATTCGAAGGTTTGGGTTGTCTGACGTCACGTGCAAAGACATGATCGTCGATGTGTCAGGCTTACGCACTGACAAGAGCGTGCTCTCGGTGTTACGAACTCAAGTAGTTAGCCTCGCAGCACCTTGCTGCATCTAAATACCACCACATGAAAGGCACCATACACACAGCTAGGTGGCTTGTCATTGTTGTTGCTTGTTTCTCTGGAGAATGTTATCGACAGACCAAAGCGGTTGAAGCCCAACAAGCTGTCCGCGCGGGTTTCATGTACTCTCACTTCGAACGCATGACATCATAATGATCTCGGGGGAGAGATGCCACTGAGCCTTCTTCAGAGAGAGAGAGCCGAGAACCGCTGCATCCGGAGATTTCTGCAACCAAGTGTAGTTTCTGTACAGCTATTACCCCCTGCCTATGTAGTTTCCTCGCCAGACCGACGCTTGCAGCCACCAACCGACGACAGGTGTCAAAGAATGCGAGCGGGACGTTTTTTTTCGAGCTGATGCCCACCCTCGCCAACTCTAGTCTGAGACATCTAGTGCCTCGCCGTCTCTAACGACGGTCACACGAAAGGCACCATACACACAGCTACGGTCGGGTAGCTTTATCAATGCTATTGCTTCAGTCAGTGAAGAGACATCGCCTATTGACCAAAGTGGTGACCCAGGCCGAAAAAGCTGTGTCCACGGCGGGGCACCGCCTGTTTGGGCAGATGCCTACTGCTGTACAGCAGCAGATTGCCTCCTCGAAAACTTTTTGTTCTTACCCTCCCTGCTCCTTCCCGTGTCTGACGACGGTCACACGGGAGGCGCCATTCGCACAGCTACGGGGTGGCTTCGCCATTGCTGTTGGAGCGGTCTGTGGCAAGAACTCACCAGAAACCCAAACAGCGGCAGGGAATACTACGTGCGTGCTCCCCGGCTTCTAGAGGCCATGGCCTGTAACAATAACAAGTGTAAACGTCGACTGCAGCGTAACACACGCACACAAGGGGTTTGGGTTCCCGTAGATCCATGTGTGCATGTCTGTCACGACCTCTACGCGAGGGTATGTTGTGTATGTTGTGCGAAGTCAATCGTGTCTAAGGCTCAGAACACTTGCCGTCCATTTACACCGAACACACCTATCTACAGCAGTACCTACCGACGCCTTGCACCTCGACCTGCATTTTTTCAACCTGCGGGTATTATGCGAAGACCGGCCCCCCGTTAGGTGGGCGGGCGAAGCACCCCTCGTCAACATAGTGATGCAGACTGTAGACCGTTGCAACAAACCCACAAACTCTAAGAGATTGTTCGGGGGGGTTGCCGTCAGGGGAAATCGTATCTGTACGCCTTTGAGCACTCTGTAGGTTCTCCTGTGTGTCTTGTGCTTCGCACCCTGTCTTGTAACCAACTTGATGGTGACGAATAACGGGCTTTCCCCACCTGCAGGCGATGATCAGAAACCGATGCGAGAATTTTGGCGACGGGCTTTGCAAGGAAAGCAGAAGCATCAAGGTTCTTCAGGACTATCTCGAGGGACACGGGCTGCAGACAGAGTGTCATGCGAGGCCAGAACGGCCAGAACGCCACAACATTGTCTGTACGTTAACCTTGTTGTTTGGGTGGCATTTTCGCATTTCCTTCTGGCGTGTTTTTCGGGTCGTAGCCACCAACTACTTGAAGCAGGAGTGACGAGAAAATGACGACAACCACGGCGCGGCTGTGGAGTTATTTTGGAGTTGTCTCCAATCGCGGGTTGGCTTTGTGGGCATGTTCTTTATATTGGGATGTATCTTGCACTACTATAGACAAAAATGAAAGACCTAAAGTGCGTATCTTTTGGTTGGTACTATTAGGGATACATGTAGCGTATGGTACCTGTCGGTTGCATCAGAGCTACTGTGCGAGCTCCCGCGCGAGTCAGTCCGCTTCTTGAAACAATGCACGCGTGCCATTCACCATCATTTTGCCGCGCCCCCTTGTTTTGTTTTGTTTTGTGTTGTTTTGGGCGCGGGATACGCTCTCGAGCAGCCAGCATCGGGTCCGGCTCCCCGAGAGTGATGCTTGGCCCGGCACACGTGGACGTCGTCCCCGCCACCCCGGATGACGCCTCACAGGTTCAGCAGGTGTACAGCGGCTGGGACGAAGATCCCTGGTCGGGGACGGTGACGGATGGCGAGGTGTTCGGGAGAGGCGCGGTGGGTGCCTAGTACCTCACTTCATCTGATGTCGTGGTCACTTTGGTCCCACTCATTTTTTTTTTGTCTTTTCGTGCATAACATGGCGTGTTGTGCAGCATCCTGGGTCCTCAAGAAACTGTGCAATACCGTGTGTTCTGACGGGGAATAAAGGTAGGGAGAGCCGCAAATGGCCAGGTGATGTCTATGCCGCGGACATGTCGTGAAGCCGACCCCCCAAAGGGTTTTCTGTCAAAGATCGTCTGGAGGGTAACTGCTGTACCTGCGGTACTATGTGGAGCGATTGCAGGACAAATGTGAGCCCCAAGCATCTCCCCCGATTTGTTCCTCTCACTGTAACTTGGTATCCTCCACAGGTGGATATGCTCAACACGGTAGCAGCCATGGCAGTGGCTTTCGTAAGCATCAAGGAGAGCGGTAAGCCTGACTGGCGTCGAGGGTGTTGTACACGCTTGTTTTCCACACACCCCTACTTATTACTGTTGTACCTAGGGCTCTTGCCACCGATAGTGTATACACTCGAGTCCCTGGGGGAAGCAGGGTATACATAAAATTGAAGAGAGACATATGTTGAGAAGTAAACGTTCCCGTGGAAAACGATGCTCACGGAGGATCCGCGTCACAACTTTTTCGAGGACAAAAACAAAAAAGCTTGTTTGTAATTGGCTAAAACACAGGTAGTAAGCTCGCCGTAGCCCCACAACGCCGGGCGTCTGCTGTCTTTTTCTTCAGCGTGCGGAAAGCTGCTCAATCAGCTAATTCAGCAACTCGAAATTGTGGATGCACTTTGGCATTTTGACTGAGGAGGTTCCCAAATATTTTGCGTTTTGTTGTTCTTCATGTTGATGTTGATGTTGATGTTGTTGTTCCCTTTGGTTCGGAAGGTAGTCTTTCCTCTCCCCAGCAGGCCACTACACTGTGTCAAACCCTGGACAATTGAAAGCTGGCAATACGTTCAAGTATTTGATTGCCTTTTTTTGTGGTTTGGAATGATGCAGGAGTGGCGCTAAACGGGACCCTTCTGTTCTGTGCCGTGAGCGACGAGGAGGCCGGGGGGGAAGACGGAGCCAAGTGAGAGTCTGGGGGGGTGCGGGAGTGGGGATTGGGACCAGTGGTCCCTATGTTGTTTTTCTGTTCGAAACAATTCGGCAAGATACAGAGTAGGTGAGAGAGAGGGACCCTTTTAGGTAATCCAATCAACACCCCGGTAAAGATTAACCTTGTGATTTGGCTGAGCTGGTTCATGATGACAACAGCCAGCATCAGCAACTGTCGACAACTTCCACAAAGACAACGTTGACGATCATATATGCAGCTAGCAAGGGGCTAGGATCGCAGAATCAGTGGCCGCTGGGAACAGCACCTACGCTCCGCGTACTCGATCGTGTCGCGTGCCTTTTCGGATTCCATGTGCATTTTTTCCATGCTTGCACCAATGAACAACGATCCGACCAAACGCGTGAAGGTTCATCTTGAGCGATCCGGGACTGAAGAAGCTATTCACCGCCGACTACTGCGTCACGGAGCTTGGTGGAGCGTCTATCCCGGACTTTAAGCTGCGGCCCACGCTGTCGTTTTTCCAGAGCACCGCAGAGAAGGGTGGGAGCACCTTCATGTTGTTGCGGCATTGTGTTCTAAGGTTGTTTTGACTTGGAAGTGTGCGTTATTTTCTTGTGCCAAGGGGTACGCCTACGGCTCGCCTCCGTCACGGTTTTGAATTCCGTTGGATGCTTCCCTCGTTTGCCTCAAGAGTGCACGAGATTGTGACGGGAACCCCATTTGTATGCCAAAGCACCGCATCTTGCGCGACGATCATTGTACACGTACCGGAGGTCGATTGTGGTTGACAATGCTACATTCTACTAAATAATGGTGCTGCTGATGGTACTCCTGTTTGCTAGATCGTAGTAACCACGTTGCAAATCTACAAATTTCATCGCCGATACTGAAAGGCACGACCAAGGTGGAGGTAACGCTAAGGGGGAGACCAGGCCATGGCTCTGTTCCAAGGGCCGCAGACAACGCTCTTGTTAGGGCCGCGGAGGTGGTGAGGCGGGTACATGCCTACAGCGCGCCCACGGTCATCACACCAGGTGAGCTTCCACAGATCTGGAGTTCGTACACGCCAGATCATGTTCCCGTGTGTTGCTGTCTTGTCGTCGTTGCGCGTATCGGACAACCGTACTGGGAAAGCAGAATCAGTGTGGTTGGGCAATACACCCCCGATTTGCTGTTTCTGAGCCAAGGCCAGTAGGGCTGGGATTCTTTGGGCGTGCTATCCGTTAGTTGCATGGAGTGGTGCGAGTCTCCATATAAGCGGACGTACGCAAATCGGACACTGTCCCCATGCTCACCCCACGATCTGACATTGTTTTGCCGTGGGTACCGTTCCCCCCCCCCACCCAACAACCCATGCTAACGAAATGCATCGCCCAGAATGGAAAGGGTTCGTGAAAGCACTGCAGCTTCCGGGACCTCTAGAGTGGCTGCTGACCTTTCCACCGCTGCTGCCGCTAGTCCTCATGGTTCTGCTCAAGATGGGCAGTCCCATTGCACCAGTGGGGCACGCGTTGACGCGGCTCACGATGTCCCCCAACGCTCTTGTTGGAGCGGTGAAGGACAACGTCGTGCCTGGTATCTGCACGGTGAGGTGCAAAAGGCGTCGTTTCGATTGTCGCAGTAGGTGTGTGGCTTATATTTGTCTGCGTTATCTGTGACATTGATTTTGTGTTTTGGCATTGATCGTAACGACCTTCTGTCGATGATGTTGTTGCTGTTGTACTGTTCGAATCCCATTGGCGGAACGGCATTTCAGCCAAATGCACCTCCTCAGTGTTGAAGCTACAGACTATCAGAGCTTGTCCCTGTTTCTTGAAATTCCGAAAACGATGGTCGTAACAATCGTAGAACCGATCAGTCGGCGGTTTAACCCTAAATACTGTCTTCTGGTGAACTTGAACACCTCGTGCTCACCTCACGCATGGCTGTATGTGACCACTCGAGCCTGGTTTTAAGTTTTCCCGAGCACTGCATTGATTTGTCCTGCCTTCATCGTTAAGGTAACGTTCTCGTATTGGACTCTTCTCGTAGCAGTATTCTTCAACGGCACTATTCTGGGTGTTGGTTTAAAGGGTGCGATGCGATTCAACGATTCGGTGAATGTGAAAAGGTGGCTGTGGACTGCCGGACCCTGCCTGGCCAAAGCGAGGAGTATGTGTTGGACCACGTGAGGAAGGCGCTAGGGTCCGACATAGCCAGCGATGTCGACCACTGCAGTATTGGAGCACAGTGAGTTGATTCATCGTGCAACCGCTACACCGAGTTACGCTCCTCGCTTTTCCATGTTGCTCGTTTCATCGTCGGCTGTCTTTGATGCACCATTGTGCTGCCCATTCAATCTTCCAATTGCAATTTTCCATGCGGTTTCTCCGCCACCGTCGTCAATCCGGCCTAGCACCATAGTCTCACCTGGATGCATTGGATCAAACTTACCGCGGAGGATGCGACCCTGCTTTCGGTACTGCACTGCACTTGTCTTTGTCCGCCTCGACCAGTGCAGGCCCTTGTAGCCCAACGCACAGAAGATCTATGTGGCCGACCATGCCAACCTCGAGCAGACACTGCGCTCTAACGGCGACCGAGTCCCGCCTTGGTCGAACGTTTTCGGTTTGGTACTCGATGCACAATGCTAACAGTACCAGTGCGTCACCATTGTGTTCCAGCACACCCCACGATGAATCCCATTCACGTGGCATCCACACCATTGTTGAGCAGATCCCACATACCCGCGTCGAGGTCGGAGCCTGACACGCCCTTGTGGAAAGCTATGGAAAAGGCAGCTTCGGCGGTGATCAAAGGCGCCTCACTCGTAAGTTTGGTCATAAATTAACCACGAATTCTCTTCGCTTGCCCAAGACATGTGAAAGGACGTGTTAAGCCCACCGCAGACTCTCCGGTGCTAACAGTCATGTTTTTGCTCACATAAATCCGGGCTACGGTCACAACTGGGTACAGGGCTTTGGTGCGCACCCGTTGCCCCGCTAGACTCGATTCTGTATCCGAATTTGATATTTGTGCATGGTTTCTGGCGCATTGCATGGAGCGACGAAGGTAGTTTCTTCTTCCGTGCCCAACGTATTTTTGCTACGGCCACACGTCGTTGGTTGACTGTCCGTTGTACGATGTTGAGAGAAGTTATTCTGCGGTGTTGGTCGGCCTGGGCGTTGACTACAGCTGCTTTAAACTTAGACACATGCAAGTGCATTTCAAAGACCTCGCCCTCACGACCATCCATTTGTCTTGTTTTCTACTCACGTCGACTCGCCTACAGGTGCCGGTGATGCTGCCGGGGGGTACGGACTGCAGATACTACCGCGGGATTGGAGGGGCCGTTGCGTACGGTGCCAACCTTCTTGAGCCTTCCATGACTTTCGGGTGGGTGGTGTGACGAGGTGTGACGAAAGTGGGGTTTCGTCTTGTTGCGGAAAACGTTGTTGTCGACCTCCCTGGTGGCCGGGGGCGCTGGTTTTGTTATGTGTTTTCTCACTCCACATGCTTCACACGGGCGCGTTAGACGCGCTCTGCGGTCATGTGACGGCTTGGCTTCGTTGATCGACACATGCTGCTCAAGGTACAGCGGGGTAGGACGGGCGGTCGCCGATGGGGCTAAGGTGTTCACCAAGACTCTTCCAAACGTTGTGTGCTCGAAATGATCACGAGGCCATTTTGCGGAATGCGGAATGCGATGATTATCATAGCGGGGTAAGTTTTCGAACCCCGGCCATGCGCTTGCAACGCTTTGCCCTTCATTTGATGCGCAATTGTTTCCAGTGATTTGACAAAGCGGTTCCATGGTCAGAACGAGCGCATTGGCCTGCGGTCGCTTTGGACGAGCGTGCAGTTCTACTCTCTGGTGAGTCTACTCTCACTCTCTCCGGTATCGCCCAAACCAACTTCATTTGTTTTTGCCCACATTCGTGATTGCTAGGTCATTCTGTTTGTGATAAGTCGGCGCAAACACATGAAACGATCAAGTATCGTTTTATTCAAACCGGCGAGCAACTTGCCTCTCCGTGGCTGTTTGTATTCTGCTGTTCATGTCGCTCTGATCTGGGCTCGTTTGAGGGTGTTTTTTTTTTCGGGGTCAGTTTAGATTCGTTCGTGTTGCCGTCCCTTGCTTGGTTGGCTTTCCATCTTCAAGTCCACCACTGCTGCAGGCAAGTCAATGATTGGCTACAACAAGCCCGGATACCTACAGGTCGGCGTTGTGGTGATTGAAGAAACTGGTTGGTTTTGATGTCCCCCCAACACTACGTTTCTCTCGCAAGTTCTCCTGTAGAGGGGCTGGCTGGGTACTGCCATCGAGATATCCTGACCATTTCAGAACCCGCTTGACCCCCCACAGTTAGGTTCAGATGCACTGCCACTTCGTCGACTCTTGAGAGCATATGGCACGGAATTCGATCATTGCACTCACATCCCGCGCTACCTGTTCATCTCTCAGATGGTGAAGAATCTCATGGTTGCCGAGTCAGCATGATTGGCGACGGGATGCTCTTGGTAATTCAAGAACAGGGGTACGTTCTCTTCCGTTAAATCTCGCCCTGGGTACTCTGCACAGGCTGAGTGACTGCAGACTTTCGCCAAGAATCCGCGAGGCGTTGATAGATTCGAAGAAACTATTTTGGCGGGAGACATGCCTGGTGCCGCTCGTGCGGCGGACTTTGGCCTTTTTCTTTGCTCGTGTAGAGTGGCCATGGGAAGTCATCAGTCACTCTTGTTCGGGAGGGCGAGAAGGTTGAGTAGTGCCTGAGTTGTGTAGCGAATAGAGCTCGTGTTGCATGTTTGGCATACCACACGGCAGCAGGGTCGGCTGTACACTCCGTGTTGAGGGAGTGCAAAAGTCGCCGAAGTTTCGTAACCCTTCCTTTAGTCCGCCTTCCCCAAGAACGGCTAAATTCATAAAGGGAGCGTAGGGGTCACGCCTCGAAAAGGAACGGGACACAGCACCAACGCGTCGTAGGGAACGCATGTACGAGGGTTTCATACATTAGTCCGATCTCCTACGGTTCTGCAGTGGGCTTTATTCAGATTTGAATCTCGATACATTCCCGGCCGACCTATGGCATGAATAACTCAGACTTTTTAGGGCGGCAATGCATCATATCTTGCAGGAAACGTTTCCCTCTAAACCCGTAGCACAAACGCACCGCTGTCCTACAGCAGAAGTGCAATTCCACAACAACACACCAATGCCCAGTTCTATCCTACGGCCTCTCTACAACATGGACGTTTGACACGGCCGCCAATAAGAAACTGACACGTGGCAACCGCGATACTATTGAACGCTCGGCGAAACTAAATGGGTGAAAGGAAAGAGATGGAAATCCCATCTTGCTTGCTATCGAAATCCCTGCCGTATCAACCCGGGCCGCTCTTATGCATGCACAGCCCGCGTTCTCTATCCATTTGTCTTCCTTCAGAGGAAAACTCGTACGGTTGCAATAAGCACGGTGAATGTATCGAGCCTATCCACCCGGAAAGGTTGAAACATAAAAACATACAATAATATTTCCGTGTTGGATCTCACGTTTCTCTCCCAAGGCAAACTTCGTCGATTGCTGCTGTCTTCACGCCAAGCTACTCCGCCCTCAGTCTATTATCTACATACGCCGCTTGGGTGACCGACAAATTACACGTTAATCGTGTCTCCAGGCTTGAGGCAATCAAGTCCCGGGCAAAACAACACAAAACCAAAGCGCCAACAAGCTTCGACCGAGGGCGCTGAAAAAAGCTACTACCCGTCACAGCCTCCCTAGCCCCACAACCAGACCACACGGCAGCCTCGCCCGCGTCCATCAAGTAACAAAAATGTTTCGGACTCGGCCGGTTACCCGAAAGCGTAAGTCGTCTACTTGCGGCCGTGTGTTGTCTTACATGTGGGGCAGAGAGCTACCTGCCACAAACCTTCCTCCTCCTCCTGCGCTAACCTGGAAATACCTTCTTCGGCCTTCACGATGCCGTTCTCGCACCATGAACACCCGAAACCGGCGCACGCGGTGCACGTAGCGGTAGCGGCGGTCTTGTTGCTGTCAGCGCTACTGCTTCTGTTCTTGTCGGATGCAGACGCGGCCAACGCTCGCGTTAAGCCCACCCAGTCATCCTCTCGCAAGGTGCAACTACCTCGCGCATTGCCACTATTTGTGCCGCAGAAAAAACTAGTCTTCTTCGCCGTCTCCGACTTCCACACCGCCGGTACGCACTTGAAGACCACCGCCTGTGGTTGGTCTTTTGCATCCGTTTGGTGGCCGCTCGTGTTGCTGCCGTCTCCGTGTTTGATCTCCTCGATGGGGAGGGAGAGGGCGCGGCAGATGCCTTCCGCGTGCTCCTCGTCGCGTGCCCGCAACATTCTCGCGACGTCGGCCTGCACAATCAAATACCAATACCAATCGAATGCATGTTTCTGAAAAACGAAGTATGGTGCCAAGAGTGAGACCAGCAAAGAAGAAAGCGGGAAAGGGGTACATCATGCGGATTTCGAAGCACCACATCGAACAAACGTGCTCAGGGAGAGAGCGGGGTGCCAGGAACGGGAAGTACGGCAGTGGTGCTCGCCCGATTATCCCACGCTTGAAAGCCTGGCCGCAGTTTGACCGGGGGTGAATGCGCCGGCAAACGCGTTGTGTGATGTTTACATACATCAATCTGCCCACTTCCGACTATATACGTGCATGTAAGCACCTCTTGACCACGACGGGGAGAACCACGGTAAACCATCCAGAAGAACGGGCTTCACACAGCGTGTACGATCGTCGGAGCGTGTATTGGACAACCAGCCGGCGTGCAGGCGTCAGGGGCGAGAGTTATGGGGGCGGAAAGAAGTCGTTGTCGACTGCAACGAGCGGGGAGAAAGATGCCACTTGTCAAGGACTAAGTCGAACAAAGAGAGGGAAATAATCGCCACTTACCAGCGGAACCTTCTCGCTTTTTCCGTACGCCTTGTTCATAGCTCTCAGCGCGTGGGCCCTCACGGGCAGAAGCATGACGTGGCATACGCATCGAAGGCGAACGGCAAAAGGGGATGAAGCGTTCTCACCCCCGACCAGCAGCTTCGTGCCCTCACGTATTGCGTCGTTAGGCTTCGGCGTGAAATTGCCAAGCAGCCGGAAGAACTCCGACCAATTCCCGTCGCGTACCACCGCCAGAATTCGAACTGCCGTCGCCATCTATCATACGAAGGGAAAAAGGGGGTAGGGTTAGGTTCGGGGGTGAAACGAAAAGTCCATAGGTATTGGGATGGAGGTGTACAACCCTTCCAATAGATATCCGACAAGAGCAGCGCCAAAACACTTCGACGGCGTTCTTGGACATTCCAATGTGTGCCGAACGGCCGGTTTTTCTTGAATGACCCGATCGGGGTCAAGGGAGAAGAAGACGCGAAAAAAAAACAAAGGTACGCTTCGGGGTTCAGGGAAGAGCGGGACCGATGGACATGTAGGCATGCTCGGCAGAGGCTGGTGAAAGAAAGGGGTGGCTAAAGAAACAGTTTCATCACCTTCGGGAAGGCTGTTCTGAAAGACATGGGGGCTGGTAGGATTCTACCCTCGACAGGGTATGTCACTGCAGTCGAAGCGATACCCGCATCTCGGCCTTCTCCGTCGCTTTGGTTGGATGGTGGCGGCAAGTAGAAAGACGAGCCACCGCACAGCTTTGAGACCGTAGTGGTGAACAGCCTGCCGACACCTGACGTAGGTTGGTACACAACGGAAGCGCCGTAGTGGGCCTGTTAAGTTACCAGTAGGTCATCTTAGAGTGGCGCCAACACGACGAGCACCCCATACATATGTAGTGCTGGTGCGGACAGGGCCTAAGAAAAAAGAAACTAGTGGGAAAATCAACAGGGCTCAAAGAAAGAAATATGCTATCAGCAACAACCCAAAGCTGTTGCAAGTCTCATCGTTGAAGGCCAACGTGAATTCTCGTGGTTTCATGTGATGGCACCTTGTACGTTATGGTATCATGTTCATCGTGTGTACGAGCCAATATCCCTGAAAAAAAACACACGGTTGTGTGCTATTGAAAGCTTCATGTAACACACCAAAAGAGTAGGGGAAGCACATCGAGGCTTCCGACGGGGTTTGAACTCAGTGCATTCCTTGGCGAAGGTGATACATACCACACACCTTGCTCGCCGGCCGCGTCCCCAAGCTGTGGGTCTCCCCCGCTAGAGCCGTTCCCGTTCGAAATGGCTGTCGCCAAGGCGTGTACCGCTTGCAGGCAAAGGTACTCGTCCCCCCCAAGGTGGTGATGCTGGTGGTGATTCAAGATTTGGGAAGGGAGTTCCGCCCTCGCCCCCTGCTTGACGCAAGCAGGTCAATGAGGAGAGGGAGGGGGGGATAAGCGATTCCGCGCGTCTACTGGCTAACCAGCAACACCGGCACTCCCCCCGCCACCCGCGAGATTAAGAATGTAAAACTAAATTGGATCATTTCCACGTTCACTCACGTGATGACCGCGGGCCGGGTAGGGTAAGCTCAACGTTGCGAGCACGTTTGTCATCCCACGAGAGGCTCAGTGCCCCCTGCCGACGCCAGCAACGACCTACGACGACGATGACAATGACAACCCTCCCGCACCTGGAAAAAAATCTCCGCCAACGAAGAGAAGACTCCCTGCAACTCTCGTGTGTGTAGATGTCGGTCGAAGACATCTGTCGCCTGGCAAAGCGAACGGAACAGAGCCGACACGGCATACGGCATGTCATCATCGGCGATGGCAACAACAAAACCACCAAAAAACAGCCACCCCACCCTTGTAGCGAACAATGAACTGGTTGCGGCAGCACGTGTATTGCAATTTGTTCTCGTGTATTGGTGTTGCACTGTCCCAGCAATTGAAAGATAGCGCTCTACAGCACTACGTCCGTGTCACGTTCCAAACGAGCACGGGGTGGAACATTATGAACGGGATTTTCTGGTTGGTGTTCAACCTCCTGCTGGCTAAATGCCACACAAAATTTCATCTATCCAGAAGTGCCATCCACATGCCGCGTTGTGAGCTACTTACCAACCTGGCACGTGCTACATTCACGACCCACAGGAGCAAATAATCCCCAGATATAAAACACTGAGCCTCGCCATATTTCACGAGCGCACACACGGTCTTGCGCAAAACTCATCCTTGCCTCGTCAGACATGAGGTACCCCGCCAAGATGTAGAAGTTAGCCGTGGTTTTAAGGACTTCCGCCGCCCCTGTCGTCCCTTCCAACGCCAGCCCTTGCACCGTCAAGTCCTGCCGCACCGCTCGAAGCCTATCCTCAACGAACATGTACGCCTGCGCGATGAGAGACGTAGGATTCCCTCCTCGATCTCGTCGGGGCTGGCTGCTGACGCTGCTACTGCTGCTGCAAGCTACGGCGAAGACATCTTGGACCAGGTATTGCGTCGTGGTCTGCAGGACCGAGAGAGGCCGGAGTAGCTCGGGGCTGACGACGATGGGGTCGGGGGAGAGCGCCACGTGGATTAAAAACAACGCTTACCAAGTGGAGTAAAAACAACGCATAAAACAATAATCTTCGTTGTCAGATGTTGGCTTCTGCCACACTGTGCTCTGAGGGATATCATTGGCCTAGCATGATGCCTCCTGCCTACGCCGCCGTTCGGGCGAGGTACGGGAAAACGCCACGTTGCGAGAGACTACGTAAAGGTTGGCGGGGTAACAGGGGGGTACACTTCTTCGTATTTTTCCCGTCGCTGTCCGCCACCCCTCAAACAACAAAGGCACGTAGTCTCCAGTTAGAATGGCATTCCACTTTTCTTATCAGCAGAGGATATTGGCATCGTTGTGCTTCATTCGACCAAAAACGCGTCATACGTCTAAGGCAAGCAACTCGATGCGAAACTCGGAGCCTTGGAGAGGAAACTCGTCCTGCTTGGGACGAGATCGGAGTTGCGACCAACAGCAAGTAGGTCGACCTTGGGAACGACCCAAAATTAGTGTAGACAGAAAAAGGAAAGCGAAGCTGATCAATACCAACGAAATGCGCAAAAGGCACCTGTGCATGTCCCTCCCCGCGGCCGAGCGACGGTACTTCTTGACCGCTTTCTTGGGGTCCGCGACCCTTTGTCGAAAGGACACAGACGCCCCTGCAGTGGCCTCCGTAGCCTCGAAGGAGCTTAGCCCCCCCTCCGCCTCCCTCTCTCTCCTCTCCGACTCCGGACACATGGACATGCACGTCCCTCGGGCGTATTTATCCTGCTGCTGCTGGCGCTGCTTCTGCAGTATACTGTGCTGTGCACCGTCACGGTCGATGCGGAAACCCTCCCTGCCGTTTCCGCTGCTCTTTACTTCGGTACGGTGTACGGGAACAGCAGTACCACCAGCACCAGGTCGCCCTCCAGATACCCTTGACAACTCGTTCTCACCCTTCCGCGAGCCACCGGGGTTATTGTCGCCACTACCGCCGTCGTCTCGTTGGCGACCGGATCTCGATTTCGCGGCGTTGTTTACAACACCGCCACGCCGAGAGGAAGGCGAGAAGGACGACGTGGACCCGCCGCTCCCGTTTCTCGAGTTGGCACCCGATGCCGCCCTGTCGCGCTGCTTTTGGTGCTCTTTCCGCCCCTGCTTGGTGGTGGTGGCGGTAGCTGCAGCAGGTGGGTGCGGCAAGGGTTGCCGAGCATCATTGGACCCGAGCCGAGCTTCTCCTTTCGCTGCGTCTGAAGTCCTCGAGAGAGTGGCTGCGCCCGATCGGTGAGCGCCTCGTCGGTCATGCTTCCGGTTGGTGTTGCCATCTGTCCTCAATAGGGCGTTGCGCGGAGACGGTGGAGGAGAGCCGGGCCTGCCATGGGCGGTGGGGTTGGTGTTGTCATCGGCGCGGTCTTCGTTAGCCATCCGAGGAGAGCTTGGGGGGGAGCCAAGCCTGCTAAAGATACCCCCTCCGCCTTTGCCTCCGCCGCCACCGCTGTTGTGGTCCCCGCGCCCTCGGACATGAGAGGGCTTGGTGTGAGAGGCCGTCCCTGGTTTCGATGGGTTTGCTCTGGTGTTGTCGGACTGAGGGCGATCTTGACGCTGGCCTCGAGAGTTAAAAGAGGCGGGTCTTGTGGCTGTTGCTGCTGCTGCTGGAGGCGCCTCTGCTCTATCGTCGTGTTCGTGGTGGTACTGGCGACGACCGCCATCCCTCCTCGTCGTTGTTGTGGTGGCGCTACGCACCCCCGTAAATCCGCTGTCTTCCCCTCTGCTGGCTTGCTGTTGGTGTGCGGACCCTTTGGGAGCGTTTGCTTTGCTGCGATCAAAGCCACCGCTCGTTTCGTTGTTCACTCGCGTGTCGCCCCGACCAGCAGATGAAGAAACAGCATTCCCACCTTTTCCCGCTCGTTTCTTCCTCCCTCGCCCCCCATCTTTACTACCGCCGTCACCACCTCGCCCTGTCCGTCCTGCTCCACCCTTGCCGTGCGGGGCCTTCTTCTTGTCAGTAGGAGCTTTGTCGTATCCGCCGTTGCCACCGTTGGCAGCTGCGACGTTCAGCGGCCGATTACTCGCAGCAGTCGGGGCTGCTTCTACTCTTGATATCGTGTATCCACGGCGGGCTGGAACAGCAGGAGTTACCGGCGCTGCCGTGGTATCCCCGTTGTCGCCCATGTTGTTGTTGTTGTTGTTGTTGTTGTTGTTGTTGTTGTTGTTGTTCACACCTATTGCCGTTTGGATCACACGCGCAGCTTGTTGCAGGACAGAGGCTACGGCCGTAGAGCAGGTGCGATACACAGCCCTTTCTTTCAAAATCCACCGCGGAAGCAGTATCGCAGCGCTGCAGGTTGGCTCACGGTACAAACCAACCGCAAGACTGCTTTGCTGAGTCGCACGTTCACACACTGCTGTGCTGCTGGCGGAGCCTGATCGGATCTGTGCCCTATGGTCATGCATGAAGGCGAGGGGGCTCCGCCAATTGGTATCTCGAAGTTTGGAGGGGTCTGGCTGCTGGGGCTAGAGCAGAGAGCCGACCACACACAGACTGCACAGCACATTGCTTTTCCGCTTTTCTGCTGACGATGAGGACCTCGTTGCATCTCGCGGCGCTCACAGCTGCCTTGTGCCAACAGCATGGTGATGGATTCGGTGAGAGGCTGTAACTAACCACTCGTCCAGTTGGTGCCCTTGTGCTCTCCGAAACATGCTCTCTGGGGTTGTGCTGATCCGGATTTGACCCGGTGCATGCTCCCTTTCCACCGCCAGTGTTTGAGAAGAAACGTAGCGATACACCCCCATCAGGTAACCGGAGATAGACGTGCACTCGTGTGAACGCACTGTATGGGCAACTTTGCTGCTAAGCGGCACTCTCGTAGCTGCCATGGTGTTCCTACAGCAGTACTCCTGTGGTACACGTGTAGTCTGTTGCCGGAGTTCGTTACCCAACTTCTACCTGCACCTTCGAGTGAGCGGGATCCAAACAACAGCAGCAGCAGTCTCATAGCATGCAGCAGCAGTAGTGGTGCAATGCAGACGTTGACACAACCTTCCGGCGATGAGATCACGTATCTCTTGTTTCCCATCCGGGTTGCAAGTCCCCAACTAAGCGATTTTTTTCATGACAGAGCATCAATTTCACGGAGCCCCCCCCCGCGCGGCAGTGTTAGATACGAGTAGGCAACGTAGGGACGGGCCATCGTTCAATAACTCCGGCTATAGCGACGATCCAAAATTGACCCTCAGAGGCAACCTTAGGCGCAAGTCTGAACAGCTTGGTACCTTCTAAAGTTTGGGCGGAATCGTTTGTTGAGGTGTACAGCTACTACTGCTGTAGAGCGCTGGAGGTCCATGCCAAGGCATCTCTTCGCAGTTTGCCTTCACGCTGCCTCGACTTACTCCCGAGAAAGCGACGTAAGTAGCTTACTCCCGAGAAAGCGACGTAAGTAGGGATCCTCAAGCAACATTCGATCCTACAACGGACGCAAGCTGCTGTGCATATATGTACGTCCTCACGATGGCATCCCTCCTGTTGTGCCTGCGCCGACCTGCGTCAGCCTTTAGCGGAGGCAGCTTCGCGGCTAAGAGAGCGGGGCAGCGGTTGTCAGTTGAAAGCTGCAGCACGACCAGCACCAGCCAGGGGAGAAGGCGAACGATTCCTGGTGAAGTGCGGATGATGTCAGGGAGCCTTGAGGATGAGGTGTGTCGTCTTGCTAGTGATCATCTGTATGCCCAAACCCGTTCAGACTTGGTTCACATGTCCCGAGTTAGGTTTACACCTTGTACCGGATAGTATAGAAAGGACCGTTTCGCACGGTCAACGGCTTCCGCAGTCGGTTGTTGTACGGAAAGATCACCACCTTTCTTCAACCAACGGGAGTCTATCCTGCCCCCACACGTGATGTGTTTATTACTAACAACACGGGAAAGAGCCGTGCGCAATGCTGTAATAGCAAACGGCTCAGGGCCTACTGCTGTTGCCTGTGTTTGAGCTGGCGTTGCCAAGGTGCATCATTTTCAAAGCAGCCTACCGAACTAATCTCCAATTCCAAGGACTCCGGGTGTTGTTACAGCAGTCCAGGTCGTTCTATCCAAACACTGAATTTCGGCTGCCTCACACCGCTTTTTATGGCTGCAGAATGTTGCAAGAAAAGCATCAAACTTTTTTTTCTGCAGCTGCCCGGGAACTATTTATTGTCAGTAACACTTTTGGTGCACGCTCATATAGGCGAAGATTTTTTTTTGCACGGGACTGGCGGAATGCGGGGGCGTGATGTTGTATTTTTTTGGCAACGGCGAGAAGAAGGCACACCCGTATATATCTCACCGCGAAAAAACCGGTCAGAGCGTGCGGGAGAGGGTAGTTGGAACCTTTTTTCTCCACACTCACGATACCCAAGGCATCTAACCTGGTACCAGAACGAAAGATGCTGGGTAGAGCTAGCTCCCTCGGGGTGGCATTGCTGTTGCGGTGGTCTCCTCCTTCGAAAAGTTATCGCTGGAAAACCAAACCATGCGCACACAATCCCTGCGAACGTGAACCAAGCGCTCTCTGGCGGGGGTATTTTAGGGCCAGTCACAACTTTTTTCCCGACGCGCACGATACCCCACGGCACCAAACCTTGGGCATGAAAGATGGAGCAGAGAGCTACCTTCCGCCGAGTGGCCTTGCTATTGCTGTTGTTTCCTCCTTCGGAAAGTTATCGATGGATAACGAAACCCGTGGCGGCCAAAAACACCGAACTTTTACTATAATAGCTGCTCGCGGCCGTTGACGGTCGTGCACAGCACAATTTTTTTTTCACGGCGCATTCGGCACCTCACGGCCCCAAACCTTGGCATTGCCCGGGGCAACTCGTTAAATGTTCGTCGAGATATTGGTGATCACGGCCTTCCCACAATGAATGGAAGTTGGAGAGGGGGTCTACGTGTGTGGTACCGGTAGCAGCTTGACGTGGATTGACGGGAGTTGCGCCGCGCAACTTTTGTTCGACACATTTGTCGCGAAAAAAGTCGCAGACCTTTTCCTCCAGACTAAAATATTTTGCTCCCATAGCGTACATTAGGAAAGTTGCAAGAAAAGTTGCAAAACTGTTCAAGTTTTCTTGCAGCATTCTGCAGCCATGAAAAGCGGTGTGAGGTCCCATAAAGTTCTTGCAAATATTTCATGCGCATGCACGCCAATAATTCCACCACCACTTCGGTTGCGAAGTTGTCAACGTCCATCCTTATCACAAGATGCTTGCCGCATCCGCATAACCTATGTACGTATGTCGATCTCACGTGGGCGCACGTCTGATGTGTGATGGTGATGACGATGATGGTGATGATGGTGATGGTGGTTCAGGTGGAATTCAAGGGGAGCCGGCTGGAGATGAAGCCCACGCCGGAGCTGGGTTCGTCCAAGAACAAGATGCTCCACGTCGTGTACCGCGTCGGCAACATGGACCGTGCCATCAAGTTCTACCAGGACGTCTTCGGGATGGAGGTGCTAACTCGCTGTAGATGGGTACAGACCAGTCCTCCCAAACGATGTGGTGTGCGTGTCGCGCGTTGTTCGTTGAAGTGGGGTGAATTATTGAAGGCTTCTCAAAATCGACCGCTGCAGGGATTTACGTAGATCACCTCTCTTGGATATACGTAGCGTGCACCCGGGTTGTTGCAGGTCACACAAAAAGCAAAAAAAATGTCAAAGCGGTTGTGCGAAAATCGATGGTACCCCGCGTGAGCCCCCATGATGTGTTGCCCTGTGACACCATCTGGTGCGCACGTCTGTCATCACTATTGCTCCTCACACAGATGGCTACGTGCCATGAAACCTGCAGGATACCTCAAGCATGTTGTGTTCTAATCGCGCAAACATTTCATTCGCCCTGGTTTCGCTCTGAACCTGGCAAATGCCGTGCTATCAAAAGTGAAAGAGCTGCTGCTTCAAGCCCGTTTCGCAGCTCTTAGCACAAAACTTCTCGCTGCTAGTACATGCATGCGAAGGTTTTGACGAATTCGCTCGAGGCTTCGCCAGAGTGGATACATAGGCATAGGTAGCATTGAAGGGTTGGGCCAATTTTGGATCGCCAGAATGATTGTCGTTCCAGTGAAGGACTCTATGGCCTATATCGACCAAACACGCCCCATATTTCTACCTCCAGTTTTGTTTGGAACGCTCTGGCCACAACCCTGAAATTTGACCTTCAATACTCTATACACACTCAAACAACAATCCCGGCAAAACATTTCATGGCACCACGCTATGGAGCCATGGCTACCCCTATTTGCACGACCCTATTTGCACATATAAGACGTGCACGCTTCGAAACGCCTCCGTGGATGGGTTGAAACTGGGTTATACACACACGTGACCGACCCAACCCAACCCACCCAACCCAACCCTAACCCTAACCCTAACCCTCACTGACGTCCAACCGGGGCCGTGGTGGCGAGACTGCCCACGAACGCGGGTCCGCACGTCAGTACGTGGTCCGCACGCTGCGCGCGCTGTTTTGACCAATCACAAGTCGAGTCGTGCACGGTCTTATTTGCACTCGCGTCGTGCAAATGGGGTTGCCATGGAGCCATGCTTAAGGTTGCTTGAGGAAGGTTGGCCACATTTTGAATCGCCACTACAGCCGGAGTTGCTGATGGATATCGGCCTGTCCCATAGGAATCCAGCCGCTGTGGGGGCTCCGCGTGATGGATGCCTTGTCGTTATTAACAAAAAATGAAGCGCTGTATGTGGGGACTTGCAACAAGGGTGCGTGTACCCTGTTTCAAGCCGCAGTCTCTTCCCTTCCCCTTGTGTTTCCACAGAGCTCCCTTCTTTGTTCTTTAACATATTTTTGTTGCTCTCTTTCTCGCTGTTCTCTCTCGTCTTAGCTCCTGCGATACCGCGATGTTGCGGAGGACAAGTACAGCAACGCGTTCCTCGGATACGGGACAGAGAGCAAGTGAGGCGCAGACGCCGATGATGCTATTCTTTATTTTACTTCCAACATTGCATTTGTCGACTTCGTATGCATACATGAGTGGTTGTTTGCAATAGGTCCGCTGAGGCAATTGTGGAAGATTTGCAAAGTTTGCCAGAGGTGTGCCTTATTCTGTTTTCGGTTGAGCAGATTCCACGCTTTACCTCATTATTCTTGCCGTAACCCTGGCCAACCGGCCCGCGAAGTTTGGCAGTGATGGTTTTGTCTTCTTGGCGAGGTGGAGGAACCGCGTCGCCTTCTGGTCAATGCCTGAACGAGATATTTTGGTTGTAAGTAATTGAGACAATTTCAGCTTCTTTTCATGCCCAATACTTGATTGTGCCATGTTTGGCAGGGGGGAGCACTTCAGCATCGAGCTGACGTACAACTACGGAGTGGAAAGCTACAACATCGGAGATGGCTTCAACTGCATGGGGCTTAGGCTGCCAGACCTTGAGGGGATCGTGGCCAGGGCAAAGGCTGGGGGGGGAGAGATCGTATCGGGTCCGGAGGTGCGTCCGTCTCTTGTTGCTCTTGCGGTCGTCGTGGTTGTCGCTCTACTGTTGCTCTTGCTGCTGGCAATCTTACCGTTGCGGTCGGTGCTGCTGCAAGGTAGCGCACTGTTGCTGTCGTTGCCGTTGACACTGCTGATGCCGATCTGCCCAGGATTCTCCATCTCTCGCCGACTCCACCTCCAAAGGACGAATCTAGTGGTGTGGTTTGGTGACAGCACGAGGAACCGCTACGTTTGTGTTGATGTTTTCTGCCTCTTGTCTTGAGATTGTCGTCAGTCGGATTGCGCTGCGGATGTGCTTACCGTATCCTTTGGCGGCTCTTCTATGCCTATGTTGCCTGTATGATGGAATTAAGGATTGGGAGCGTTCCCTCGTCTCACGTGTTAATCCTGTTGTGTTGATTATTCAAACTATACAAGCTACACCTTGTTGCGAAAATGGCAGGGTTGCAAAAGAGTCGCAAAGTCGTTGAGAATAAAGACACCAGGCGTGTGGAGGGATGCAATGCAATGCTGTGAGGAGCTCGAAACTCTGAGAGGGTAACGGTATACAGCTGAGTGACAAGATGGCCGCTACCGCTGGGAACATGTTATGGCCGGTACCGTGTTGCTCCGGCACATCACTTATGAAGCGGTGTGGCAGTGCCGAATCCGTAGGAACGGTCGTCTGCATGACCAATCCAGAACGTCGAAACGCCTAGTTGTGTTGCCTGCACCCCACCTCCCTTGACATCGAAGACATCATGATCCTGACGATCATGCCCCCAAACAATTTGTACCGCATGCAGGAGGTTAAGCTGGGTCCTTGCATCATCCCGGACGAACCGGTTGGCAAGCATGTTCTAGAGCAAGTTGCGGTCATCAAGGACCCCGATGGGTACACTTTTGAGGTACGATACGTTACGGTACGGTACGCTACGTTACTGTACGACCGTTATTGTTTCTCGTCCTAAGATATCCTGCTCGATGTTGGGACAGGTTTTGATGTGTGTCGGCGTAGGCGTCGACCGGACACAGACCGCGAACGAGCCGCCAGCGTCAGTTGGGCGATTTCCAAAGGGTATTACTTTTATTTCGTTTCTTTGGTTGCCGCATATCGCGCTAGACAGTAGACCGACCAACAGAAAGACGGCAATCCCAGCTGTGCCAACAGGCCAGGTATAGTATAATAGTGCGTTTTCCCCGAACGACGCAACTTGGGAAGCAAGTGCGCAAGCTTTCAAGGCGTCCGGGCCATGGTTAGCTGTTCACCCGCAGGAACGGGGTCTTCGCTCTCCCTCAGCCTTCTTGCTAGTTCCAGCTCTTGATATTTGATACGGTTGGTACCCTTGGATGTGTGCGATGAGGCCAATGCTGTATGCATTTCGTCATTTCAGTTTGTGAACTCCTCTATGCGTACCGGAACCGATTTTGATCATCACTCCATCGTCGTTTGTTGTTGGAACGCCTTGTTCCCTTTTCTTTCCCTTTTCTTTCCCTTTTCTTTCCCTTTTCTTTCCCTTTTCTTTCAGGTCAGCGAGTCCGCATACCGCCGGGATCCGGTGTCGAAGGTTTCATTGTTGACCCTCGACATGGAGAAGAGCATCGACTTCTACCAAGATGTGAGGGAGCACTATCCTTACATCTCCTTTCGTTGTGCAAGCCTGAGTCATGCCAAAAGAAAATGCCCTCGTGCTTTTCGGCTTCATGTCCAAGTTTGAAAAGTTTTTGGCCGTTGTTCATTTTCCTGAGAAGGGACACATTTGGCATATCATATGGCTGTGTTTTCGCTGCGTTCATCAGCTGTTGCTGGTGTGATGAAGGGAAGCGAGTTGCTGTGTGTTGGTTAGAGCAGTATCACTGGGAAATAATACTTCCCACTATTTTTAGCATGTGGCGAGCTACGCGTCCTTGTATTTTGTGGTGTGAATGGTACAATGGGGAGGTCGGGAGCTAGGACAATGAGGGTTGCCCCCGTACGGACGTGATGGCGTCGCAGCAACTGTACTTGGCGCATTGTATGCATATATAGCCACACGCCGTTGTAAGCAAATCGACTTCACAATCGACGACGACAAGGGACAGCTATGTCGTTCTCGCGTACAACGCATGGAGCCAAGCACCGCATATGGTGGAGAACAAAGATAATTATCCTGTATCCTGTGTGGCTTTCATCCCGTTTCACCACTTCTGGTGCATCCAAACACCCAGGAAGTTGTAAAACTGACGTCCCAGGACCAGCTGAAGATCATCATATCGCGTGGTGCCCAGGAGTGCATTCCCTCAATGACCACCCCTCCCGCCCCATGCTATCCCGCCCAATGCACCGCCAACGCTTTTTCTCCTTCACTACATGAAGGCCTTGGGCATGACCCTCCTCAGGAGGCGATCCCTTTTGCCGCAGAAGACGCAGCAGGCGTGCTGGATGGGTTACGGTGCGGAGGACGACTCCACTGTGCTGGAGCTCGTTTACGAGTACAACAGCGAGAAGATCGACCGCGGGGACGGCTACGGGCAGGTGCGTGCTTGTATTCAAGGTTACTGCTCCTTGCTTGCAGGGAAGAGCTTGAGCTTGACGTTTCATGTCTAGACGAATGTGGACTCGCGGCAGACATGTATAGGTCTATGGGGTTTTGGCTCCCAATCCTGAACTCCGCTTGTCCTGAGACAACCCCCTGGATTTCACCGCCGATGTAGCGTACCATGTACCGTCTGTCGTGTTTTGTTGTTTGGGGCAATTTTGTCATGCGTGCGCTGACCTGGAAAGATTTCTGTTCACGTCTCCTGATTCAGTCTGGGAGACGTCGATCAGTTCGCTGATTTCTGCTTCGTTGGCCACAATAGCTCCATGGTTGGCTTACTCTCTTGGTTTGCTCTCCCTCTTTTGTGTGTACCCCCGTTTGAGCAGATTGCGGTGTCTACCCCGGACGTGTTCGATGCGGCTGCCGCAGTGGAGAAGACCAAATACGATGTGAGTGGGCCTCCCGTGGAAGTCGGGGTTATATTCCGCTGGAGCGCAGCGTTAATCAGTACCACCTGTTTCCCCTGTTGTGGTTGCCGCGACTTGATAACCGTGCGAAGATTAGTGGACACCCCGAGCTCCTTTCGTGTTTCTTTAGGTAGCTTGTTGTTTTCCAGGAAGTGCGCAGGCACCGTCCGTCGTTATGGAGTCAGGGGGACTGGCGTTTTCCTTCGGAATGGGAATGGGCCTTTCTGCCTGTTGTAATGTTTGTCCATTAGTTGTTGATTGATAAGGTTCATGCCTGTGAGGGGGCATTTTGTGTCATCTTGCGTCGCCCCCGGGATGCGCGCAACCAACGTCCCGAAGGGAGACCTTGTACGTTGGAAGAAGCTCATGGCATGGTGACCGATACAAGGCCGGGCCAGGTCGTTTTTTTGTTTTGCTGCTCGCTGCACGCTTGACTCTCGAAAGGATAAGGATTGGTGCTCGCGCAGGGTAACACTCAGAAAATGTGGTTTCGTGGAAATAATCGTGGACGCTGTCTGCTGTCTGAGCCCACCACACGCTGGGCGTTATGTTTTCTGCCCTACAATGTAGAACGGGCGATGTACTGTATTTTTTTTTTTTTTTGTTCCGTTCTCGGTTGATACGAGGGTAAGGGTATCGTTGAATGTGAAAGAGGAGCGTCCTTGCCTTGCCTGCTGCGCTTCGGGACGTTCTTGTCCGAGGTCGTAAAAGCATAGAAAGTCTGTTCTCACAAGCTCCTGAATACGTATTCGTAACAAATGGATGACAATTTACATCTGACGTGAAGTGAAATATGGCCTTGATGGTGGTGGCTCGAAAACAGGTGACTCGCGCACCGGGACCCGTTCCCGGGATCGGTACCAAGATCACGGCCGTCACCGACCCCGACGGGTTCAAGACGGTGCTCGTGGACGAAGTGGACATCGAGAAGGAGTTGGAGGAGGAAAGCGCATGATTTACAACCGTAACTTTTGGACTACTGTCGCACGTTGATAAGGGGCACCTTAGAAGGCGATGTTCACCTTGACGGGGGATAGAATGATAGAATGCGGTGTTCCGCACCAGTCCCGTGCTTTCCTCCAACAGTTTCTGAAAACGGTGCGAAGTAAAAATGGCCTTGGGTTCATTGTGTCTTGATGGAAGGAAAGTGATGAGGCTTGCGTTATGGTCTTGGTGAAAGAATAGTGATCGGTCCTTTTGGCTGTTTCATCTTTTTATGGTAGCTCTCGACACAAGTCAAAGGCGGTTTTCACCCTTTCCCGTTTCCAATTGTACGGGACCACAAGTCAACCCGGTTTTGTCTTGGTGCTTGACTGGTGATGATGCCACCGGTGCTGGGCAGCGGAAGGGAACATGTTTACGGCGTGCACCATGGTGGGGGCATGCTGCTGTAGAAGTGCTCAACGCGCATGTGTATCTACCTTACGTTTTTCTTGGTTCCCCAATGCGATCAGTAGGCAGCCTCTCCGGCTCTCCAAGTGCTCAGAAGAGTGTCCGAGGATAGAGCTATTAGTGGATTTTCATACCAGGAGAGTTATATTCTGGTCTAGACCCTAGAATCGAACACTCGCACAATATTCTCCACCGCAGTCTGTCTTGCGCCCCATGCCCCTAAACACTTCTATTCTACATGTAGCAGGAATCCCGCTCGATATGCGGTTGGGCTAGTGCTGGTAGGCATCCATTGGCGTCGCCCATCATACAAGCCTGATCCTTTCTAGGCCCACCCGCTCTGTTTTCCCGTAGGCTGCAGGGAGGGACCCCATGCTTTCTCACGTCGGTCGATGTTATGCCCCCAGGCTGGTTTGTTTCCAATGGGCGCGATCCGACGGATAATCAACTTCAGGATCAGGCTGTCGATGAGTGCGATCCTCAAACGTCCTCACGGAAATCGTTAGTGATCGAATCGGGGTATATCAAACCACGCAGACAACTTTCAACTCTGCGCAGGTGGTCCAAAACTCTCAATGCATCTACAGTAGTTTAATGTATGTAGCCTCCTTCTCTCAGACTGCAGACAACGCGCGAGCGTATGTGAAGCACAACTTTTTTATTGTATAACTGCAGTCTGACTTTGATCTCGGTTATTCTGTGGCACACGCGAGAAAGAGATGCATGATGCACAATAGTCTCGCATTTGCTCCATTCAGCGATATATTCTGTTCCCTGGCAGAATTGGGAGTTATCTCGTGTGGCGGCCCTTCCTTGTAAACACGCTGGCAAAAAAGGGGCTTCAGTCGAGGCCGGGGCGAATCCCCTTCGACTGTGGTTAGACTATACCTCGAACGGGTAGACTTGTCCTTGTGTGGTTTGTTAAAAAAACACGGACATCGTTCAACTTGGGCTGGAAATGAGTTGAGGGATGAACGCTAACCCTATTCGAATCGGCCACCTGTTGGAGGCTGTGCAGTGGGAAAACGTTGTAGTGCGAAGGAGAATCAACCCTGGGCTTTTTCTAGTCACGCAAGGAGCCACGGGTCGAAAAATATAAGTATGTTCCGCAGCCCTATGTATGGCTAAATATCTCATGGATCTGGTTTCACACAGGCTTTCGGTCAATCTAAAGACACAAAGCACACGATTGATTATAGCTGCAATATCGTGCCCCGTTGGGTAATGGAAACGGGAAAAGCGACCCCACACGTGAAACATTTTGAAGCTCGATATCAACCACGATGAAAAGGATACTGTACATAAAAAAAATGGATCCATTCTCGGAGAGGCCTCGACCAGACGGTTCCAACGCCACCATCTTTTTTTTTTTTTTTGCGCCTTTACTCTAACATCTCACTGCCGAGAAGCCGTGGAGTCATCAAACATTGAAATTCGATCCAGGGTGCGTGATAATTGCGCCACCTCAGTCTCCTCGAACGAAAAAAACCTCAGTCCCGACGTCCTGACAGCATTGTCTTTGCCTTGCCGAGAATTGCGTCTGTTCCAACGGTGAAGTAGACAAATCAAGACGCCCGCTCTTGGCCGAATCCGGCCACTAAAGGCAATGCCCGCATACACAACCGAAGGCCTGAGAAGAATCCCAACAGAGCCGCACGGTTTTCGTTTTTTCGATGCCGATTCAGAATCAGCCTTAGAGGTAGTTAGCGCGCATGCATGTGACGCGAGGAAAGAGAAGGCCCACAGTCTTCGCACGAAAGTCTATAGCCTAGGGGTGCACTTCCCTCCGTGTTCGCTCACCTTGCGGAGAATACGGGCAAACAACAACAGCATCCACAACGTCATCTCTCAAGAGTAGAGCGAGATATTTCGCATGGCCATCTCGTTCGTTCGACAACGGACTAGCTCGTCGTTTGCAGTTCTAATCAGATCGCCGCGAGGTTTTCGTTCCATCGCCAGTCTACCCCACCTTTCGGCATGTTCATGTTCTCGACACAGTAACTCTCCACCAATAATCAATCTTCCTGGTACTTCCGTTCAGTTGTCAACGCGAGAAGGGCTTCTCTTCGCAATCCCTTCCATTTGTGGTGTGTAGATACGACTAAGTTGTCCGTATCCCAAGATGAGCCCAGAAGGTTTCGTTTCACATGTTACCAGGCTTGCGCCTGAACTACAACTCAGCCGCTGTATTTTCGTGTGACCTTCGAATTTGCCGAGACAACGTCCCGCGCAAAACAAGAAATGGAAACGTGGCTCTACAGACGTAATCTCACATACGTGACTCCATGTACTTTCCTTCAAGCCAGCCTTGTTCCAAGCAGGCACAACATCTGAAAGGCATTCATCCACCTCCCCCCTGGCGGAAGGCTCCCTCCCCCGTCAAGTAGGCTCTCTCATGTGCAAGAACGACAGAGAGGTTGCCACAATGCATGACGTTACTATCCGAAAAGAACCACGACCATGCCGACATCAAAACGCCACCTCGCCCGGCCCTCGACTTCGACACGCCATTGGGCCAATAAGGGAAAACACGGCCCGCAAGGAGAGCATAATCCCGCACCGACACGCTCTCCCGTCAAACCCTGCGCACCCGTTCAGTCACGTTCTATCTCACCGCAGTCCGAACCGTTGGCAAAGTCGGCCTAAAGCAAGGCCTACGCCATGTGGCCCATGCTCTTAGAGCGGGCGTTGCAACCCCGATTGCACCCCAAAACCTTTCAATCAAACCCAAATATCAACCCTTGAACGAACAACAACGAAAACAAAGTCGTGTAGTTGACAGCGACACCGATGGATGGCCAGTTCCTTCGCAGTAGCCAAACACGCACATCTTTAAGAAGCAACAAATATAGAAGACAATCGCAAACTAATTTACTCCAACCTTTTTGCCCAAGCCACCCCTTGCGCGCTGCCTGAATACACAAAACCAGCACCCCCCGAGGCAGTTTCCAACCATGCGGACGGTCATAACACCACCGCTCTAGGCATGCCCGGAAAAGAGCACAAAACTTCCGCTACGTGACACCCTGGCTCCAGTGAGGTTGAGCAACCAGCACAGGCATCACAGTTTCAGACTGGTGGGTGCTCCACGGGCATCAAACACTCTCCTTCCCGCTACAGAAGAAGCGCCGTCTACCACATCGCATCAAACTGTTCCTAACTGCCACCAACCGTAACAGCAGCGTCCACTAACAACCTTCGGCAACGTGGAGCGCCAATTTCTTGTCGGCTCTTGCGAAGAACATTGCCAAGCGTTCAACCAAAGAAGACAAGCTTTGTTGACGCCATGAAGTGTATAGCCTAGCCAGCAGAGAGAGCGAAAACGCACCCCCCGGACGAAATTCATGCCAATCAGCTGCTTTAACCCAGTTCTTCTGTCGCTGCCGATTGCCGTTGAAATGTTGCCAGCCTTCCATAGATGACCCTTGACAAAAAGTCGTCCGTGTAAGCACACGACTGCTGTGCTCTGCATCGATCAGGCGTTCATAGCCGTGGCCATGGCAGTCTCGGCTGCCTTAGTCGCTTCGGGGAACTTGGCTGTGTACACCTGATGGAAGGAAGGCGAAACACGTACCGAACGAACGTGCGAAGGGGAACATATTTAGAAAGAGGAGCTCAACCGAAATTCATCGACATTTCTTGAGATCAAGGGTGCCACCCAGCCATCGAACTTGGGCCGCTACACTTCAGACAACTCAAAACAGCATGCCACCCATCGGACCCAACCGCCTACATTCGCTCCAGGATACTGCTGTAGGATCGAAGTATCGAACTCAGGCCAAGCTTCCTCACAAGCAGTGAGCCCGACGATTGCGAGCGATTTCGTCACAACTACCACCACGATTTTCTTGAAAAGAATCCCGTCCCAGCTCCATTTCCAGGTTGCTTCTCCCGCGCCCGCCCTTGGTAACCCGTCACCTGATGCACCCACACGCCGTAACAAATACCCATACAGCAAACCCAACTTCTTGTGTACAGGTCCAACGCGTTTTCACCTTTGGGTTGAGGTACTCCACGAGGACCATCCTTCCGGCGAACCAGCGGCCGTTCAGCATCTCCGCAGATGCCTGGTATTGTTTTTTGTAATTTTTGTAAAAAATGGGGGTAAGCATTGGTCAGAGGTATTGATGCAGCACCAAGTTACATGGGTTAGGCAAAACTGACAAGAGGCACGTTTCACCTCTGGCGAAGATGAAAAAAGGAGGAAATCCAAAATATACACTGAGGTTGGTACTACTTCGGTTTTACTACAGGTGGTTTCACCTCTGGCAAAGATGAAAAAAGGAGGAAATCCAACATATACACTGAGGTTGGTACTACTTCGGTGGTACTACACGTGGTTTCACCTCTGGCAAAGATGAAAAAGGGAGGAAATCTAAAATATACACTGAGGTTGGTACTACTTCGGTGCTAAGACGTGTCAAGATCCGTCCTCAATACATGCACTGCTATTTTGTTGTGTTTACCAAAACATTGCGCTCTGATTACTTTTTCCGAACAAAACTCTACAGAATAAACACCAATTGAGGCAAATGTGTGAAGCGACCTATAATAAAACACATGCGGTACGCCTGAAGAAGGTTGATTGACGAGGCAACACCACCATTGCTATTGCTGTCGAAGAGACCCTCACCACAGCGGCCCCGGTAGTGCTGAACATCACATACACCAAGCCTCCGGGCTGCCTGGACTCCACGTAGCTGTGCATGACAGCCCCGTGCTTTGAGCACTCCTGCATGGGTTAATCAATCGAGCATCGACGGGCTGCCAGTTAGGGGTGAGGTTGAGGTTTGGGATGGAGCAAGTCAATAGAGGAACGAAAAGCAGCAGATGCAACGTGTACCGCGCAAATTGATGTCTTGGGGCGGGGATAAAACATCGGGCGGGAAACGAGCTGCAGAGAAGCAACCAGATTTGTATTTGAACACACGACGAAGCTCGTTAAATTGCCACCACATGTTGATTAGAGAGTAAGATACACGTAAGCGGCCGTCGAATCTAGGATTGATAGCATGAAGCAGACCTCAATCCACTCGTTAAATCATCGTCTCTGTGCTCCCAAATCATTCCAGTCTCCATTGAAATAATCCACAAGACATAGAACACAAACCGCCACTGCAAAACGTTGCCCAACAAAGCTCCCAGTTTGAACACACTACTTACGACCGAAAACCCGGCAACAACTGTGTGGGGTTGCGTCACCATCGTCACATCACCGCTCACCTCCTCCATCTCCTCCTTGATGTCAAGCTCCCACCCCTCGTCGGTCTCCGTGGCGGGGTCAAACATGTTCTTGACCAGTAGACAGAAGGTAGGGGTGCCGACCACGGGGGGCGCGGCCGCCGCCGGAGCGGCGGCGGCGGCGGCGGTGGGTACAGCGGCAGCAGGAACGACAGCGACACCAGGGACGCCCGCTCCCATCCCCGGGAGCATGGCGCCTGTACCGACACCAGGGAGGCCGGCGGCGATGGCGGGATGGAGAGGGCCCTGCCCCGTACCTTGCCCAGCCGCCTGCTGAAACCAAGGTGCAACAACGGTGACATTCCGGGGGGGGGGGGGGGTTAACGGTTAAGTATTGACCCAATAGGGGGTCAAAGGCCCCAAATCGAATGTTCGTCAACGGATTCCAAGAAAGTGAGCGAGTCCGGTCGTACGATGGCAAAGTGACAACGATCACGGGAGATAGAGGAATAAACTCCACCGCTTCAACGGCACCCACCGTTTGGCGCCGTGCCCTGTGCAACGCCTCATGGCCAGGTGTTTGACGCCAAATACAACGAGCGGGGATCTACAACAACCGAAGCATGAGCGGAGCCAACGCCAGAGAAACACAAAAAGCGCGCGAAACAAAAGTAAAACGACGTCTGGCCTACCACCTGCTGCTGTAGCCCCATCGCCCCGGCGGCCCCGGCCCCGAAAGCCGTTCCACTAAGCGCGGCTTCGAGGGCAGCGTTCGCGGCAGCAGAGGGCGATTGGGAAGCGACGCCCGTCATCCCCGTGGACATCGCCCCCCCCATGCCCGTGCCGGACATGCCGGGCAGGGTCGCGTGATTCATCATGCCTGAGGAGTAGACGAAAAAACGGAACGAACCGGGTTGTGTGGGGTGGGGCGGGATAGGCAGCAATGGGCTTGCTCGTGGATAAGCGCGACGCCCGCCTACACGAGCAAACCAACGGGAAACCACGCCGATGAAACAAAAACGCGCAAGCCGAAGGGCATGCTAACAAAAGAGGCGATCACGTCAACAGCACGGGATCTTTGCCAGCGGTGTTGTCAGAAATATAAGCTGGATATTGATGTTCAGGTTCACGAAACGTTAGATGCGTCGCCAGTCTTGCGACCCAAGAGGCAAGCAACAGAGAGAGTGCAGATTAAGCCCACACACCCCAGCCCCATATGTGCACTGGTGGTACATAAACCAAGCCGTGGTTCAAGTTTCGCTGTGGCGGTGACCTCGCCCGCAACTTCACAGACTAGCCAATTCCTGGACTCGCACCGCCGGCGAAATGCCTCACCTGGGATACCTGCCAAGCCCATGTTCATGGCCGCTGTGGAAGCGGCAGCAGCGGTAGCAGCAGCAGTCGCAGATGCAGCACCGAGCGAGGCCGGCGGAAGGCCTGCCAAAACCAGGAATGTGCGGGAGAGGGCGAAATTGAGATGGACAGTGAGGGGGGCAGTTGGCGTCACCAGGGATGGTCAAAATAAGAGACTGTCGGCACTGCAACTCTCGAGTCCACAGCTAGCTGTCCACACTCGCAACTTCAGGGCTAGCGCATACCGCTAGGTATATCCAGGGGCGAACGCCCACCTCGGTTGCGTTCAACTGATTGTACGGTGCACGAGAAACAACAAAAGCTACACGCCTGCCTACAAGCAGGGTTAGAGCATCATCTCGCTTGGATCGGAAGCAACACGTCTTGACCCTTGAACTACAGCCAAGCACGCGGACAAACCCTTCCCAAACAAAAATGAAACCGCCCCCTAGGCCAATGATTGCAGCATCGACGACACCAGACCCACACTGAAGAAACAACGGCACCATGAAATAAAGCGGTTCGTCTACTGTAGACCGTTTATAAACGCTTCTTCAAAAACTGCTGTGATGTAGCTACGGCGAGCCATCATTACGAGAATCCGCCAATAGTGCTCTCATGGCATCTAGGGGCAAAGAACAAAGAACAGATTCTACTGTGACGAAGAAAACAGCTTCTACTGCGACGAAGAAAACAGCTAACAACAACAACTCCCCCGCAACGGTACCTCCTCCGAAGCGCGACATGATGTTGGCCCGGTTAGTGCTGTCCATCTTAACCCCGCCGGCTCCCTCGTCATCGTCGAGCTTCCAATTGCTGGATGCCGCAGTAGACTGCTGCCCGGCCGTAGTAGCAGCGGCCAGGGAGGCCGCGTGAGCGGTGGCTGCGGCCGCCGCGGCGGCCGTGGCGGTAACGTTGGCGTCGAGGTTCTTGGGGATGCTCTTGGGGTCCGCCTTGCAGTAGGAGACCTGTTGGTGACGGTAGTGTTGGCGGTCAAAAGCACGATGATGTGCAATACTGTTCCGATTTCGTGTCTTGCGAGTGCCGTTGCGGCCAACTTGGGATCAACGTGCAAGGGAAATTCAAGTCCGAGCAACCGGCGACCAATGCTCGTTGGCAGCAATCTTCCAGGCACATCTTCCAGGACAAGAAGGAAACAATGGCGAAGACAGCAACAACGGCGACAACTACGACGAAAACCACTAAAGCAGCAACACAAACGTCACGTGCAAGGGTCGTGCAACTAAAAGCACCCGGCGACCAGTACTCGCTGGGAGGAAGCTGCTACTTCCAGCCACATCGTCAAGGACAAGGCGGCAACAACTACCACTAAAGCACCACAACCATCACCAGCGAACAACAACGTACCGACAGAGCCTTTCCAGCCACCTCGAGGCCGTCGAGCTTTTCGAGGCAGGCATTGGTGCTCTCCGTGTCGGCGTAGGTGACAAAGGCAAACCGCTTGCTCTCTCCGGCTTCGTCTCTGTGCAGGATGAGCTGGGTGACCTGGATTTTCGTTGAATGAGGGGAGAACGCGCAATTGGAACTCAACGCATGAGTGCAAGCGAGAAAGAGCGACCACAGCAAGAGAAAGGACGCCACGTGCATACATGGCAACGTCAGCGAAGGAAATCTCATGCAGAAACGAAAGCCCAACGGTTGTGTATATCTTGCTCTCTTGCGGGCGCGCTTTAGGGCACGGGACTCAACAGCCTACAGGAAAGGGGGGGTAACAGATCAAGAACGGTCCAGAGGGCGAGGTAAAACATCGGAGAGACCGAAAAGCGCGAGCAACTTCGTACCTTAGCCGCTCTGCCGACACCATACTCGATACTCCGTGAATACTCCGTGAATGGTGTTTCTTTTTGAAACAAGTTGCTCGGAGATGTTCCGTCCCAAGCGTTGCCTGGGAAACGAACAACAGGCGCTACCACGCGTACCAGACGCAGATGGTCCAGATGGCAAGTCGTGCACAAAACAAACCCAAGATAATCCTTCCGACGAGGCATGACATGGGGAGCTTTGCCACGGACCTCTCCGAAAGAGCGGCAGATCTCTCCCAGGTCGTCTTCCGTGATGTTCTGGTGCAGGTTTCCGATGTGCAGCTTCAGACCGGCCAGAGCGGCGGCATTTCCAAGGATGACGTGTCCCGTTGGGTTCTTCGCCTTCTCTTCCTGTTGTCCCAAGGAAATATATGACGAATCAGTCTATGCGAGCTGATGGGATTACATCGGGCACGGTAGGACAACAATCATCAATTCGAACACGCAACGGGTCAAGCTCTACGCAAACAATACGTGAGACGAGATTTCACCAAACGCCAAAATGGGGAATCGGTATCGTCCCTGATGGGACTACGGGCCCTTGCCCTTTCTACGACGCGTATGCATCGTTTACTACTTCGACGTAACATAATTGGCCACCGCTTAACCGTGATCCTCAAGACCCGATCGAGTCAATATCCTCCCTGCGAGTCCCGTTGAACAAAAGCAAGATACAAACGGCACTCGCCGACTTTCGGTTAACTTGGCGCCGAAATTTGGTGCGAGATGATGCTGGTATGAATTATTTGACAATTCACCTGATCCTCGAATCGGAGTGGAAACGAGTCTCGCCTTCAGAGAAACGACCCCGAGAAGCAAAATCACAAAAACAGCCGATTTATGTGCCGTGTATTATGCCTACGTAGCGGTATTCTTTGGCACGAAATACAAACATACACACGCGAAGAAAAGCAAGCCACCGCTGTTTACGACTCGCCTGCTTGGCGAGGTAGTTCTTTTCCGCTTCGCTAGCCTTCACCATGACAGGGAACTTCTGGAAGTCGGGCACGCGCTCGTTGAGCTGCAGCACCACGGGCACCGACTCAAGGCTCTTCATCTCCACGTACGCGAACCCCTGGAGAGGAGGTCGGAAAACACCAAGTTTTGGGGCGAGCGAGCGAAGGGGGTTGACTTCTACTGAACAATAGAACATCGGAGATGTTTACGCAAGCACGAAAGGTTGAGTGCGTGGTTGGGTCACAACGAACATAGAGGTGGGGGGGGATTGATTACAGCGGTATCCGACAGATGCCAAGTAATGAAACCTCGAAACATAGAGCAAGATCTATCCATGAATCAAACACACTTGACCTACAACTTCAACTATCATGCCGCAACAGTCGAGAAACCCTAAAATCGCACAACACAACATGGTAGCGTGAGGTGGCCGCTGGGTCGCATTTGGTCCACGTTCCACTGGACACCAGTCGGGGAATAAGCTGCAGTACTGTGAATCAGAGACGCGTCTCTACTGTTCGAGAGTTACCGGAACCGAATCGGCCGGGATTTTCGTCATGATTTCAGGGTAAAACTTCCCACCAACCGAGAAACTATAGTCGCAACAAAATTTTGAAAGTAACGTCTGGACACACAGTAGTAGGTGATGGGGGATATTTTTCAAAACCATTTTGGCGGGGATCGGGGCTATTACCTTGTGACGGGGCAGGGCCCGGCCCCGCATGGCGTCGCCGCCATCCTTCATGCCCGTCACCAGAAACACGAAAACGATAAGGTAACCATGATCATAACAAGATTGTCACATATAATAAATCACGAATATAGGGTACCCGACGATGCAGCAGCCAGAGGAAATTGCGGCAGCCACGACAAGATCGAAATAACTAGGTACAAGGAGGTTGAACAAACTTTCACGCGACAGTTTCCGCAACAAAGCCGTTAATGGGTTAACATACCGTGACTCATACTTTTCCCGCACAAGAGAGCGGGATATTGCGAACTACCCCATCAGCCGCAGATATTTGACACCGAAATCACCGTCGTGGAACACAAATGCATGTGTTCAAGGGTTGAAGAAACAAGTTCAGCACAGCAAACAAAAAGAAACACTGTGAAGAACTCATGAACGCATATTGGGAGAAGCCGTATTGCTATGCCAACACCTCAACATTTCTAAAGCGACTTCACCTCAAGAAGAGAAAGAAATCGTCAAGACCGTTGAACAAACCAAGCACAAGACATCTTATCACATTGCATCCGTCAATTGTTCGTTCCATGGTACCACCCGCAGCAGTTAGAAAACTACTAGTTTCTTCGATTGACAACGCACGGTGCAATATGCAGTCTACATAGTTCACCCAACTTCAACTGGACATGCGTAAATCTGACATGACGGAAGAAATAGTTTCGTGCGTCTCCACATAGTCCAGTATGAAAGGTTAGAGGAATAACCGCTCCACACTCGCTGTAGGACAAGACAGCACCATTCAGGTTATCGATTGTATGGGCGCACCTTGTGGCGACTGGTGAACTTGTCGCGGAGCATGATGACGTTGTTGACCTCCCCTAGCAGTCCGAAGTACTTGGCCAAGTCATCCTCGGTCACCTGGACAAAACCAAAATCGCCCGCGAAGACAGGAGAGGAAAATTTATACCATTATCACACACGCGGGTCAAAAACACGGTCCTACAAATAAGGTACCTACACATTACGGTTGGAGATGCCACATTGTTGTCACAAGATCTCTGTTGGAAGCCTTCGGGTTTGACTACGGAGCCCCCCTGACATGGCATCGTGACCTAACCCAGGTTAGACACGCAGACAGGCCGACGACACACAAACAACCATTAACGAGAGAGCAACTGCGCAGTTTTGACGTTTTTCGGGGCGCAGGGGACAAAACACCGGTACCGTCTCCTCACACTGCATGGGGTACCCGATACTGTGCTACAACAAAGTCCTTCGTGCGTTCAAGCAGCATTCACACATGTAGAGATTACCAATCAATTGAAGCCGACATACGGAATATTCAGCAAGGAGCACACGTGGTTGATTGTTCTTCATCGTCCTACTGCTAGATAACGCATCGCGCGCTTTGGACTAGGAAAACGCACCCGACGTACGCGAGGAACAACGGAGATTAAGATTGCGGGATCGAACAACACCCAACACACAAGTCTTATCTCAAACACTTACTTTCATGGTGAGCTGGTTGACGAACACGGTACGCTGGTCACGCGTGAGTTCGTCGATGGCGGCACGCTTAGCTGCCTCCTCCCTCTCCTCCTTGCTCTTCTCCGACCTCTCGGACCTCTCGGAGCGGCGAGGGCTGCGGCTGCGGCTGCGGCTCCTGCTGCGGCTCCTGCGACGAGAGCCGCCCTCCTGCTACAGTGCAAGCAGCAGCAAACGCAGCGGTGGCGGCGGCGGCGGAGCCACCGAAAATGACGGGGGTGGGTTGACACAGAAGACATGCTCTGCTTCCTCAACACTTCTCCGCCACTGCTGGATCAGTGCCAACAAAGGCACGTTTGGCATGCAGTATTCTCACCGATGCACAGCTACCAAACTCAGGTAAAAATGTGCACTGCTGCGTTCCGCACACAAGTGTCAACCCGACCCGGACGGTCTCCATGCCCACAAGAGACAGCGCTTGACAAGTGCCACGATGAACACGCGGAATCGTCTAGACACTCCGTGCTGAGCGCGATGTATTCATAACACGAGCGACGTATGGCCGCCACCCTCGTTCTGGATGATTGGACCACAGAGTGGACAATCCTTCGGGGGGGGGTGTACTCATAGTCGTGCATGCCGTAGTCGTTTGACCATTGACCTCGCATCCCTACAAAGCCGGGACGGAGCACGCCGGGTTCTCACCGGACCAGGCTCTCACATCAACAAGCGCGAAGCGCCGTGAGGTATTTGGCGAGTCGCATGAAGGGTGAGCTGCATCCTGCTAAGGGTGTTCGGCATCTTGTGCTTACTTCCTTGCGTACGGATGACAGCTACGTATGACTTAATTTATTTTCTGGTGCTTTCACTTCCAGAGACAGTTGTAAGCACTGTGTAACTGCCTCGAGGAAGCTTGACCATTTTAACACAACGTGGTGCGATCATCCCCCGTTGCGCGGAGTGAGGTTTCTCGACCCCGCACAACATTATCTACTCGACCACCATTATGGTTACCGCCAAAAAAAAAACCAGAGGTAAAAAAAAAGACGGTAACCTGGTTGCCGAGTTCACGAAGTGAATTGGCTTGTTTTACAACGTCGTTGCCAAGCGACGAAAACCCAAACCCCGATGGCAAACACCGGGGGGGGATCCTTCGGGGGGGGGTTACAATAAGATCATCGATATTTTCAATAATCATTGAGCAGACACCTTGTACATGCGATTTCAGGGGGGTCTACAACTCGAGATCCTCTGAGCCTTCGACTTTTGGCCACAAGCACAACAAGTTGACAAGCTAAATACTCCGCGATGCTCAAGGTACCCTAGACGTGCCATAATTTGGCTCAATCAACTCTGACCAAGCACAAGGGGCATTTAGCGTCGTCGAAATCCCAACGAGTTTCAACACTCAGTCTGTATGCGTGCCATATATACGGCGCACGTTCTGTGTGACCACGGGTTGGAGTAAACGGCACAGATGCTGTGAGCGCTGACTTGAAGAAAGACAAAAAAAAAAAAATCTTGCTCACCCTTCGGTCATCCCTGTCTCTGTCCCTGTCCCTGTCTCTGCGGTCACGATCACGGTCCCTCCTGTCCCTGTCCCTGTCCCTGTCGCGGTCTCTGTCACTGCGGCGGCTGCTTCTGATTTGGAGAAATTCAACGTCCGGTGTACATTGAAAAGGGTCCCGTGAATTGCTGCACGAGGATGACAGCATGAAGAACTATTCCGCTAGTTGCAAGCTGTGCCGCTTTCCTGACAGGAAACCTCCAACCTCGATACATGCAAACTGTAAAGTAAGTCTAGAACCTGTCGTATCATTGGAGCTACAGTACCATCCCTACCACGCGCAACTTCTGATGATTTAGTCTTACCCGTGGCGCCTGCTGTCCCTGTCCCTGTCCCTCTCCCTGCTGCGGGACCGGTGCCTGTCCCTTCTCTTGTCCCTGGAGGACCTGGACGACCTGTCTTTTTTAGACTTGGACGACTCGCGCCTCGACTCCTTGTCTTTTTCTTTCGAGTCAGTTTCCTCGGTGGGCTCTTCCGCTTCTTCTTTGTCTTCTTTTTCTTCTTCTTTTTCTTCGTCTTCCTTGTCTTCAGCGTTGCCGTCTTCCTGGACCGGCGACGTTTCTGGGTTGGATTCATTGTCCTTGTCCACTTCCATCTTGTTGCCATCGCTTCCGTCCTTATCTTCCTCCTCCTTCTCTTCGTCATCATCTTCCTCTTCCTTCTCTTGCTTCTTCTTGTGCTCATTCTCGCCGGAGTGGCGGCTCCTCCTGCTCCTCCTGTCATCACCAACATCACGACGAACAGCAGCAAAGGAGTTAATGGCGCAATATCGTCAACCCAGCAGCAGAACCCAAAGAGCGCCGACGGAGACCTAGGACCAATGCGTCAATGTCTGCAGGGTTTCGCCCTGTGTCTGTTTTAATATGGGGCAAGAACAGGCCCAGAGTGGTATATGGTATACCGCAAGCTTCGGATAGGACCAGTTGGTATTGTTCCTTGGCGGTGGTGGTAGTGGTGGCATCGTCCCCAACAACCGCTACATACCGCGAGGAGAGAGGGTTAGCTTTGCACCCTGGTATGGGACCTTTCGTTTGCGGAATCTGCCGAATCGCTTCAACTCGGAAAATGTGTATACTGTAGTGTGTGGAACCCTCACCATATTGAGCTATGCACCACGAACCACATTTTGACTTCGAGGCTCACATGCGGACATCGGAACACCCTCCTCTTCGTGGTTAACCAAGAAGGAAAGCGCCACCCACCTCCGCACATTTCGATACCGCAACAAACGCACACCCCCGCATCAGCAGCTTGGCTTGCTACGCTGCCACGGTGTTATAACACACGTTATCTGACCTTGTGCAAATCTACCTCACCTGCCGGAGTCCCTGTCTCTGTCTCTGCTGCGAGATCTGCGGGAGGATCGGCGGTCCCGGTCGCGATCGCGCCGGTCGCCCCTGCTGCTGCCGTGCCTGTCCCTGTCCCTGTCGCGATCACGGTCACGATCCCCCTTGCGGCTGCTGTGCCGGTCCCTCCTTCGGTCCCCGCTCACACTCCTGATAGTTTAGCAAAACAGAGGAATAGGTACAACGAGCCCGGCGGTAGGTGATGCTACTGCAGATGGTGATCAGAAAATAATGATTCTAGCCTGGGTGACAACGAGTTACAATAGCGCACGTGTGTAGCTTTCATGAGACAACTCGGGGCATGTCTTCATCGGTTGGTAATCCGCAGCTCACATAAAGGCGATGTACAATCGTGCAACGCTACAACGCGGTTCCAGGTGTTTGTTGAGCTACCGCAACGCCGCGCTGGCATCTGGTGTGGGCATGATACCCTAAGCCTGGTGAGGGCTGGTGGCCCAGATCCCGCCTGGTCGGTCTTGCCCCTCCCCCACGTTTGCTGAAGCCCGACAACGAAAATCTACGACACTGCATTCGTTTCGCGGCATCGCAAGCTCTTGGCGAACTCCGTTGGTCTGGTCGATCCGGCGTCGGTGGGAGCACTCACATGGTTGACGAAACGCAGAACGTTCTAGGAACCGTTCTCCAATCTCTTCCAGGGGAGCCTGAGGGCGTGTATGTTTATGTGACAGCCATCGTGTGGTTTAGAAGTTTGAAAGGTTGCGTTTTAGCTGAGAAGAAGGCCCAAAGACACTGACATGTACCTGTGTTTCGTACTTCCAGGCTACAGAGCACCTCTCTATCGGCATCTCAATCACTACGGTAAAGCTCCGTGTTTAACGTGCACCAAAACAACAGCAAATCACAGCAATCACCGCCACAGGCGTTTGCAATTTATGTGCAGGGGCCGACGAAAGCTAACAGGCAGGCTAACCCGATATCACAGTTTACCGCAATCACTGACTGTTGCAATCCGTGAACTATTGTACAACAACCCACGACCAAGGAGACACCGGACCAGGAAGCACACTACGCCAGTACATCAGTAAATATTTCCATACGCAAGTCCTGACTATTCGCCGACCTGCCCTCCCTTCACGACTGAGCAAAACATCTTCACGCGCGTCCCCCGCAAAAAAAAAGGGGGCAAAGAGGGTGGAAACCAAAACAATCCCGGTGTCGGTTGTAGGTTACGGGTCCTGGGGTGGCCTTTTCTCCCCCTGGGCGCACCTTTGTCGTACTGCAGCCAAACTTTGTCCTCGACTTAGCCCAGCAGAATCTCTCTTACGTGGTATCATCTCTTTTGCGAGACGGAGAAAATGGTTCGAGATGCAGAACGGGTCAGCTGCTGCAACAAGGACTACAGCAGTACATAGATGTACATGATTGTAGTGTAGTAGGTTTCTCTTGCGGCGGTACAAGTAGTCGTCAGATCAAGGTGTGATGTGTGATGTGTGATACGTCAACGATTTTTTATCCGGCGGCGACCATCGGCCATTAAATAAATGTGCTTGTCCAATACATCGATTCTATGAGGAAAAACGAACGATAAGATCAAGTATTCCTCCTCGTCAATCCCTCTATTAATACTTGTACTACATGTTTGTCCCACCAAACCACCCACCACAATATGCTCAAAGGAACAGAGGTAAAGTCTGAGGTATGAGGTAGGTACGACACATGTGAGCATCATCACCCGATAGCTGGCCGCCCCTCCTCTGCGAAAATGCCCAAGAAAGGGCTTTCATCGCGAAAATAAAAGTTTACACAGCTGTCACGGCACGTGGCGTTAGCCGCTTGGGAGAATAAAATCTGAACACCAACAGAGATGAATCGCCTCTGTGTACTTGTATCAACTTCAACTTCCGGGCAGCAACGCGGTTCCACCTCTACAGCAGAAGCAGCTGGCGTATCCGTTTTTCACCGGTCATCGGCGCACCCGACTCGAAGGAGTTACATGTACAACAGCAGTAAATCTCTACAAAATACGGGAGCCTGGTGACACTCAGAGTGCTTGTCGTAGCTCGTTGTCACTAGAAACTTGGCACAATCTGAACAAAGATCTTCGTGTCCGTGGATCGAGGTCGGCGATATGCCAATCTACCTTTCGCATCAAGGCGCTAAGTTCATAGGCCGTCGGTGCGCGCGGAGGGAAGGCCAACAGGTTTGCAAGCGGCTGGGCTCCAACCACCAAAATCTATCCTCTATCCTCTATCCTCGGCCACAACTATTGGCCATGAAAAATATCTGTGGGCCGATACATCAAGATTGCATTCCCGCAGCAGACTATGAGCAGTTCTCAGAGTGGGCGTACCTCCTACGGCGCTTGTCACTGTCCCGCTCCCCTCGCCCGCGGCTCCGGCTCCGCTTCCTGCGGTCATCACGGTCCCTGCCCCTGTCCCTGTCGCTCCTCCGGCTGCTGCTTTTCTTGTGTTTCTTGTCTTCCTCCTCTTCCTGCTCTTCCTCCTCTTGCTCCTCCTCCTCCTCCTCCTCCCCTTGCCCCTCCTCGTTCTCGCCTTCAGCGTTGTCGTCGCTGTCGGAGCTACTTCCATCTGAGCTGCTGTCTCCGCTGGATGATCCACCGCCCTCGCTTGCTGCGGCCTCGTCCCCCCCGGCTCCCGCCTTCGATCCGTTTTCCGGGTCGTGCCCGTTTTCGGCATCGCCTCCTCCGTTCTCCTTGCGCCGAGGCCCTCCCTTGACGCTTGCGAGCTGCTCTTCGAGAAACGCATCCACGTCCCCCATCTTTGAACAAGATTTGCTGCGCCGCACGCAACCGTCAGCTACTCTCTCTCTCTCTCTCCCGCTTTCTCTGTGCTCCGGTGTCCAACACAACCTTTGCCGGACTCGAGGGGGCCCGCAGATGCTGGTTTGTGTTGAGGAATGGCGGGGGCTACTTTTCTTGTTTCGGTCGGACATTGCTGCTGGCTTTGCATCTACATCATCCTACATCATGGACCACATCGCAACACACGTCACGGCGAGATGACATCCTTTGGAAAGCAGCGGCAATGGGGGTTGTTGACAGTCGTTTTGGCCATGGCCGTCGGCAGCATTGACCTGGGAGCAGCCGTAATACTAGTGTACAACGAGGGCACGACGCGGTTCGATGATGTGCCGTCGATGGACAACTTCGGTCCGAGAATACCTGAAGAGGTGAGTTGCTGAGTTGCACTTGTAGACTCTGGTATTCCTTGAAAGCAGGGTGGTGAACCGGAGGGATTGGGAACACCGCCCAACCGGAGGAATTGGGAATGCTGCCCTCGCCCTTTCTCCATATCTCGTTCTCTGTCTGCCTCTGTGCCTCTGTGTTGAGTATCACGAAAAAGAGCGGTTTTGAAAGAACCTGGGTTTATCTTCTGTAAGGAGTAGGGAGGGCTGGCTCTTCACGTTCAAGGTCCTTCCTTGTGAACAGCTACATATTTAACAACTTCTTCAGCGCTTCGAACTTTGAACGGTCTTTTGGCCCTTTTGAACACCACGAAGTTTCAGTTAGTGGCCTTTAAATGTATCTCTTGTATGCATATCCATACCGACAGCAGGCAGCAGAATAGTGTGTAAAAATCTACGCCTGCCTCCCCCCCTGCAGCTCGCATTGCTGCTGCCTCAGCTTTCTTTACCCCTGCTTTGCTGATGTATTGTATTGGCTGTCTACAGCAGCTGCTTTTTTTTTTTTTTTTTTCTCAAGATGACCCAACGAATCCATCTCCATCAATAGAAAAGAGATACGTACATAGATTTGCAATGGACCCATAGCGTCAGCGGAGGCTACCTGTATTTCCACGATTTGGTCTTGTTTGGTCTTGTTCTCTTCACATCATTAATAGTAACCGTTGCGGTGTTCCGGTCTCCGCTCATATGTACCTTGTATTGTCCGTACTGGTCAAACTCCTCTTGTACGACCGAAAATCCGCAGGGATTCGCAGGACGGCTCCAACTGGCCCAACCGAACGTGTACGCCTGTTCCGCCATCAGCGGGCCAACATCCACCACAGCAGTAGCGCCGGCAGCAGCCGTCAAAGAGGCAGCGGGCGAATTAGATTTTGGAGGCGCCACTCCACCATCAAGGACCCGCGCACACAGCGGGGTAAGCCGCGGCATGCCACTGGCAGTATCGCGGCAACCCCCTCGCGGCGAGATCTTGGAGGCGGCTTGGACGACAGCGGCGGCGACGGAGGCGGCGGCAGCTGGAGAGGAAGATCTTCCTTCGGCTGCGCTCATCTCGAGGTCGGAGAAGGATGACCCTAATGGGTGCACCTTCGAGACCAAGGTGAGAGAGCGGCGGGTCTAGAGGACGGTTGGCCCGTTGTTCCAAGGCGTACTGATCAAAACACGGCAGGCGGTATCGACAGAATATGGAGGCGTGAGGTGGTGGTGATCGTGGGGTTCGGGGGTCGGATCTGGTGCGTCCCTCACCAAGCGGCCTACAAACAATACCAATATGAGAGGTGACACGTGGTATGTCGTTTTCCTTTTTCAATCTGTTTTGGTACGATCGATGGTGATTACCTCGCGATACCGCCAATGCTACATACTACAGCAGAACGTCTTGCCAACAATCAACGGTCCCCTTTGTTCCCACGCACCACTCCCCCTTCTAGTCTACTTGTAACACCCCATGGTAGTTTGCTCAGAACCATGTACGCTCGGTTCTTCTTTACACTCGGTGGTGTGGGGAGGGGTGTTGTGCCTTAACCTGGAGAAAGTCTTTTACTGGTACTTGTAGTGAAAACATTCTGAGCGTAGCGGGTTGGAATTGCCGGATGAACGTGAGGGAAGGCCGTACCAGTGGTCAGATGGAGGAATAAGGTGGCACAAAGATGTACCCGTGGACACACAGACGTGCCCATATGGCGAAGGCAGAGGGAGAGCATACTGTACGATGTCTTAAATAGAGAACGTGATCCCTGGACTGGACAAACAGAGAAGGAAGGAGAAGACTTGCCGTCGTCGGGGGGCAAGACCAGAAAAAGTAGAGGAGGCGGTGGTGCGACGACATGAGGCGGGAAACGCGTGCGATACACAGCGTTAAAGTTTGAGAAGCGTCTTGGGATTGGGATCAGGCTCAGAGGTGCTCCTACCTCCAAGTGTCGCTGATTGGCCAACAGCTACTAAGCAACAGAAGAGGACACGCCCCGTATCTATGGTCGTGACAAGCGCGTTACTTTCCGTGTAAATGCCAAGCGAAACACAGTACAACGCATCATGCGTTGGCTTTTCGGAAGCACAGAGGGGAGTGGTGATGCTGTCCAGTGCTGAACATCCACCGCACCCCCCCGCCGTTGGCGTTTCTACTCTCTTAGGTCCTTAACGCGCAGGCTGCAGGGTTCAGCATGGTGATCGTGTACGACTCTCGACAGGAGAACATGTTCAAGATGGGCAGAAGCTCCGCCAAGGGGGCGAAGCATCCAAAAGTCGAGATACCGTTGGTGAGTGAGTGAGTGAGCGTTACCTTGCATTGCCAAGACTGAAACGGTAATACCAAGGCCTTGATGACTAGTATTTTTTTGGTTGGGTGCGTGAACTTGGGACAGAATCGTACTCGGACGGCAGCAGGCGACAATTTTTCTGTCCGGAGAATGACTCCGTGGTCATTTTTCGTTGTATCCATTCCAACCGCGCTGAGCCCTGGTTGTGGAAAGAAGGTAGAGTAGTAGCAGGCTCCATCGTATTGAGCGCAATCTGATACACCGACATCAGCAGCAACTCGTATTGAGGAATGTTCGATCAACAAACCACAACGAAAACAACACCACCACCAGGTGTTGGTTACGCATGCGTCTGGCCTGGCTTTGAAGGCGTTGATCGCGACTACGTCGGACAACCGCGGACCAGAGGTGTACGTGGACAACACCGACCCCTTCGGCATGTTTGTGACGGTCGATCTCACCATGTTCATGCTTGTCACCGGGTGAGTGTTGCTTCGAGAGATGGAGGAGGAGACCTCATTTGGTTGCTGCAAAAAAACGGGCAGGTGTATTGTCGTTGGGGCACTTATTCACGGCGGATCATCGATGTCGTGCTTCTGGCTTTTCTTTCGGCCTGTCTTGTTGAGCAGCCTACGTGGGTCACCACAAACGAGTGTTCTGGGGGACTGGATGATGGTAACGGACCAAACCCTGTCGGCGACTGCTGTGCTGATTGTCTAGGCAATCCAGAAACTTATTTTCCGTTGTTGTCTTGGATACATGCTCCTTCGGCGTGTCCTCGAAGACCAACCTACCGTGCTTGCAACGTGCTGGCCAAGAGGTACTTTGGGAGGAGGTGGTCGTGCGTTACGTGTGCATAGTTTCGGTTTGTGTCGGTCGGACTGCTGTGCTGTACCGCGCTTCTTCCTGTGTTGAGGTTCGTGTAGCGTTTCGCTGTGTGTTGCTGTTCAAATCCTCAAAGCCTCTAGTAGCTGCTTGAGCGTTTGCATAGCTGCTTGGCGACGTATGTACCCTTCCATGCCACTCTTTCCACAAGTGCACGTTGGATACCAAAATTGCACACTGCAACATCGCGGTTGCCAAGCAAAGTGAGGTTTATTTGCTCACGGCGTCGGAAGAAAGTGTTTTACAGTGCTGCTGACCTCCGCACGCACTCACGTTCAAACGCATATGTGGTGAATACCTAAGGAAAGCAGGCATGCGAAATACCGCTAGGGGAATGTGGCAAAACGTCCGAGCAGAAAGGCGTAACTGAGGCTGTTTTTTTGTCGTGTTTCCGGCTTGCGTCGTTGGCAGGTTCTTGCTGGCGCTGCTGACTTGCGGAAGCATGATGGTGGTGACCCTCCACCGTTACTTGCGCCGCTACGAAAGTCTGGTGGCGGGCACCAACAGGTTATGTTTTGGTTGGTCACAAGCAGAAGTTGTGGTGCACCAGAAAAACACCAAGCGATCGCTTTAGCGTTTTTCGCGACGCTGGTCTGCCCGCACACTCCCGTACCACACTGTTTTGTCGCCATTTCTTGGCGTGGTCCCCTGCGTCTTCGTCTTTCTGGCGCCCGTAGCCGGACCATTGGCGGTGTTCCGTGCGCTGCAGCTTTCGGCATGGCTGGTTCTGTCTTCAACGTGGACAGACTATTTCGACAGTGCCTAGTTCAATCGTCACATTTGACAGACGATCAACCATGCCGCTCAGATCCGATAAGCGAGCTAGACTCCAGTTAGTAGCGTACATAAGGCCTCAGATAGATGCCCTTTCAGCATGTGGCCAAGGCGCGCGCACAATACCGCCACGGAGTTCCGTCGGCAGGGAAACGGGGCGATGAGCACTCCCCACCTTCGGAGGGGTGAAAGGCCGCAGGGAATTGACAGTTATCTTTTCGATACAACGTTTTGCGGAGATCGAAACTATGTGCCAAATTGACCAAATGAATTGGTTGTTCCAATGGATACGATCCGTGGCGAAAGTGTGCGATAGACTGACCAGTGTCACCCATCGATCGTTGTGATCTTTGCGACGTACGATGCGTGTCTTTCATCGTCTTGCCTCGATCGATGACCTGACCACACGGTCTCCGTAACATGTGATGCCGTTATCAGGCCAATGTCCTTGCCCGAGGTGCTGCAACTGCCAGAAGTTCGTGTGGAGGAGGGGTCTCGCCTTGAAGGAGACTCATGTCCGGTGTGCTTGGAGGCGTACCGAATAGGGGACAAGGTGAGTTTTTTCCCTGGGTATAAGTGACGGAGTAGGTCGGGGGTGGTACCGCTCTCGACGGCGATCTGTTGTTGTTCATGGGCATCATCTCTACTGCTGGTTTGCCTTTCTTTAGCTCATCTTGGCCGCGTACACCTCCAAAGGCAGAACTCTGTGATCATACTCCAAGTCAGCACGTTCTTGTGGTTACCTTGTCCATCACCTCGCCCCCCATGACCCCCCTTCCTTTTTTGGAGGTGTTGACTGATAGAACCAAGGACAGTCGATCCCCTTCCGAACGTGTCGAGCAACTATTTCAAGCAACAAACGTGTACCCCCCCCCCCCCCGCCCCCGGTGCGAACGTATCCTCAGCTGCGAAGCCTCCCCTGCCAGCACGCCTTCCACGCGGGGTGCATCACGCCTTGGCTCACCCAGCGTCAAAGAAGCTGCCCCATGTGCAAAGACCCGGTGACTCTGACGGTAGGGCTGGCTCCTCCTACAAGTAGCTCCCCCTCATCTTCATCTGCTTCTTCGGCCGCCCCTGCGGCCGTGATTACCGCACCGGCGATGCAAGCTGCGCGCGCAGACGGCGGGGAGAGGGGGGACGACGGTGCCGGGGGCGACCGGTTGCCGCTGTTGTCGAATTCGAGGGGGGCGCCTATCGCGGGGGGGTCAATTCAAGACACCTCTCCGGTGTAGGTTGGTGGTTGTGATGTTACCCCACCGGTTTGACGGCTTTTATCATGGAAGGTCAGGTCGGAATGGATCATGTACATGTGTAATAGAGTGTTGGATGAGATATAGACTCGTCAAGATGATATCTGTGTGAGCAAGGTGTAGGATGCACGGCAGCATTATGTGTAGAAACAAGACAACCCTGGCCCCTGTTTGGTTCAGTGAGCGAGGACGCTCTTTGGCACTCGAAGTGCGTTGTTAGCGCGACAGGTATGAGGCTACGTACACGAACCTCGCTGCTGCGCGTGCCTGTCTTTTAGTTGGTGGGTGTTTTTCATTTTGTGACGTGGGCTTCTCCCCCCCCGCCTGCCCGGTTCGATTAGCGGCGTTTCCCCTTCCCCCCCCGTCGTCTTGGAACCGCTGAGACGTTGACTTCGTCTTTCGTACCTTTTTGGTTTTTCTCTTAACGGTTTGTTTGCTTGTGGTTGGCATATTGGTCGAGTATGAAGGGGTCGTTGAGAGTGTGACGTAGATGAAACGCCATGATGGGTGGATTTCGGTGTTGGGCCATGCGTGTGTACTTCGAAGTAAGTGTAGCTGAGTAGGAAGTGACGTTGTGTCTGCCCGCTGGTATATGGACGATCTTGCACTGATCGGGACTATATTTGTAAAAATTGTTTTGGGCCGACTACATGTGCCGTCGTCCGTCACAACATTACGCGACAAACGGCTGCTGTAGGAAAGTCGGCGCTACATGGCCATCGGTCTTGTCGTTTGTACGAGACGAGCTGCCCATCTTGCTTGTTGCTTGTACATTGTCTGAAGGGGAACAAAGCAATCTGAAATTCCATTTTCCCATGAATTCAAATGGAATGGAGTGCATGTTCGCTGTTTCGCCGGTGGAAGAAGATTTTGTATGCGTAGGCCGTACTTCTTTCAACTTATTTTTGCACCTCACCTGCGTCGGCCTGTAACCTCGCTCATCACTTTGCATCATTTATGTTTTAGGAGGGTGCTGCATTAGGATTCTACGGGTGTTTTTGATGCGAAGACGACTTCATTCGGTCCGGCCCGCCGGTGAAACTAAAAAGAAAAGTAGAGTGATACACGCCGACGTGTGGCAAGGACACGCTGGCGACGGCGCACGACGAAATAGGGTTGTCCTCGCTGAGCGATTGCTGTTATCCCAGCAGTCCGACACGGGTATGTGCGACAAGCTTGGTACGTCAATCTGCGTTTTCTACATACTCCTGCCAACGTCGCAGATAGGGTTCAGACGCGAAACTTCCCCGAGTCTGTCTCACGATGGTGCGGGTGGCACGTCTCTCGTGTTCCTTCCCTGTGCGCACTTCTCTGAAACCAACCGTGCCAGCGACACAGCATGACCCTTGTTCGGGGATGCGGGTGAGCTGTCGCCTTCGCTCCAAAAAAACGCCGCCGTCTGACCCCCGAGACCCTCTAATCCAATCACGATGCGCAGCTCCTCAGGCCCAAAGAACGACCCGAAAGATGTGCGATGCCAGATCATGTCAACCATCACCGAGTTCGACCAACAAAATCTCTCGCATCAGAGAAAGTAGAGACTCGAAGACTCAAGACCTGTGGTGGCCTTGAATGATGCCGGTAAGTCGGGTCGTGATATTTCCGGCGTGTCTCACGTACATAGTGTACAGTAGAGTGGCGGCGCACAAGCACAAGGGCACAAGACGGTCGGTTTTCGGTTTCGTGCCGTTGGAGTTTGTTTGCCGATTTCTGCTTGAGATCCAACACTTGACAGCAACTACTGCAGTATATCCGTTCCAAGCATCATTGGTAATCCCTGTTCTCGGAAGAGTTTCTTTTCGAACCCCGGGGAGGGCAGGAGTACGTAGGGGTTCTTGAGGTAGTCATGGTTGCGCATGCCGTGTAACGTTTTGGCCTCGCACAACGGGAGGGGTTTGCTCGTTGTATGCATGCATGCCGAAGTCGTGGGCTTTGGTCGTCGGTGGCCATGGAGGGGAGGGCCCTCTTCGTGGCCACCGCAGTGTTGACCGGAGAGGCATGTTTGAGGAGAAAGGTGGCGTCCTTATATATGCACTGATCACCTTTGGGTCTGTTGGCCCTGGCGCATACACCCCCTTCGAGAAAGAGGATGGGCGTCAAGTCCAGGGAAACATACCAGCGTTCGGACTTCTGGCTGTCTTCGCGATTTGCAGACGTTGGTGTTCTTCTCTACGGTTTCACGCTCGGAACAAACTACCCTAAGGTCTCCAAGTAACCCGCAACAGTTTGTATCGGTCTACGCGGAGTGGACCGTCAAGAGTAGAAAAGCAGCAGCATTGACAGCGTTGGTTGCAAGGCCCCAGAATCAAACGTCACAAGTTTGATTTACACGTTTGATCACGTTTCACCATTCCTACGTCATTTTTTGGGACCAAGAGCGCGACATCGAGCGCAACTATGTAGCTCCGCTACAAGCAACCTCATACGGACAGATGGGAATCAAACGGAGGGGGTAAACGCCATACTCTATGCAACAACGTCTCCCGTATTTCAGCATCCTCCCGTATCCATCGATCAATGGAAGCGAGAACAGAGAGGAAACTCCGCAAAAGCCGCGTCTCAAGTACTATCCTCAAGAAATGAAAACACTTGTAAAACGACTAATCATCCGAGCCAAAGACCTTGGGTGTAACCCTGCGCAAAAACGGCAGTTTCCATGGGTGCCCCGGAGGTAGAATTACGCCAATTAACCCAGTCATTCCACAAACGACAAAGAACGAACGATTGGACCTGTAGGTAGTCCGGTCGGAGATGGTCACGGCTCGTTGAGACGTCGTGGTCTCAAGGCTCTCTACCCAAACACACCAGACTCGCTCGAGACACGCCCTGCAGCCGCATTTCTAAACACATTCCCCGCTTGCATGAGACAACACGACCTAATTCAACCCGTCGACTCGATGGTCCGTGGCTGAAATGAACGCCAGGATCTACGCCGCTCGACCTATGACCAATACGTTGATACTTGCAAGGTAGCAGATGTTGCCTGCCTCCGACTCCCTTGAGCATCCGGTTCCTTCGATTACCACATAGATTTCGCTGGTGGCGCGGAGATAGGACCATAAGAGTGCGTCATAATCCGTAACCGCCGTGTGACGAAACTCGGCCAGGCCACGCTGATTTGCGATATGTCTAGTCGTGTTAACGTACATGTAACTCTGGGAGAGCTGGGGTGTGAACAAGAACAGCCCGGCACGGAGGGATAGAAAATCGAAAAGGGCGCATTGGTGTGCCGTGGCATACAATAAATAGTGTTCTTTATATACCCTCTAGCGTCATCTACTGACCATACTGTCAACGGCGACGCCTTCCTTGAGTCCGTTCGTATTTTGGAGGGCGGAACACAGAAGCGTGGCGCGAGAAAAACCAGCTAAAGAGTGTGGGGTAATAAAACACAGCCGGTGCAGAAAAAATGCAGATGCTCTGCTACCGCTCTATCAACCGCATACACAGTTTTTTGGTGCAGCGAATAATTGTCTTTGGTTTGCCCTCATACTACAGTATTCCATATTTTACGTTCCGCTTTGATGGAGCATCAGAAACAACAAACACGGCCTGAAAAACAGGTTTGGTTTACCACGAACACAGAAAGTCGAAACCTGAACTACCGTGCCGGCTAGACTCCACCCTCTGTTGTTATAGCTATTGTCATCGTGGTCCTCAACCAAAGCACAATCCAGGATTCTTCCACGGGGTTAATTCAAGAAACACAGAGAGAGAGAGAGAGAGAGAGAGAGAGAGAGAGAGAGAGAGAGAGAGAGAGAGAGAGAGAGAAAGAGAGAGATAGGAGTACACGCACCTCGGACGGCGTTGACGGCCGCCGCACGCTCCTCCTCTTCCTCCATGTACAACCCCGCGGCCGCCCCCACACTCCCTTTCAAACATCGAGTCCTATTGACAGAGCTCGTTGAACTAACAACACGCCGAAGTCGGGAACGGGGACGGGTTTGCTGGGGCTTGACCCGCAAACTTGCTTCCGGGGCTGTGCTGGGCCTACGGCCTACCCATGAAGAAAATATGGTTGCGGTGTAGAGGCCAAGACGGGGAAGACAGTGACAGCAATCAATTCAAAATGTGAACGTTAAGTCTGGCATTAATAGTGCTAACCAGACAAAGATCCAGCATGATCTAGTCGGTGAGAAACCCAGCTGCGAACCTTACACAAGTGACTTCGCAAGACGTACTTCAAGTCGCCAAGGTTGATCAATAATAGAGCGGCGTCTGCTCCACGAAACGTTAGTGTCCCGCAACACCAACGTTCACCACATCGACCAAACAGCCGGAAAGTCGTTAAACGAGTGTTTCAACCGGCTTGGCAGGGCGTGCCACGCCTGTCCCAATGAAAATTTGTTCTTGTCATGCTATTACCGAAAGTGGCATGCATAGCCCTACTCGGAAAATAAGAGGTGGGGTGAAGAAAGGAAAAAGTGGCGATCGGTATTGCCGATGTGGTCTGATGCTCAAGTACAATCGTTACGGTCCGCTACTCTGTGCCGGAAGCTTCCTCACCATTGTTGAGGGTGGGAGGTAGGTCATACGATCCTGGCCCGAGATGCTCGCCATCAGCTCTAGCCGTTTTAAACAGAACAGCGTCTCCCATCAGCCTCTGCTCAGACATGGGGGTACACGTAAGCATCTATGATAAGCAACAACTCAGAACGCGGGGGCTACCTGCTAGACTTTGGCCGTACACGGAAGAATATCAACTCCCACAGCAGGGTGCCAACTGAACGAGAAACGTTGTGGTTGTGTTGGGCAGCGGACCCCGGACCCTCGGTGGAACCTTGTGAACGAAGGAGCTGCCGCACAGCCTGCTCGTCTTCTACCATTCCCTTGAAAGCGGAACCACACGTTCGTAAGAAGACATAGTCGTGTCAAAGTCGATTGGCTTTTTACCTGTCGCTAATTTGCTTGGCTACTTCCCCGTTGAACCTGGGAAGAGTTGGATATTGTAGTATATTTCTATTGAAACAGCGGGTTTGCTGTCCCTTTGCCAGGCCTCGCGAGGCCTTCCGATAATGCTTGAAACCTGGAAATACAGAGTTCTGAATGTTTCCGTCGCCGGCTCGAAAGCACTACACAGCAGGTCGCCTCTTGCGTACCGCACATGTCTTGTCTCAGTTCGAACTTGGAGAATTTATCTGCCATCCATAGCCTTCCCACGCGTGATACACTATATTTTCTCTGTCCCTACATTTGTGTGTCCCTCAAGGGCGAGAGGCAATGTCTAAGGGTCCGCGCTGCGCGTTGATATCCGACCGAACTTCGTCCTTCTGTGGCGCAAGGCACGACAACGGGATGACGAACATTGCTACTGTCCGCGAAGCCCCCCCGTCGGACACCTACGCCGTACCTTCGATCTCCCGCTGTTGAGGAAGGAGTGGAAGCCTCGTCTACTCCCTGGGAGGAACATGATCGCGTCGGTCTTGGTCAAGAAAGAGCGTGACGCCTGCCGTGCAAAGGGAACCATTAGAATCTGCCCCCACCATGGGATCCGCCCTGAAATATAGAAAACCTCCTGCGCGCGTGCTTCACGTTGTCTTTGTCGAAGAATCCACACCTGATTGCTGCTGTTGACGCCATACGTTGCCGTTTCTTCTAAGCAGAATTTTTCTCCCCGAAGGTGGCATCAGCTTCTACGCTCCAAACACGAACCTTTTGCCGAAATATGTACAAAGAGGGTAATGTGGATGAACTCTCCTCACCCAACGACTAGAATGTTGTTCTGAAGCTCGTAAGGGGCGGGCCGGGGAAGGTATCTAAACGCTGCCTATTCACGTCTCGACCACCCGACGAACGTACTGAAAACCCGTAGATTTTGAGGCGCCGAGATCAGGAGAAATTAGGACAGCGACTTGCCTGATGGTATACTCCCGGTGCTAAGTTGGGGTAGTCTTTCCGGCCTGGGTACCAGTTGACCTCTGCCCGCGGAACTGCGGAGCGGTGACCCCCACTGCCCCCTAGAATGCTTGTTGTATGGTGTAGGGCGTGTGACGGGCGAGTTTAGCCTCCAAGCCGTTGAATCTACGTAATGTTGGTGTCAATGTTTTTCTACATGAGGTAAGTGTCATCGGCGAGAGGTATTTTGCTCCACTGCTGCACGTGCTGCAAGTCCTACAGTCAGCAGACTACTATTAAAGCTGCCTTTTTGGACGGGAAATATAAGGGGACAAAGGCGAGAACGGGCAAACGAGTATTTTGAGTTCAAATGCTTGCCCGTGGCATGTTTGTGTTGGTCGCATTTCTCATCTATTCAGCTCGGCATGTCGCTGCCGGGGGAAGGATTTGTCAATCATGGCGCGTGTGTTCTGCCGGTGGCAGGAGAGGGGTCCATGCTCTGGTGGCCTCTAGTGGAAGCGGAAAGGGATTCCTTCCGAAAATTGGCCCTTGGACGGGCTCCATCTCCCGCCAAATCAAGGTACTGTCCCGAAATTTGGGTAACATATGAAGTGCCGGAGAAAAGTAGCCAGTGACCGTGTCGAAAGTAGGCTTTGACCAATCAGCTTGCCAACTTTCACGCTGTTTTACGCAGCTGGGTCGAGTATTGAGCAGGGTTTACCCCGTGCCCTTTGCGCTTTGTGAAACACTTCGTACATTTCATACATCGACCAAATCTATGTGACCACAGCAATCCGTTCGCCTCAAAGTGCGAAAGAGGAGGCCCTATTGCATAGTCTCTAGTTTTTCCTTGTCGACCAGAAAACATCAAACATCCGGCGTCTGGTGTGGTTTCTGTTGACCGTTGACAGTTGATAGATGCGTGGTTGCGACAGATTATTTGAACATCACGACAACAGCACATACATAGACTAGACTAAACTATAGTAGAAGTTGGTCGCTTAGACGGCGTACGACGGGGGTCCATCGATAGTGTACTGCAGGGTCATTGAAAATGCTCTGAAGAAACTCTGAATGCAGTTGTGCCGGGCGCTTGGTATAACGACACGGTGAACCTGACGGGCACATTCCAACACTGAGAGGGACACCAACCGTACATCCATGTCGATATCGATGGCTTTGCTTCAAGGTTGTTCAACCACTCTTGCGGATTCCTGGACTGGACGCCCGTTCGCCGCGAAGATCATTTGTTGTCAGCGTTGAAGGCATGTTATTCGTGCGTATTAAACAGCAGTTCGAGTTGTTTGTGGTCACCTTCCCCTGGTCTTCGGGCGGGACTGTTGCAGCTCCATCATCGACGACCGGTCGTACTTGCCCGGACCAAGGTCTCGGTAGTCGTTCTCTTCCCGTCTGCAGCGGCCCCTGCGGCATGACGCCACGTCACGAAAACGTTCCTGCGTGCGAGCAGCAGGCGCAGCACACCGACTTCTTTACATACGACGGCAGCGTGTTTGTTTGTTGTGCTCTTCGTGAGAAGGAAAAACAAGCTCTACAGAAACAGAGCCTTACATACATACCGAGGAGGAGCGGAACGAGGACGAAGGCCTGTCACGGGAGGCAATCATGTTGAAGGACGCGTTCGCCTAGCTTGAAGGCCACGCCGTACTATTCCCTGGATCTCGCCCCTCAACCTAGTTCGGCGTGGTGGGGTCCGGTCCTCGACAAGGGATGCATGGGCCTCGAGACACAACAATGAATGCACTGCACGTCCAAATGAGATGACGTATCATGTCATGCAATGTCTGATGTGACGAACGTTTCATGATCCAGTGGCGTGCCCCCCCCATGGCAGAAATGAGCAATCTGCGGCACCCCCATCGCAACATGTGTTGTGTCGCTCCGCTATGGCTGCGCCACACTGCTATCAAGGTCTCCTACGGCAGGCATCCTCTCTGCACGATGAACCTTCTACTGCACACTCTTCTGCTCTCGGTGTTGCTATGCTTGAGGACGTGCCAGGTAAAACCACTATCCTGCTCCGAAGCCCATATTTGACCTGGAAACTGCAGCTCGGCAGTCACCTGTCATGGTCGTAATTCGCAGTGTACAGCAGCAGCGTAGTCTGCTGCTGTACCAGGTAGCTCTAGAGCTACCCTGAGATGTGCTGCTGTTGTGTATCACCTGACCACGCCTTGAAGTGTCGCATTCCTAAGACCCTCTGAATCCGTTGATTTATTCGCTCCAGCTTGACACGTGGCTCATGAGTCACATGTTGTCCCCACTGTACACAGTACACTCTGAGTTTGTATGGATAGAGGGTACAGAACACGCTCTTGAGGTGTGCCTGGTACAGAGATGTGTAGAACGTTACCCTCAGGGGAGACACCGCCGGATGCTGCTAGGGGAGTCGTAGAAACTTAGGTAGGTGGTCATCATACAACACGTGAACCCATCTGTCCTGGACTCTGCAAGGACTACAGTACATACTTTGTAGAAGAAGACGTTTATTCGGAAAAACATGATGTGCATGTATCTAAAGTACACCTGGTCCAGCAAGAGTCTTTAGCAGTCTACAATACATTGGGTCGTCTAGCTAGTAGAAGTGGAGGATAGGGGCCAAAGGGGCAGACAACAGAGTCCAATGATGGGAGAAAAAACAAAAAAATGCATACATACATACAGCAGCAGTTAACGCTCCCTGCGCCTGCGTACCACTATGCCGTAAAAAGCCATGCATTACGGCAGTATGCCAAAGTTCAGAGCTCTATGGTGTTGTACTGCTTGACCGACACGCTTTTGAGCGGCGGGGTCCGCTTTTTCCGTATTTCGTCCCGCTCACACCGTGCACCACACCACTTGCTGCTATTGCAGGCCTTTGTTCCCTTGCTGAAGGCACCATCGGCATCGTCTCAAAGCGCTCTCACACGGGCACCTACAAGGTCAGCGACAGCAGAACCCGCAGGGAGGAGATCAAGGGGGCAGTCGCGAGATGCATCAACGGGGTTGACTCGGCTGGGCATGATGTTCGGTCGTGGTCGAACCCCCCCCCCGACGCTGTCGGAAGAGGACCTGGCTACGATGGCCAAGTCTAGAGAAGAGGTTAGTGAAGAACACAATGTGCAGCTGGGTGACTGTTTCGTGTGTGCCTTACCCTCAACCACGGGCCGTGCAGAAAAATATGTATGTGCAGCGGTGGTCAGGCGACCGACGCTACATCGGGCGACCGATTCTACATGGTCCGGGTATTTATCAGGATGAATGCAAATTGTACATGATGGGGTGGTTTCTGCCTTTACAGGCGTTGTAGCTCTCGTTGCGGTAAATTGCTTCGGGAGGCGCAACGCCCAGTCTCAAGTGTCCTGTGGTAAGGAATCGCGGTTGGCGCCACCCTCGCGGTCGAAATGTAGGTACAAGCTTCGACAGCTTTGGTCGAGGTCGTGAGTTCGATTCCCGGCAAGGCACTCCATTGTTGCCGAAAAGGGTGTCATTCTGCGAAAATCCTACAGAATCGTTTGGATGAGGCAAAGGGTTTGCTATAACTGTATGAACCTTCTCGTGAAAAAAAAACAAAGGCGTACGCCGCCAGCCGCGACGCAAGAAGACTGGTGACCAGACTTTTAACACACTAGCAGCCGATCCTTGAGGAGGTATGTAGCCCGTGCTTGCATTTGTCAGGGCACTGTCATGCATGACGCCCATGCAGAGCTGAGCCATGAGAACCCAAGACACTCTTTAACTCCGAAACCATCAGATAGTACTATTCCCGTAGGCTCCGTGTGTCATACCGACCGCCGTATACACCAAACACCCGCTTTTCGTCCTTACGCGCGCCGACCTCATTATTTCTTCGACAAGGCAAGTACCTCAAGGCGAGTTTCCTCCATCTGGTTTACCGTCGAGTCTTCCCATCGGTGACTTCCGCTTGCGGCGCGCTCCCCGTCGTTCTTCTTTTTTCAGGCGAACCACAAAATTGACAATTTTTTGGAGAAGAGGCGGGCGGAGAGAGAAGCCAGGAAAGAAGCGGAGCAGGCGGAGCAGCGCGAGAAGGTCGCGAATCGCATGAAGGCCAAAAAAGAGGAGGTGAGTCAAGTCAAGAGTGTTGTGTTCTCGTTCGCGGTGTTCCTTCCCGAAAACTTGCGTAGGACGTCGATCATCGGTACTATGGATCGGTTTGTGAGTGGAACGAAACAAGCGTCCGCTGATGCACTGCGTCCAAGGGGAGGGGCGAACGGCGTTGAGGCCGGCAAGCATAGAATGGATCTGGCCGTTAATTTCGTAGAGGAGCACTTGGCAGGTCACGTCCTACTCTCATTTTGCTCCCCATGGCAAATCCGGATGTTGAGGATTCAGTCCTTGAAGGCGGACAGAGGAATATTTCTCCCTCCCATTGAGGTTCACGGCTACCGCAAATGCGAGGATGGACTCGTTAACGTGGAAACCTTGCCTGTTGTAGTTTCACATACGGCCGCACATCGACAAAAGCGTTGCAGGGTGCCTCGGTTACAGGTTTGGCTGTCCTTGTTTTAAATGGCCCGCGGAATGCACAACAGAGTTGCGGGTGGGATAGTAGCAAGCCACAGGTGTGCAGAAAACAAACTACGCCGAAAAAGCATCAACTAGGCATGACACACTTGTACGTGGTCAAGAGAGCCCATTTTATCGCGACGTTTGTGTGCGAGCTGAGATGGTGTTTTCGATGTCGCACATGGGCAGGCGGAGAATAACATGGATCGGCATACTCTAACCCGGTTGAACTAAAGAATCAGAAGAAGCCGCCATGCAAGTCGCATTGTGAATGGTCGTACGAAGCGCATACCGCATGCTTGCTTGCGATAACGAGCCATGAGGTGCTCAAGGATGTTTTTTTGTTTTCCCGCCACATTTTTCAGGCCGAGCACAACAAGGTCTACATCCCGCAACGGTTGGAGGAGATTGAGAGAGAGCAGGCCGTGCTGAAAGACAGAATGTCCGCTTTCAACACCAAGATCAAAGACAAGGACATCGAGGACCTGTAGTGGGTTAGAGCGCACCTCTGTATTCTGTAAGAGCTCCTTGTGTTTTGTGATCTGCCGTGTTGGAACGTACCCCTTGGAAAGCATGGCCCGCATCCATAGACGAACCTCGGTGCCATAGGAGCAAAGCACGGATTTCCGGTAGTAGACGAACGCTGGATGCACCGTTGTCATAGAAACAGCTGCCGGTGGTACCCTCGCGTTACAGTATGTGCAAGACTGTTGTCTGTGGTGAAAATAAGCGGTGGTTACGTCGCTGGACTACATAGAATTCAACACGCATCTTTTTCAGGGTAATTGCAAGCGAGCACGAGAAAGTTGTTGACTTCCGTATTCACATTGTGCTTCCCGGGCGCATGGACTGTCTGTCACGATTATGCCAACTATTACCAAATGCGGGCATCAACGACATTGCCCCGAGTGTCTGGCAGCCCCGTGCTCAAGGTTTCTCGTTTTGCCCATTCTGTATCACGCTCCTGCCCTGGACGCGTGGACGAGCATGCATGTAGCAGTTACACGGTCGTCTCAGTGGCATAATTTCTCCGTGAGATCGCTTTCGCAGATCGGATGTCAACACTCGCGTATCATTGAGATAGCCTTGACACGCGGGCCCTACACTGCCTGCACTGCACTGCCTGCATTGCACTGCCAGCACTGCCAGCACTGCCAGCACTGCCAGCACTGCCAGCACTGCACTGCCAGCACTGCACTGCCAGCACTGCACTGCCAGCAATCGAGTGATGACGCATCCCAGCAATGATGATGTGACGACACCAAGGTTCTCTTCGACCTTGCCACCTACACCATCTCCTCGCCCCCGTCTTGTCTGACAACGAGCATCTGGCGGATAGTTAGTTGGCGAGCGCTGAGCGAAGTGATGTTCATGTTCTTCAGATGCACGCCACGCAGAAGCACACCGAAACCAAAATGGACGTCAAAATGGTGGTGCGAACAGAAGCACCAACAAAGAAAGCTTGTCTGCACCGTGTCGTTCAGTCTTTGAAATCTCTTGAGCAGAGAAAGGAGAGGTCTAGGGCGTGAGAAGGCACCGCCGCGATCTCGTGTGGGGGGGTTTCGTGAGTGCAGAGAACTCACAACCGGGCTCAGTATATTTCCAATAGCTTTTTTGCCTCCGGGTTAGGCACGGGAGACTGAAGGGAGGACGCCTTTTGTTGTATGCATGGAGGATGCAATCCACGACAGGGATTACAGTTCTCTATTCCCTCGGTTCCTCCAAGAAGTGAGAACAATAAACCAACGCCCAGAACCCCCCCTATAGCCGAGTTTCATCCTCTTCGTTGGCAGCGAACACCCCGAAGGCACCGAGACGGGCCTCACTGGCTGCGCCAACTGTATCTTCAGGTCCTGGTACCTTGGCATTCACGAATCCCGTGTAGCAAGGTGGCCTTGCCACACGTCACTTCCTCTTGGCAGGATCTGTGACTCGAATCTGCTCCAGTTTGTTCATGATTTGCTGACAGAGCATCCTCATTCAGCCACCCATGGCACTCATAGGCAACCCATGACACTCCTGCTCCATCGAAAGCACGGCTCCTCACGAGTGGAGACATTCCGTCCCAGCGAGAAACATCATTACTTGATGACCTTCCTTCGGCACCAACCTGTCCAACGAGCTGTGGAAATCTTCGACCACACGATGATTCGAGATCTTCATGTGGGGCATGAGCAGAGACCCCATGCACACACAAAGCGGAAAAGCTTTGCCTTGTGCGACAGAAAAGCATGATTTCACATATCAAATCTCATGAGATTCGACGCCAACCTCCCGAGACTTGTCACGTTAGAAATCTCATGGACGAAGCAACCGCCATTGTTCGCGCCCAGGCAGCCTGACAATCCGCTCGGCATGAGGAAGAAAAGTATTCTATGAGCACGATCTCCTTCGAGCTCGGGGCAGGTTAATATTGACTAGAGATCCCCGGAAAAGATTAACTGTGGAGAGCACCTGTCATTCTTGTTAGCTGGTACTAGCGTTACGGTGGTAGGAGATGTATGGCCCGGAAAGTTACGTACAAGAACACCTCAGCCTCGCAGCTCAATGGCCGAATTTCCAAAGTGACATGATCCTCTTCACTGTTTGCTACGCCCGGCGCTTTGGACTATCAATCTGTTGTTGATTGGCGTCAACTCTGACCTATCTCAGTAGCGCTCACGCATGCTCGAGGACCTCGCAAACATTCCATTCGATCGACCGCGACGGTAGAGCAAGGGTTAGTACTCGCGCTCCCTGGTAAGTACTGCAAGCAGGTTTTCTGTATCTCGTGGCTTGTTTCGGGTCGCTGCCCCCACTTCTCATCAACGCCGAACCCTGGGCACAACGCTGCATGGGGCATCCCCCGCCTATCAAGCAGTTCGACACTCCAGTACAACCGCTTGATCAACACGTATTACATAGCATTTGCAGCGAACGAGATAAACATCGCGCCGACCGCCACCACGCCCACGAGCCCCTGTCTAGAGCACACCCCTCCGCGCGCAAGCGCGCCGTTCCCGAAGTTGTCGATGTCAGCGGCATCATCTGCATCATCTCCAGTCGACGACGGCAAGCCAATGGTAGGACCATCGTCTCCGCTGGTATCACCGCCAGCTTCGTCGTTAGCCGTCGAAGACGACGAATCATCGACAAGATTGTCGTCGCCGCCGGTAACACCGCCAGCTTCGTCGGTAGCCGTCGAAGACGACGAATCCTCGACAAGGTGGTCGTCGTCGCTAGAAACAACAACACCAGCGGCATCATCGTCATCGTTCGCCCACATGTAATAGTCGTCGGAGTCGTCACCGTTCATCCACGAGTACACGGGAGCTTCGGTTTCCGGGGTGGGGACGAACGGGGCCGGTGTAGGCGTCGCATCAGGGGTCTGAACGAAGAGCTCCACCTAATAGTTGTTGGACGTGCGAGCTCAACATGGTTACTGCCACGTTGTGTTACAGCATGCGAGCGTGTATCAATCACACGAACATTTTTTCGGAACGGTCACATCACTGCCAGCCTCCTCCTTCATTGATATATCGTAGGACGCCAACCACCCATCGTCCATTTGCCCAATGCCGTGAGCAAACCTTGGTGGCCTAAATCCCATCGCCGCACAAATGACCGCACCTCGCTGATACTGACGATTGCTCCAGCCGACAGGTTGAAGTGGATGCCGAGGGACACGGTTAAGGGCCTGATCAGGTTGACCCGCTCGCCTTCTCCTAGGGGCGTGCCGGGAACGGTCGTAGATGACCCGACAAGCTCGTCAGCGTACTGTAGGCAACGATCGGCCATCACGCGCACAACGGAGACGAGTGCGGTTGTTGAATGGATCCAGGGGTATCCAAGTCGAGATATCCTTCCATATAGCACCCGTCCGAGCGGGCCGGTAAATTCATGAAGCTCCTGGTGGTCTGCGCGAGGAACAGGCTACTATTTACTCCAGTGGCGTGCCAAGGTGACACCGAGCACATACTAGCGGCGACCGTGGCCGCCTCTTCTGCTGGTGTCACCTTCGCCGTCGTATGATATTTACTCGACTTACGCCGTTGTAGCAGGAGTACGCGTCATTAGTGCAGGTGGTCACGTCGAATTGTATGGGCTCCTTGGTGGCATCGTTGCTCTCGTGGACATCTGGGATCGTCAGCAGGGGTGGGCGTAGTAGCACCGGGCACGGTCATTCGCGAGTCAGTCATGGGTGTCGCAAAAGTAAGATTCACGTTGTTCTGTCTCGGATCTACAGCGGTGAATTGGTGATTGTTGAGAAGCACGATAACCACTGGACTCTGCATCGGTCAGCGCTGACTGGCAGTTCAGCGGCCATCGTGCTTCTCAACAAAACTCAACTCCAAGCACTCCCAACGGTGGTTGACAGCCACGGAAAGGCAGCCCTGGCACATTCTGTGTGAGCAACACACGTACATAGCATCATGTAGGAGGCGGTGTACTCGTCGTTCAGCTCGAAATACAGCCAACAGGAGTCGTGGTCGAACGAGGACTCGTAGCCGAACGAGCTGCTCAATGTACCGGTTGGCGCCTGGCATGACCAATATGAGGCGGCCACCGTGTTGTCATCGCCGTCCTGCGTTTGACGGCACAATGGTCACGGGCAACGAGGGGGGGATTACTGGCCTGTCGCATGCTGAAACTACAAGCAGCCTCTCCCGCGTTTCAAGGAGAGTCATGGATCGCTCCCAATGGTACATAGTGGTTGGTTCACCTCAGAAACCGCGAGCTCTCTCACCGTTGTCATGTTAGGGCCGAAACCGGCGACCGACCAGGAGGCAGAAGGAGTTACGGTGGTGATCGTATCAGCGGCCACTGTGAACAAGCAAAAGTACAGCGACCAAGCGGGTGGGATTAGTGGTTGGAGAGCGTAGTTGGCAAACCGCCGGCGCAGGTGCACTGCCGTGAGAACAACTGTCTATGTGGCACGGCATCGAACCTACTAGAGACCAAGGAGGCAAGGCTTTTCATGTGGGTCGAGGCAAGGGAGAATGCACACGTCCCGGGATCACAACAGAATGGAAATGGAGTTCTGACACGCGTCCGTGCTCACCGTCGTTCCAGGCTTCCGCAGCGGGAATGAACACCTCGGTCTGAGTCACCTCCACGTAGATCTCCACCTGTGAAAGAGAGAAAAGCACCCTGTGAAGCTGGGCATGTTTGGGCGAAGTAGCTCTTCGCACGACCACATTTATTTCGCAGGGAGAGGCTGCAAGCAGTCTCGTCGAGTTGTTGTGATCAGCACAGGCCACCCCGTCCATTTCTTAGTCAGCGTTGGGGTAAACAAAACTGTAGCCTGGGCGGAGAAGGGCCGCCCGCAAATATCCTACTAGCTAGACTACCCTCCCGAGCTTCCGGGTCGCGAGCGTGCCCGATAACCACTCACGAACCTCACTGATGTCAACCCACTGTCCTGCCGAAAGCACGGGAACGACCGTCAACGACGTGGCCAAGGGTCTATTCAAGTTCACCCTGTGACCGGCTCCGAGTGGTGTGCCCGGTACGGTCACAAAGGAACCGGCGGGGTCATAGATGGAGCTGCTACTGTACACGTTCATGGTCATTGCTTCCTTGGTGGCATCATCGCTCTCGTGGACATCTGGGGATTCACGACAGTTCGAGGGGCATACAATAGTAGGAGAACGATGGACCGTCGGGCAGCAAACGGGCAGGGCCAGTGGGTGTGATAAGTAGTGCGTGCGACGTAAACCACGTCTCTGAGGGGACATTCCGACAGATCAGAATGTGCAATTCAAACACGACGGGCAGAAGACTGCGCCGTCAGTGGGCGGGTGCGTGATCAAAAATTGCAGCGGCCGAAGCAGTCCTGCCTCTACCGCACAATAGTTCGACGAGCACGGTGCGTTCGCCAGCGAACATGGGGGAGTCCATCGGCCACGCGTTTGACGAGCGTGTGGCCAAACGCACGTAATCGAAGGCAATAACTCACATATCACCACGTGCGAAACAGTGAACATGGGGTTGTCATCGTCCCAGACGCTGCCGCCTTCGTCCCCGAACACGAATTGCAGCTGGCAATGTTGGGGGCTTGAGAAAGATACGTCATCTTCCACCTCCACGTCCAGGCTCGACTCGCAAGACCACCTCGAGGATGCGACAGTGTTGTTGTGGCCGTCCTGTGGAGGCGCAGGCATGGAGACGGCGCAGTGGAGGCGTGTGGATGTGCACGTACGTTCATGGGTTTTGCGTATTCGTATGCATGGCCCCATGCGACCTTCGGTGTTGTACCAAACTCGGCACACCACCCTAGAGCTGCGATATATTGTTCATGCCCTCATATAGGTACCGACAACAACTCCATCATCCTGACAGCCGGATGAAGAGGAGCGAGTACCAAGTTCGAGGGGCATGTTTAATATTACAGCATGCCTGTTGTTGTCTTTGCTAACATCCACGCAACCAAGTTCTAACGAAAATTTCCGGGAGAACCCAACAGCTAAAAATGTCTCCAAACATTCGAACGACAGCAGGCAGCGGGTGGTTGGTACGCGACGAGGCATGCTGACAGCACTCAATGCATGTATGTGTGCGTGGTTTTGGTAGGGCTGGATGAAGTGGAAGACCAACGCCGAGGTATCGTCCTCCCGTTGATGCCGTCACCCATCAAAGGGTTGACGGTCACTCCGGAAACCGTGATGAAAGTAGAAAGCAGCTACGAATTGTGAACCTTTTTTACGCGCTGTGGGGTGGCGGGTCAGTTTCAACGTCGGTGAGAGCATCAATACTGTCGGTGGACAGTCCACAGAATTCAAAATGTAGAAGACACGCCATGTGTGCCAGTGAGCCCGTCCGTGTCGGGGGCGACATAACAAGAATTGATATGATGACTTCACCCTGCCATATACGACCACGCGTACTGCCTCGCCGCCGTACAGTGTAGAAGCCGCCTGGTCAATGCCCACTCACATGTGCGAGCAGAGGATCGCAACCAGCGTCCCCACAGCCTGCATCCGTTCTCAAGTCCCAGAAAGTTGCAGCTGCCACGACGTTGGAGACGGTGTCCACTTTCACTAGGAAGTGGTTTCGTGTTCAACGCAGGAAAGGCGGCACAATGGTGACAATTGGGTACCAGTGAGTGGATGGGTGGGCCGTTCCCTTGCCAAGCTCGTGCGGCGTATCAACAACAGCAAAGCGCCTGCCCAAAAACGACTAGCACCTTGAGTTCGAGCATAACCAACTCAAAGAAGATATGAACACAACCCAAAGAGCAATGTAGGCTTGCACCCTCTCCATCACGCAACGGTCGTGCAGTCGAAACCCGCACCGGTCGATATTGTAGGAAGCGTCGCAACCACCACATCGTCGGGATCGTCTACGTCCAGGTAGATTTCCACCTACAGCAGTGCGTGAACATGTACGCGTGGTGCAAGGTGTAGGGCGCGAGAGTCACCAAGACGGCCCTGAACGCGGGGAGTCTCTGTGCCCAGTCGACAGCTCTCCATCAAACTGCGTTAATCTTTTGGGGCGCAAGCCGAAGGATGTGCACATCCTGCGCCTTCAGCGCTATTCCAATCGGTTCACTTTGCGTATCGTGTGTGCTGAGGTCTGTCTCAAAGAGTGACCAACAGCCGCTCGACAAGCAATGTAGGGTACAGTACCTCGCTAACATCGATCGCCTGATCGCTCGTCAGGTCGAAGAGCAGATGGAGGTAATTTCCAGATGCGTCCGGTGGCATGTTCACCCGCTGTCCCGCGCCCAGGGCGGTCCCTGGCGACGTCAAGTCCGTGTGCACAGTGTCGTACCCGACTTCAACGTCGAAAGAAATCGATAGTTGTGTGGCGTCGTCACTCTCGTGGAAATCTGGTGGCTCGACAGACGGTAGACGGACAGAGAGGGCGGTTTCGTTGGCCGCAACTAAGCGGAGGACTGTCTCGGTTTTCACAGGGCAGGGTGTGGGTGGTCGGGCTCCCATCTCAGCCGTGTTCTTGAAGGGCTTATGGAGGGTACGGACGTCATACTCGCAAGCACAGTTCATCATCACCGACGATCGATGGGTAAGTGTTGCCCACAACTCCCAGGGCTTCGACAGAGGGGAGGTCAACCGCCTGCGACAACGGGTACGGTTGCAAAATGGTGGATACTCACAGATCATCAAGTACGAGACATCGAAAATATCATCGAACTCGAATTGAAGCTCGCACGTCGTTGTTGTTCCCAAGGTGCAAGACCAGCGCGACTCCGTCACGCTGTTGTCCTCGCCGTCCTGGGTTAGTGTATCACCCATACGGTATTGGGGGACGGTATTGAGTTGCATGAAGTCCGGCTGTTTTTCAAGTACCCCTCATGGCACCGAATGAGTGCGGAAGTACATCACGACTATCATGCCCAGAAAATGGGGGGGAAGGGGAGGGTGATGCACGACTGGGTGTTGCCAACGACTTCTCCGGCACGGGGCAAACAACACCAAAAGAGCACACGACGGAGACCGAGAGCTCTACCGAAAACCATTCCGCAAAGTCCGCCTAAAGCGTAGGCAGGGATTCTCACCCTCGTCAAGCGGGGATCGCATCCTGTTAGGCCACAGCCGCCTTCGCTCCCCAAGCGGAGGTCCCACGCGGTGGCGTCGACCACGACATTGGTGACATTGGCCGCCTCCACTGAGAACAAGTGGAAATTCACACGCAAGAGCAACCGCACCACACGATGTTGGCGACATCACTTGAGCATGAACGCCCACAAAGTTACGTTTGATGTTCCAACCAACCACGTTGTAGTGCAAAACGTGACAAACTGGTAGCACACGATCGAGCTGCAGCAGGCTACGTGTGGAAAGAGTGTTCCCGGGCCGTGTAACGAAAGCCGAGAGGAAGGTACGGTATGGCGTTCAGCACGAGGGAAATCACTTTGGATGCAGGCCATTCGAAATGAAATATGCTGTCGTGTTGAATAAAGGGACCGCAGACCATTCAAAGTGAAAACCAAGTTTCAACGTACGTACATGTTACTATGGAGAGCAAGGTCCGGGGCCTTGCGGCAGCGTAAGAACTTTACACGTGTCTGGCGAGGCGAACGAAAAACTGGGGCTAAGGATCGAGCGGGATGAGGGTCGATCGGCTTCTTTTTTCACAGCGACGATGGAACAACACTCTATGAAGAGGAAATTTGACAAACAGTACTAGCAAGGTGGTTCTCACACTTTTATGGTGAAGCGCATGCTTTCTTTTGCAGTCGCGTGCATTTGTTCACCGGCAGGCACACCAACCGCAGAGTTCACGACGTAGAAGTCACTCCTGTTCGTGTGTATGCATGTAGGAAGGATATGAGGACGGTTCTGTGTTCCGTAGACTGAAGGGGCCTACTGTGGTACCTGCTGTAGTAGACTTGGATGAGTCAGTGACAATGACAATGAGTGGCTCGCCAATACCGCCGAAGAAAGCTACCATGGATTTGGCGATGTATCATTGGAAGTGAACACGACAAACACCTACAATATGATTGCCGGGTCGAAATGAAAATGAAATCAAGTAGGGAGTTACAATGGAGCGAATCAATCGTAAAATGACATTTAGACTACAGGACACGGGGTGATTGCTTAGAATCGGTCGTGCACAACGAAAATCTATCCCTCGTATTCTAGCTTGTTACGGTGAGGGTGCGCATCACGACGGCGGTGCATGAAAATTATCTTATCATTATCATGCACCACCATACACCGTGAGATTGTCGTGGTGCCCACGAAAATATCAATCAAGAGCATTTCAAGGGTGCAACATCCTGAACCTAGGTATGTAGTGATCCGCCCTCCAAGAAAAGTGGGAACGCCCATTGTCTCGCCAGCCACATTAACTGCGAGGCGCGACGTTGACCCTTACAAACCTGTCTCACGCCCCGCCGCAAAAAATACCAGCCGGGGGAATACGAAACGTAGGAGTCCCGAAACTAACCAAGCCCCCAAATGGTACACACCATTCTACAGTACACACATCGAGGTCATTTTGCGGACAACTACAGAGACACTTGCCATAGACGTCGACTTTTTGTTCCCCGTTCCAAGTTGTCGTTGATTTGGCGATGTACCATCAAGAGTGAACACGACAAGCACCTCCCAAACATAAAGACTAGCTGGGTCGAACTGAAAATAAATGAAATCCAGTGACGAATTTCAATAGGGTTAGAGGAGTATGGTGATGACCACGGTTCGGTAAACATACATGCATTTGAGTGCTATGTCCCCTTGAATGCTGTTTCCCCAAAGTGACCGCATGGTTTCCAGTGATCCATCCACCCCGTGAAAAGTGAAAGTATGTCGCTTTATCAAAAGCGTGGATGATGCACAATATATTGGACACAAAACTGGGGCCTTTCGTGCATGCATATAGACTATGCATGCATAGAAAGCAAACATATACACAGAAGATAAAAGATAGGGAAATGGACAAAAGTGGGTATACCCACGCCATTCTCGGACAAAAGCCGGGTACTCGAAAATCCGGCGCGCGCGCCCTCCAGAGGCGACCCCCAAACGACTCAAAACCCTATTCTGACACCTGGGCGACACAGCCAGGGACCATACACAGCACAGGCATCGATTTTTTTCCCACTTTCAGGCACCCCTTTGGCCCTAATACCGCCGAGGCGCGCAAGGCCTCACCAGAGTGCCCACTTCTGTCCGACATCGCGGTGGGTATACCCAGCGGCGTCAACTAATTTTTTCATGTACCCGCTTGTGTCTATATTTTGACCCACTTTTGTCCAAATTGTACCCCACTTTTGTCCACTTCCGGACAGCGGAAATCGAGCGGAAATCGACTTCGTATATACATACATGTAGTGAATATGAATACCTTTAACATCACGTAGTAGTTGGGTGGTAAACTGCCTCGACCTGCTGCTGCTGCCCTCGCGAGTGGGTGTGCACTCGTAGTGGTGGTCGGTGTTTTTTTGTGCGTGTGGCGCATGTGTGTGTCTGTGTTGCTATATGCGCGTCTTTTTGTTCTGTATGCGCGCCCGTTGGTTTTGTTGTCCGTTGTGTGTCACGCATTTTTTTATGGCGTGCCGTTAGTGCGCTGCTTGCCGGGCTTGCCGCGGGTATCTTCCCGTGCCGGTACCGAAGGGGTCTGGCATGTTTCTGACATGTTCCTCCGCGGTCGGTCCGCAGTCGGCAGCCATGGATAGGAAAGATGCCATGGATACGGTGATGGGAGATTCTGAGACGTTCCGAGGCCAGTCGATGTTCTGCCGTGCGGTGACGTGGAGGTCGATTTCCGCTCGATTTCCGCTGTCCGGAAGTGGACAAAAGTGGGGTACAATTTGGACAAAAGTGGGTCAAAATATAGACACAAGCGGCGGGTACATGAAAAAATTAGTTGATGCCGCTGAGTATACCCACCGCGATGTCGGACAGAAGTGGGCACTCTGGTGAGGCCTTGCGCGCCTCGGCGGTATTAGGGCCAAAGGTGTGCCTGAAAGTGGGAAAAAAATCGATGTCCGTGCTGTGTATGGTCCCTGGCTGTGTCGCCTAGGTGTCAGAATGGGGTTTTGAGTCGTTTGGGGGTCGCCTATGGAGGGCGCGCGCGCCGGATTTTCGAGTACCCACTTTTGTCCGAGAATGGCGTGGGTATACCCACTTTTGTCCATTTCCCTAAAAGATAACTTATCACTCACAGTCAACCAAGAAATCTCATGATGAACATGAGTTTAACGAAGTGTTTCACTGACTTTGATTGTTGTTTCTTTTGTGGGGAGACGGGGGCGGCGTGCTCAACGAATCCGACTCATCCGTGTCCCTACTTACTTCCTGTCAGTCCATTTCCTTTTGTTTTTTGTCCTACCGTTCTCTCTTAGAGTCACTCGGTTTCGCTCACTCCCCCCACAGGCAACAAGCAATTGACCAAAAGAACCACTGCACTGCACCACTGCTTGCAACGAAACACAGTTAGATTGGCTGCTTGTATCAGATACGAACCCGGAATCAAGGTCGGTGGCCGGTGCATTCCACAAGATGGTCCTGGATCATTCCCGTCATAGATTTGACGATGCTCGATGCACCCCTTGCACTTTTTTGTCCCGCGTACGTCGAGGTTCCTCATGAGATTTTCGAGGTACATTTGGGTATGAACATAATAAAATGGTGTAAGTTAGCGACGCATGGGGCAGCCTCACGGTGCCTCATGGTGCCCATCCATGGTGAACGATGCGATACCTCAAGACGTGACTCAATAGTCAAATACTGTAAACTTCCCTTGATTGTGGGTTGGTTTGTTGCTCCCCAAGCTTAGGTACTCCACGAATTGTAGTGTAGTACGTACACGTATGTATCTGTGCGAAACGATTCTCTCTCTTCGTCCAACCTCGACGAAGACCCCGGCAAAAGCAAAGAGGGCGGGAAACCATGGACAGAATGACTGCAAGTAACAACAGAACATGGCTTGTGGATGCCACGAGCAAGTTGCCATGATAACATGAGAACATATGTGCAGCATCGATGCCTCTTTCCGGCCGGCGCGCCGTGAGCTGTCGATGCTTCTGCCGCGCGCGCCCAAACGAAGAATCGAAGATACTCGAGCATACAACCAACCAACACCGGTCGGTGCCGGCATATCGAATTGCATGCGCCACGCCGTCCTACAGCGGCAGGCTTTGGTTCGGTGGCGCAACAGAGGCATGGGGAAATTCAATCCCGGCAACCTAATCTTTTTGCCTCAGCTGCATCGAGCAGTGACTACTGTAACGACAACATGCATGTTGAGCTCGACCCACCAATACCATGCTGTTTTATTCGCGAAGAGAAGAATCAGAACTGCGGAAAGCAGTTTTGTGTGATCTACACATACATGTAGCACGCGACGAAAACCCAAAGCCCTACAACACAGAACAGTAGGGGTCGCGATGCGGAGGTCTGATCAAAAAGCTGGATTGCTACGTGGCCGGGCTGATTTTTTACTTCGTGCACAGCTCAGATACATGTCAACGGACATCGGTCTCCGGGTTCTTCTGACGCTCGAAGCCCTCCCAATGACTGCTGTCTGTGCACCAAAT